TCCAACTTTTGCTTGATGTCTGTACAATTTCATAATAACCCTGTTACAAGAGAAGCAAGAGAAGTTACACCATACACCATGACTTTAGATACTGTAAAGAATATCAGTTATAGAGCAAACGATCACCTACTTTCAACCCAAGTCCAAATTGTATTCCGGGGCAGTTTTAACTATGACTCATCGGAATAGTCAGCGAAGCATTAACGATCTAGGCCCTTGATGTGTGTTATCTATCTGTCTGTCTGTCTGTCTGTCCCCAAGACGTATAGACAATCAAACAACAACATAAAGAGATTTTATTTGAACCCTGTAGTACTTCTCCTCAATATACAGGCAATAAAGCAACATAAAGTGGAGGTATCCGCACCCCCACAGTACTTATCGTCAATGTACAGACAATCAAACAACATCAAGCGGAGGTATCCATCCCACACAGTACTTCTCCTCTATGTACAGACAATCAAACAACATCAAGCGGAGGTATCCGCACCCCCACAGTACTTTTCCTCAATATACAGACAATCAAACAACATCAAGCGGAGGTATCCGTCCCCCACAGTACTTCTCCTCAATATACAGACAATCAAACAACATCAAGCGGAGGTATCCGACCCCCATAGTACTTCTCCTCAATATACAGACAATCAAACAACATCAAGCGGAGGTATCCATCCCACACAGTACTTCTCCTCAATGTGCAGACAATCAAACAACATCATTAATTCAGGTACCCGACCCCCACAGTACTTCTCCTCAATATACAGACAATCAAACAACATCAAGCGGAGGTATCCGACCCCCATAGTACTTCTCCGCAATGTACAGACAATCAATAAACATCAAGCGCAAGTATCCGTTCCCCACAGTACTTCTCCTCAATGTACAGACATTCAAACAACATCAAGTGGAGATATCCGACCCCCAAAGTACTTCTCCGCAATGTACAGAAAATCAAACAACATCAAGTGGAGGTATCCGTCCCCCACAGTACTTCTCCTCAATATACAGACATTCAAACAACATCAAGCGGAGGTATCCGACCCCCATAGTACTTCTCCTCAATGTACAGACAATCAATAAACATCAAGCGCAAGTATCCGTTCCCCACAGTACTTCTCCTCAATGTACAGACATTCAAACAACATCAAGTGGAGGTAACCGTCCCCCAAAGTACTTCTCCTCAATGTACAGACAATCAATAAACATCAAGCGGAGGTATCCGTTCCCCACAGTACTTCTCCTCAATATACAGACAATCAAACAACATCAAGCGGAGATATCCGACCCCCACAGTACTTCTCCTCAATGTACAGACAATCAATAAACATCAAGCGCAGGTATCCGTTCCCCACAGTACTTCTCCTCAATGTACAGACATTCAAACAACATCAAGTGGAGATATCCGACCCCAAAGTACTTCTCCGCAATGTACAGAAAATCAAACAACATCAAGTGGAGGTATCCGTCCCCCACAGTACTTCTCCTCAATATACAGACAATCAAACAACATCAAGCGGAGGTATCCGACCCCCATAGTACTTCTCCTCAATATACAGACAATCAAACAACATCAAGCGGAGGTATCCGACCCACACAGTACTTCTCCTCTATGTACAGACAATCAAACAACATCAAGCGGAGGTATCCGTCCCCCACAGTACTTCTCCTCAATGTGCAGACAATCAAACAACATCAAGTGGAGGTATCCGTCCAACACAGTACTTCTCCTCAATGTGCAGACAATCAAACAACATCATTAACTCAGGTATCCGACCCCCACAGTACTTCTCCTCAATATACAGAAAATCAAACAACATCAAGCGGAGGTATCCGACCCCCACAGTACTTCTCCTCAATGTACAGACAATCAAACAACATCAAGCGGAGGTATCCGTTCCCCACAGTACTTCTCCTCAATGTACAGACATTCAATAAACATCAAGTGGAGGTATCCGTCCCCCAAAGTACTTCTCCGCAATGTACAGACAATCAAACAACATCAACTGGAGGTATCCGACCCCCACAGTACTTCTCCTCAATGTACAGACAATCAATAAACATCAAGCGGAGGTATCCGTTCCCCACAGTACTTCTCCTCAGTGTACAGACATTCAAACAACATCAAGTGGAGGTATCCGACCCCCAAAGTACTTCTCCGCAATGTACAGAAAATCAAACAACATCAAGTGGAGGTATCCGTCCCCCACAGTACTTCTCCTCAATGTACAGACAATCAAACAACATCAAGCGGAGGTATCCGTCCCCCACAGTACTTCTCCTCAATATACAGACAATCAAACAACATCAAGCGGAGGTATCCGTCCCCCACAGTACTTCTCCTCAATATACAGACATTCAAACAACATCAAGCGGAGGTATCCGACCCCCACAGTACTTCTCCTCAATGTACAGACAATCAATAAACATCAAGCGCAGGTATCCGTTCCCCACAGTACTTCTCCTCAATGTACAGACATTCAAACAACATCAAGTGGAGGTAACCGTCCCCCAAAGTACTTCTCCTCAATGTACAGACAATCAATAAACATCAAGCGGAGGTATCCGTTCCCCACAGTACTTCTCCTCAATATACAGACAATCAAACAACATCAAGCGGAGGTATCCGTCCCCCATAGTACTTCTCCTCAATGTACAGACAATCAATAAACATCAAGCGCAGGTATCCGTACCCCACAGTACTTCTCCTCAATGTACAGACATTCAAACAACATCAAGTGGAGGTATCCGTCCCCCACAGTACTTCTCCTCAATATACAGACAATCAAACAACATCAAGCGGAGGTATCCGACCCCCATAGTACTTCTCCTCAATATACAGACAATCAAACAACATCAAGCGGAGGTATCCGACCCACACAGTACTTCTCCTCTATGTACAGACAATCAAACAACATCAAGCGGAGGTATCCGTCCCCACAGTACTTCTCCTCAATGTGCAGACAATCAAACAACATCAAGTGGAGGTATCCGTCCAACACAGTACTTCTCCTCAATGTGCAGACAATCAAACAACATCATTAACTCAGGTATCCGACCCCCACAGTACTTCTCCTCAATATACAGACAATCAAACAACATCAAGTGGAGGTATCCGACCCCACAGTACTTCTCCTCAATGTACAGACAATCAAACAACATCAAGCGGAGGTATCCGTTCCCCACAGTACTTCTCCTCAATGTACAGACATTCAAATAAACATCAAGTGGAGGTATCCGTCCCCCAAAGTACTTCTCCTCAATGTACAGACAATCAAACAACATCAACTGGAGGTATCCGACCCCACAGTACTTCTCCTCAATGTACAGACAATCAATAAACATCAAGCGGAGGTATCCGTTCCCCACAGTACTTCTCCTCAATGTACAGACATTCAAACAACATCAAGTGGAGGTATCCGTCCCCCAAAGTACTTCTCCTCAATGTACAGACAATCAATAAACATCAAGCGGAGGTATCCGTTCCCCACAGTACTTCTCCTCAATATACAGACAATCAAACAACATCAAGCGGAGGTATCCGACCCCCACAGTACTTCTCCTCAATGTACAGACAATCAATAAACATCAAGCGGAGGTATCCGTTCCCCACAGTACTTCTCCTCAATGTACAGACATTCAAACAACATCAAGTGGAGGTATCCGACCCCCAAAGTACTTCTCCGCAATGTACAGAAAATCAAACAACATCAAGTGGAGGTATCCGTCCCCCACAGTACTTCTCCTCAATATACAGACAATCAAACAACATCAAGCGGAGGTATCCGACCCCCACAGTACTTCTCCTCAATATACAGACAATCAAACAACATCAAGCGGGTAGACCCCCACAGTATCAATATACAGACAATCAAACAACATCAAGCGGAGGTATCCGACCCACACAGTACTTCTCCTCAATGTACAGACAATCAAACAACATCAAGCGGAGGTATCCGTCCCCCACAGTACTTCTCCTCAATGTGCAGACAATCAAACAACATCAAGTGGAGGTATCCGTCCCACACAGTACTTCTCCTCAATGTGCAGACAATCAAACAACATCATTAATTCAGGTATCCGACCCCCACAGTACTTCTCCTCAATATACAGACAATCAAACAACATCAAGCGGAGGTATCCGACCCCACAGTACTTCTCCTCAATGTACAGACAATCAAACAACATCAAGCGGAGGTATCCGTCCCCACAGTACTTCTCCTCAATGTACAGACATTCAATAAACATCAAGTGGAGGTATCCGTCCCCAAAGTACTTCTCCTCAATGTACAGACAATCAAACAACATCAAGTGGAGGTATCCGACCCCACAGTACTTCTCCTCAATGTACAGACAATCAATCAAACAACATCAAGTGGAGGTATCCGACCCCCACAGTACTTCTCCTCAATGTACAGACAATCAAACAACATCAAGTGGAGGTATCCGTCCCCCACAGTACTTCTCCTCAATGTACAGACAATCAAACAACATCAAGTGGAGGTATCCGTCCCCCACAGTACTTCTCCTCAATGTACAGACAATCAAACAACATCAAGCGGAGGTATCCGTCCCCCACAGTACTTCTCCTCAATATACAGACAATCAAACAACATCAAGCGGAGGTATCCGTCCCCACAGTACTTCTCCTCAATGTACAGACAATCAATAAACATCAAGCGGAGGTATCCGTTCCCCACAGTACTTCTCCTCAATGTACAGACAATCAAACAACATCAAGCGGAGGTATCCGTCCCCACAGTACTTCTCCTCAATGTACAGACAATCAATAAACATCAAGCGGAGGTATCCGTTCCCCACAGTACTTCTCTTCAATATACAGACAATCAAACAACATCAAGCGGAGGTATCCGTTCCCCACAGTACTTCTCCTTAATGTACAGACAATCAATAAACATCAAGCGGAGGTATCCGTTCCCCACAGTACTTCTCCTCAATGTACAGACATTCAAACAACATCAAGTGGAGGTATCCGACCCCCAAAGTACTTCTCCGCTATGTACAGAAAATCAAACAACATCAAGCGGAGGTATCCGACCCCCACAGTACTTCTCCTCAATGTACAGACAATCAAACAACATCAAGTGGAGGTATCCGACCCCCACAGTACTTCTCCTAATCTCTTTAATGTACAGACAATCAAATAACCAAACGTGGAGGTATCAGACCTCGTAGTACTTCTCCTCAAACAACATCAAGTGGAGCTATACGACCCTCACAGTACTTCTCCTCAATGTACTGACACAGACAAGCAGCGTTACGGACGTGTCTGACGCCATGTTTGACCTTCAGTTGACCTTCCTGGTAGGCGGACGTGTAACCCACGCTGTGGTGGTGAATCAGCTGAGATGCATATACCTGTGTAAAGAAAAACAGAAAATCAAATCATTAGGCTAAACGGGATACTTTCATCAGCGCATCACTTTAATTTAACTTGTGTTTGCAAAGCGAAAATATTACCAATAGTTTAGAATTCCCAGCGTCAATTGAAGCAGAGTCTGTTTCCATTCTTGACCAGTTACATCATATAACAGAAAAAAGATAAGTGTGTATCCAGTTTTGTTTGTTGTTTATTTGTTGTTTTTCTAGCTAAGTATAAAGTGTTTTCCACCATCTGTATTCGTGACCATGTCAAATACGAAAGTCCCAGATCCTTCCTCGCTAATGAGAAACATTCAGGATGTCTGTTGGAATGTGTTTACAACACTTCGCCTTTTTCAAGGTATGAATTTCACTTTAGAAACATTTCCCTTAATGTCTAACATGCAGCGAGAATCAATTGATGTTGTCGGAAGGGACGATGCGGTAGCCTTGTGGGTAAAGCGTTCGCTCGTCGCGATGAAGACCCGGGTTCGATTCCAAACATATGGGTGCAATGTGTGAAACCCATTTCTGGTGTTAACCACAAGGCCACCCCACCGTCCCTTAATGATATCTGTCATCATATGAGTAGAACAACTTACCTGTGAGGCATGTGCATTCATTCCGACGTGTTTACCTTCCAGAAACGCCGCCAAGGAATTCTGAAAACATGTTCCACGTTACAGTTTAGTAAATGAGGTTTGAATGTATGGTTTCATGTTTAAGTCGATATTGCACAAATGGGTCTACGGTTTTCTCACTTTTAAAGTACTAATGACATTATAAATGTATTTCCAATTTCTGTAATCGAATATGTACCTACCTTGCAATCAGTTGGATTGTAAAACCAGAACTCGAGCTGTAACATTAAATAATGAGATAACACAATGAGATAACACAATGAGATAACACAATGAGATAACACAATGGATTCTAAAAGGTTCAGTAAAAATACAATCATGGCAAATCAAATTCATCATTTAATTACGAAATATGCACGTACGCACACACGTACGCACGCACGCACTTACACGCCCACACAGTCGTGTGTTCTGATCTGACATTTGTCTAATATTTAAATGACTCAATTAACTTTGTTCATGATAAGAAATTTATCTGAGTGAGTGAGTTGTGTTTCAGCCGCTGTTAGCAATATTCCAGCAATATCACGGCGGAGGATACCAGAAATGGGCTTCATACATTGTACCTATTTGGGGATTCGAACCTTTGCCGTGACGAGCAACGCTTTAACCACTAGGCTACCCAACCGCCACAAAACTTTATATAGTGAGTGAGTTTAGTTTTACGCCGCACTCAGCAATATTGCAGCTATAAGACGGCGTTCTGTAAATAATCGAGTCTGGACCAGACAATCCAGTGATCGAGAGCATGAGCATTGATCTGCGCAATTGGGAACCGATGACGTGTCAACCAAGCCAGCGAGCCTGACCACCCGATCCCGCTAGTCGCCTCTTACGACAAGCATGGGTTACTGAAGATCAATATACTAACCCGGACCTTCACGGGTATCATCACTGAAAGAAAGACAGCTTTCAAATTTATGATATAAAGAATAACATGTTTACTGTACATGGTGACTGTATTGGTAATGCTTTGTTATCAAAGAATATTGTAGCCAAGGTACATTCTAACCAGGACCTTCACGGGTCAAAACTTATGTGTATGGTATACTCACAAACGTCCTGGATGTAACACACCCAGACATCTGCATGTTGAATCCCACGATGATGTTGTATTTCAGAAATATTGTGTTGGCTTCAGTCAGTGCTTTCCGCATCCTTCTTTTCCTCTGTTGGTATTCAAAACACAAATATCTGTCATTTTGGGGATAAAGATTACATCAAACACGTTTTGTCAACAAAAGTATTTTGAAGGACGCCATCAACCTACGACCAAAGGCTCGAAGACTTAAGGTGACACGTGTCCAAAATGTGGTATGTTGGAATTTCCTTTCTACACGTTATAAGGTGGAGAGATTAAGCTTCACACAATCGCTGATCTTGATGGTATGAGAGAGGCATGTGCTTGCCCCTTGTATTGTCTACTTGGGATATGTGCTACCCTATTCATTTGGTTATTCACAGTAAAATTTAATAAAGTGAACTTACCATCAGTCGCTGAATGAAAAACCCTGCCGTGAAGGCCATCCAAGGTAGTGTAAAAGCGGTAGTAATGATAGGAACATGTGGGTGAAAAGGAATACGGCTTAATAGAATTATTGTCAGAACTGGCATAGCAACAAAGCCTGTAAAAAGTAGCAGTACAAGAATGGGTACACAGCAAGGTCCAAAGTCATAGAGATGTTTGCAGAAGCAGGTTACGGAGCGGATCAAGTCAAATGACTTGTCAAACTCTTCCGGGGGTATCTGAAATGAGAATTGACAATTTGCCAGATATAAACGTCTGCAGTTGCAAGACAGTGTAATGAAATCGAAAGAAGGATATTCTTAGAGATGTGTTTTGTTGGTGCTATGGTAACGTCAAAAACATGATTGATATTATGAACAGCGAGCCACGTCGTGTGGTACGGTGACACACAATAGACCAAGTCAAAAAGCCTAGTACCTGATCCAATCATTCGCCTTTTACAACGAGCAAAGGCTGATTGGGACCAGTTACAACCCCAGTGCATTGTTTTGCTTGGACTTTGGGGGGTTTGTTTAGCTTTTTTATTGTTCATCAAAGAAGAGAATTGTAACTTCACCTATGAATGTTAAGCACGTATGTGTTATTCCATGACTCACAGGTCTTTTAAATAAAAAATAACCACCAAACATTCATTGGGACCAGTTACTACCTTCGGAATGCTGAAGAATTGAGAATCTAATGATATGGGTTGTCGTCTGCTCCATTGTCTTTGTGGGGTCAAATGATAATAAGAGAAGAAAGATATATACCTGTATTCCTGGTCTCAGCAAAGCTTCGGGAACATACGGTGCCCTTATAACTTCTCCTGATGGACATTTGTAGCTGGAGACAATTTCGGTCAACTTTTCCATATTACCTGAAAACGGCCATAATGTAAATAGCATTACCTGTATTCTGGTGATTCCAGTGTAAGTTCTGGCTATTTCTGCCAACACTAAATTGATGGCATATACACAATATTTTCAAAGCATTCGTCACACCCAATGAAAATTTGTCACTGATTTATGTAAAACATGGGAAACATGTATTTTAAAGGACCTTTGTATGTATTTTGGTTTGTATGGACTGTAAGGCAAGCGGTTATGGATGTCAACTTCTTTATTTTGATGGACACGACGTTTAAAAGTATATTCTTCCTCCTCCATCAGATGAATTTTGGGGCTTGAGTCCATAAATGCTTGCCTGTATGTGTATCACGTCGAAGTGCTGTTCAAAACCTCTGCATGGACGGTGTATACATAATACTGTAGAATCAACTTCTCACCATATCTAGGCCGGACCGTCACGTCTCTGGTGCCAGTGTAGTTGCTGAGGAGATCGTCTAAAAAGAAAGAAATATCTCAGATTATACCTTCTACATAACAGTGTTATTCCATCTATACGAAATATCTTTCCATATTTTATGTACAAAAAGGTACAAAATTATGCAAACTGTGCCACAATGTGTCAGTCCCCAAAAGTAAGTATAATATAATATAATATATAGTGTGTGTTGTGTATGTTATATGTGTCCAGTGAGTTATTTTTACTTTACGCCGCTTTTAGCAATATTCCAGCAATATCACGGCGGCGGGCACCACAAATGGGCTTCACACATTGTACCTATAAGGGGAATCGAACCAAGGTCTTCGGAGTGACAAGCGAATGCTTTAACCACTAGGCTACCCCAGCGCCCCACATATATAGTATGACCAGAAATTACTGAGAATTTTAGGAATATGTTTAATTGGATTTCTAATATAAACAACCTTGACGAGCTATCAAGTGCTTGGTTTCATTCAAGAGAGACAACTCCGTTAATCCTTTATCATTTGATTGTGAAGAGTTAACCCCCTTTGTTTTCTTGCTAGCAGACGATATTTTCAGTGATTTTCAGGATGATTTAGAGAAGAGGAAGTTGATTTTAGAGTATTATAACAAGGACATCAGATCAGCTAAAGTGGTTTCAAGTAGAACAGGCATCCCTTTGTCCTCTGTTTATCGTGTTTTGAAAAATATTGCAAATGGATATGGCATTGAGCACCAGGGAGGCGCAGGTAGGCCCAGAAAATTGACTGTCGGTGACAGGAGGCGGCTTGGTATTCTTGTTTCTAAAAAACAAACGAAGGAGTTTAGAAAACTTAAGGCTGGATATGATTGATAGAGGAACTGTGGCGGTCTGTAAGGAGACAATTAGAACTGAGCCGCATGCAATGGGTTGGCAGAAAAGTCGAGGAATTCCATCACCGATCATGAAACCTGAACAAAAGGAGCGAAGGTTGAACTGGTGCTTACAGCATAGAAATGTTAACTGGGACAATGTGATTTTCTCAGATGAAAGTTCTGACCAGACAAAGTAAAAACCTTTGTATCAGCGCCCAAAGTACAGTCCGAAATTTAACGTGTGTGGTGGCATATCTGTGTTAGGGGCAACGCCCCTCTGTATTTGAAGGGAATATGAACAGTGAGCGGTACACAGATATTCTCGAGGGACATTTACTTCCATCTGCTCACGTGTTCTATGGAATTTGTTTGATTTTCCAGCAGGACAACGACCCAAAACATCGTTCAAAGCATTCGCAGGCCTGGTTTCGGACCCAAAATATGACATTACTAGATTGGCCAAGCTATAGCCCTGACCTAAATCCAATAGAAAATGTTTGGGGACTTATGAAGGAAAGTGTCAATAAGAAACATCAGACAATATTGCTGAAATGAAAGAAGAGGTGGTCCGATATTGGGACAGCATGGACCACGACTTTCTAACTTCTTTGATCAGTAGTATGCCCCGCCGCATTGAAGCCTGCATTGCTGCCCATGGTGACTTGACAAAATACTAACTGTTCACCTGTCTTTGAATCTGGAGTTATGTTCTGCTAATATTCACATTTAATACGTGAGTAATGAGTGAAAAAAAAAAAATTACAATCTTTAAATTCTCAATAATTTCTGGTTGTACTGTATCTAAGCAATCCTTTTATGTACACATAGACATTAATATTGTGAGAGTATATTATAATATCGGCGGCGTTTGCTCCTACAGTTAGACAAGAAAATAATAATATCATATCGGAATCTAAGATAGATAGGTAGATAGAGAGGTGGCACTCCACGCAGTGTAGAGCACATTTTTTTGTCACAGAATCTTTGATGTACTATATTTCTTTTCACACAGAACTTCATGCCCAAAACATCGCTAACCACCGTGGTTTTATTTAATTTTGATGTAATTTTAATTTTATTTTGACCATGGGATAAGATGCTCAGGGAAAAGAATCCGTATACCAATTCCTAAAAAATAGAGGCCTAAATATCTGTTATTAACGTTTTGCCAGTATGGATTAAGAATACCTCTAGAAACTATGGCCCCAATGAACCTCTGCCACCAGTCATTGCCAGGAGTTGCGTCGATGTAGGTGAGGGTCTTGATACTGTCAGGTACAGGGCACTGCTTCACCATCACAGGCACCACCAGCAGCTGGCTCTCCTCCATACCCAGGATCATCCCCATCTCAATCTCAAACATGCACCAGTGACTCTGTAGGAAGTCGGGAGACAGCACCAACACCGTCTTCTCCGACAGACGGATGTGTTCAGTGATGTTTTCAATGATACGCTTGCCCCCATGAAAATCTCTCTCGTGGACGCTGCATTTGAAGCCAAAGTCTGGTGACTCCAATTTGTTGGTAATCTGTTCCACCCACTTTCGGTCAGTAATTTCATAAGAAAAGAAGACGTGATATTTCTTTCCTTCTGAGAGGGGAGGAGCGACAGGCATGCCAATCTGCAATTGTTGTGAAAGGGGTTCTACCTCAATCGCAACTGATTGTAATGATGAAACGGAATGATTTCTGTAATTGTCAGAGTCTGTCGTGCTATAAACTGTCTTAGGATCTCCATATTCGCCTCTTCGTAGCGTCGACATTGATTCTGTTTCGGAATTCTGAGACAGCTCATCCTCCATAATGAGCTGCGAAACTTTACTGCTGGAAAGGGATATAGACAGCTTAGAGTAAGAGAACATTGAATATAATTTAAATTATCCATCTGTTTTTTTGTTTGTTGCTTAGCGACACACGAAGCAATATTCCAGCTATACGGCGGTTTGTAAATATTTATGTTTGGACCAGACAATCCAGTGACAAACAGCATGACATCGATCTACGCAATTGGGATACTAAAACATGTGTCAACCAAGTCAGCGAGTCTCACCACCCATTAGTCGCCTCTAGCATGGGTTGCTGAAGGTCAAATCTAACCTGAATCTTCACGGGTCAGTTTCCTTTTGTAAGACGTCGGGGATGGGCATGGCGGTACTTAGAACTGAACGTACTGAAATTTCAGATCGCAAGTTATATCTGCATTACAGACCTGGTGAATGATTGGCTTCTGATAACCAAATAAATTTCCGACACTCTCGTTTCAATAACTACTTTCGTATTAGGGGAGGTGGGGTAGCCTAATGGTTAAAGCGTTGGCTCGTCAAGCCAAAGACCCGGGTTCGAATCCCCACATGGGCACAATGTGAAGCCCATTTCTGGTGTCCCCCGCCGTGATGTTGCTGGAATATTGCTAAAAGCGGCGTAAAACCAAACTCAGTCAGTCAGTACTTTCGTATTACAATACGTTGAAACAAACTGGGGTAACTGGACTTGACTTGAAAGGACACCCATACCATTGAACTATAAGAAAACAATGTGCGTCCATTTCACTTGCCCTTTAGTAGACTAGGCAATTGTTTGATCGGCATTCTTTCAGTTGGCGAGTTAACAATGAAGCATGCAACAGTTAGCTTGATAACGGTGTGAGAATCCACTGTATGCTTCATCATTAACTCACATGTGAAAATAGCCACTGGCCCGCTAGCCCGTGGCTAGTAAAAATCCAGTCGGGCCAGTAATCTCCACAGTCACTGACCCGAACGGCTGGTGAATTTTCATGGGGTCATTTTGTAAATATATCACTCTATCTGACTCTGTTATAATAGATAATAAAAATGTTCATCATATTAGCAGCTTAATGGTGAAACCCGTGTCTACATTCAAATTTCCGGCTAGTGAATTATTTTGTGGGCCAGTAACTTTCAGGCATAGCAAAATTTGGAAACTATTTCGCACGCTGCTCACATGGTAGTAAAGTGTTTATTGGCAGGATGTTGTGACTTAGACAATAACTAACGAGTGACGGGGAATGACAGATTATCTTTCCTGAGTTATATCAATTACGTAATTCTCGAGCCTTGGAATTACGTAATTAATATAACGAGGGAAAGATAATAAGTCATTCCCCGTCACGTGTTGCCTTGGTTATTGTTTTTATTACCCATATCAGTTTTCGACCTAAACAACGCTAAAATGAAAACGACATTTTCTATAAGGAAACCCGCGATATGGAGAATCCCCGCGTTGATTGGTTGTTTTGTTTTCTAAAACAGCCAATCAACGTTCACCAAAAAGTGTAACCTCCCTTTGAACTTGCAGGAAAAATACTACCCTGAGTCCTCCTTCCCATGTGGGTAATAATTATGACCAAGTGAAAAACAATTTGTGAAGCGAGTTAGATTAATATAGAAGTAGTGCAAACAGCGCGCTATAGAAACGTGGCATAGGCCTATAGGCCTTTAATAATAATGAACCTATCTCTAACGCTACTGAAGGCCAAGAGTAACTCAAGGCCTTCACGCATTTTTGTGTGACTCATGTTTAACAGTGGTTGACTAATTTTGAAAATGTTGGAAGAAAAGGAACTGTTCAGACACCCGGTGTTACTGTCTGAACGTCACAAAGGTTTATCAGTGAATAGAAACAAATAATGTAACAGTAAGAAACATCGCTCCGTATTCCGAAGGTTGTCATTATAATTCTCTTGGAGACTGTTCCCGGTCAAAGAAAGAACACACTGACAACTCATGGAATAAATCTGATTGCATATTTGCGCATTTAGAAAATTAATAATGAGCAGATCAAATTATGTTGTTAGCAAATACCATATAAGGAATATGTCCCTTCAGAACTATTTTGGTGCGTGGGGTAGCCTAGTGGTTAAAGCGTTCGCTCGTCACGCCGAAGGCCAGGGTTCGATTCCCCACATGGGCACAACCCATTCCTGTTGTTCCCCGCCGTGATATTGCCGGAATGTTGCTAAAATCCAGCTCTCTCACTCAGAACTATTTTGATCTGTTCTGTTGTAATACAGATTGGTTGGATGCCTTGCTGAGGTGATAATATTTCAAACAGCAAGACTGAAAATGTGTCATTTGGTGGCCATGCTTCACTCACTCGAAGTAATAGTCACGTGTATTTCCCATCTTTGTGATCGCTGCAAATAGCAGTATTTACTCACTCACTCTCCATCTATGTCAGCCAGACCGATATCTGTTTCCTACTTCTTGATAACCCCGTGACAACGATTTCAGTTTTTTGAACATAAATGAGGATTATAACTCTACAAGCTCATGTCATCAATCATACAGTTCACAATATAAGTATAACACAAACGTCACACAATCCATTACATGAATGCTACACTGACGCCATACAATCCATTAAAAACATTAAACACTGACGTCATACAAGCCATTACAATAATGCATCACTAACGCCATACAAGCCATTACAATAATGCAACAGTGACGTAATACAATCCATTAAATAATTCAACACTGACGTCATACAATCCACTGCAATAATGCATCATTAACGTCATACAATCCATTACAATAATGCAACAGTGACGTCATACAATCCATTAATAATTCAACACTGACGTCATACAATCCACTGCAATAATGCAGCAATAACGTCATACGATCCGACACAGTGATGCAACACAAATGTCACACAATCCATTACAATAATGCAACACTAACGTCATACAATCCATTACGGTAATGCACCACAAACATCACACATCTATTACAACAAAGCTACACTGGCGTCACACAATCCACTGCAATAATGCAGCACTAACGTCATACGATCCGTCACAGTGATACAACACAAATGTCACACGATCCATTACAATATTGCTAGACTGACGCCATACAATCCATTAGAATAACGCAGCAATGACGTCATACAATCCCTTACAATAATGCATCACTAACGCCATACAATCCATTAGAATAACGCAGCAATGACGTCATACAATCCCTTACAATAATGCAGCATTGACGTCATCAATCCCTTTCAGTATTGCAACACAAACGTCATACAACCATTACAGTAAAGCAATACAAGCGTCACACATTCCATTACAAAAAAACACCGACATCACACAATCCTTTTCAGTAATGCACACGTGACACAATCCTGTCTGCCCTGTAATGATATCGGGTTGGATTACACCCCTGGAAACCAATGCTTGTTGTGTCTGACTGACTGACTGAGCAGATCGCCAGACTCGGGGACGTGCTTGATTGTACCCCAAGGGTGTTGTCAGGTAGGTAGTCTAATGGTTATAGCGTTCGCTCGTCACGTCAAAGACCCGAGTTCGATTCCTCACATGGGTACAATGTCTGAAGGCCGTCTGTGGTGTCCCCCGCCCTGATATTGCTGAATACTGCTAAAAGCGGCATAAAACTAAACTCACTCACTTGAACCCCGAAGGAGTAGGCATTCTAGCATTTGCAACACTGCCGGCCGTGTCAACATCCAACAAGCAAACAAATTAACTATTTACAGAAAATAATATCACTTTTAAACCGAACAATAACATTGCTAACTGACAAGCTTACGTTCACGGAGCTCCGGATTACGCGTTCTTCCTGCTGACGCCGAAGTGAGCACAGAAATACCTTGGCTGTAGAACTGTTTATATAGACCACTCGCACTTTTTCAATGCGTGACTTAGCTTCCACGAAACTTTACAGCATCTTCCGAGTGTTGGCACTTGTATCTCTCCTTATATCACAGGATACACATTGATGCCTGTCATTTCCGATTTACAGAATATTCCAACATCAGTATGACATTACACATCACTAAGAAGAGACTACATTATATAGAGAGATGTTTAGACATGCACACACTTACACACACAGATAGATCAATATAGATAAGATATAGACATACATAGACATATACGTACGTGTGTGTGTGTGGTGTGCGCGCGCGTGATGTGAGGTTTTCATGGGATGTTAACTCAAACCATCTTATGCGTCATTTCGCCAGAAATCTGTAATAGTGCTTCAAATCAGAGAATCAAACCGTGCACTTTGTAAACATCTGGGAGAGAGAGAGAGACAGAGACAGACAGACAGACAGAGACAGAGAGCGAGAGAGACAGAGAGACAGACAGAGTGAAAGATATTCTGCCATACGGAGTGAGTTGTTTCTAAACATAAGCCCGGTTTCTAAAGGAAGCATCCCATTAGTCACACGACCCATTAGTTATACGCCTTAAAAATGGTTAATTGCTCTTACATATGAACCCTTAGCACCCATATGAAACGACCACAAAAAGACATTTAACAGGCAGATTTTATTTATCTTTGTAACAAGTATAAATACAGATGTATATAAAACATTTCTTCCGTACTTCCTGATTTTACTGCGGTCTTAGCTCAATATATGTGTAACTTCTTTGAGAGGCATTTTAGAAGTTGTACAGATGAAGGAAAACCAAGTTGTATGGCAATAAAGAAGTTGACTATCCATACAACTTGGTTTTCCTTAATAAATGTTTAGTTATTCTCGAACCCGTGAAGGTGCGGGTTAGAATGAACCTTCAGTAACCCATGCTTGTCGCAAGAGGCGACTAACGGGATCGGGAGGCCAGGCTCGCTGGCTTGGTTGACACATGTCATCAGTTCCCAATTGTGCAGATTGATGTTCATGCTGTTGATCACTGGATTGTCTGGTCCAGACTCGATTATTTACAGACCGCCACCATATAGCTGGAATATTGCTGAGTGCGGCGTAAAACTAAACTCACTCATTCACTCTCACGCAAGAAATGTGGCCGAGTCTATTGTATCGTAGGGGAGGATGATCCTTGTTGTTTTAATTAATCCGGTTCGTTCCGTATGACTATTGGCCGTATGAGAAATGGGTGTATGACTAAAGGGTTATAACCGTTTCTAGATGCAGACAAAACGCCTTTGGTTCTGGCTTTTGAGTTTAAATAACTATTTTAACCAGGCCTTACGTAATATGTGCAAACCTGTTTGCGTGTCTCCATACACATATAATATCATGACATCAATCTTTATAAATAAAAAAATCAACAATATGAAATCCATTGATTGCCTGTTTAATCAATAGCACACAAATACCGTAAACACGAATACTGAATCAGTGACACATATCGACGTAATATTGCAACTCAAACCCCGCCCATCTTACACTCAGCCAGTCAAGAAATGGTGGGCGTGGCCTAATAACTTTCCGCTTCATAGAAACATTAAATGGGAACGTTGTTTGTGTATGCAATAAAAATACCTTTCAGATGTCCTGTGTCTTTAACAGAAGATTTTCACAGGTGATGAAAGTATTTTAATCCGATTTCTGTGTATGTCCATTTCTGTTTGTAGGCATTCTTTGCCAAATAATATTTAATAAAATGACATTTCACCTCTCTCCTTACTTTTGAGAAAATATTTGTTTTATTAAAAATAAAATCGGTAAAGTGAGTGAATATGGTTTTACGCCGCTTTTAGCAACATTCCAGCAATATCACGGCGGGGGACAACGGAAATGGGCTTCAAACAAAGGCGTTAGAAATACCTGCAAATTTGATATGGAATCATAAACCAACATCACCTTTCAGAATGAGTATGTTTTTTGCCGATTATAGCAATATCGCAGCAATATCGCAGCAAAACAGAACACAGGAAATATGCGTCAGACATTTTACTCATATATGGGTATTCTGCGTGACGGAGGAACTCGATCTTTAACCACTGGGCTATCGCGCCGCACCCTCACCTGACTGACGGAACAAAGTTATGATATTCGTATACGTTACATCCAAGAATTCCTTGCCCCGCATCTTCTGAACGATGGTTTGACTGCGCCTTTGTCGTTGAAGATAGTCCTCTGGTAGTCCTTGTACAGGTGCATGTTCCTCCACGAGTAGAAGTTCATGTCGACATACCCCAAATTGGGATAAAGTTTCACTGTTTTGCGTCTCGTCGAGATTGTCGGACGTCGAAGTCTGTTGACGATGTCTGCAACCTCCCGCTCGTACACGACAGACGTGAGCAGTTTGGGCTTCCTTCTGTCAGCAGACGTCAGCAAACTGGAAGATCCGAAACTGATCAAGGAGGTGGAGGCCGATTTGGATCTGCGTAGTCGAGGCGGAGAGCTGAAACAAGGGAGGTAAACGCTGCCTGCCCCTCTGGCGCCGATGTCAACCACTCGTTCGGGAGTTTCCGTATTCTGTCGCAAATACGTCTTGTTCGGGCTGGAACTTCTGGACGTCATGGCCTCAAACTGAAGACTCTTAATTGGGCTTTATATTCTCTGTGATCTGGAGGGGTGGAGCGAAGAACTGAAGATAAATTGTATATTTCCTATAACGATTGTTTAGTGCCTTCGTCTTCGCAAATGGATGACCTGCTTGATGCGCAATCCTTCACTTCAGATTGAATTGCAATTATCTGGTTTCCTTGCAATATATTAAGTAGCTGAACGACAAGACCTCTATTAGACAAAGACACTCGGCAGTGAAGTGAACGAGTATTTCTCATGAATATAAAATGGTTTCAAGTCCCAGACGCCCTTGACCATTCGAAAGACACTACCCTACAAATGGTGTACGTGGTATCTCCTTCAATCCAAATGCCTTGATACGAGCTTGTCTTCCACGCTTTCAAAAAGTATTTTGTCTCCTAGGAGACTGGGATAGTGAACTGAATCTGCAATACCAAATGTTTATTGTCTTCTTTCAGAGTTAAAACAGTTCTTGTCAAACAACTCGGTCTATCTAGTCTCGCTGGACACGGAATCTTTTCAACACGGGTCTCGTCCACACTCTTTATAGTCTTCCTTGAGACGCCTCAAAGACCAATACTGTGGACGCTTACTTAAATGTTACTCACGTTTTCTCAAGCAACACTCTCTAGACATCCCAGCGAATACTTCGCGCTCTTTCAGCAGCACTACCTAGTCTTCTTTTAAACAACACTGCCAAGTCTTCCTTGGAAGTGAATCTCGCCTTTAAGACACAATCAGTGTCTACTTTTTCTCGAGAGAGTATAAAGACTTTTCCAGCAATGCTGTCTAGTCCTTGCGTCCTTTTAACAATGCAGTCAAGTCTTCTTTGGGAGTTAATCGCCTCTTCTAGACAAAAACTGTCTAGTGTTCCTAGAAACTGAATCACTTCGATTTCTCTTAGCATGCACAGTCTAGCCTTCTTTGTGTTATTTCGATGTACCGTTCCCTGCACAATCTCCCAGCTGCCTTATAACGTTGTCTCCGCTCACAAAACACTAACTTTCCTTGAGATACAACGTCCCCATGCAAGAAGAATGGAGAAAATGCACATCTATGCTAGCCAATATTCCAGTGCACTTCCATGAAATAGTCACGTCCCGTAAAACCATGCACCAACTAGATAGTTTCACCGAAGGATCATGTAGCACCTGTCACTCTACAAGCCATGTTTAAATCGATAAGATATATATTCTCGAAAAAATCAATAATCAAGTTAGTCCCGAAGCCCCGTCGTTCCCCGACACCCGGCAATGTGAACAGCTCACTGGGTGGTTTCTGTCTACCCGGGTTAGGGGCGTCCTTGAAGTCCTGTTAAACCCTACCATGACTACTAAACCCCCTTTTCCTCAGAACTGCACACGGATTGGGATTAGCCGTGCCTTTGTCGAGCCGCTGGGATTAAGTAACAGGGCTTCGTTTCAGTGTCTAAGCCTCTAATGTTATGAGCGGAGTGACAGATTTTCGATACATGCATAATAGGTGGTATATAAATGATTGTTGAAGATGTAATGATCCAGTGTTCTGTGGAAATGTGATAAGCGTCTTGGCATAACATCATCGCATGAATGACCTCAGTAGTTATATTGCGGAAAAACAATTAATAACGATTCACTACGTACGAATCAGTTTTAACGTTACACGATGTGTTTTGTACTTCAAGCGACTCAAAGCATGTGATGCCTTGAGCACAAACGCTTTTAATGTTCACTAGATTGAATCAGCGTCCATTGAATTAAAATAAAATAATTAATTGCGTGCTTTTGGCAATACTCATACATCAAACACCGTCACTTTACCTAACTACCCGTGAAAATCTTGCTTAGAATGTTATCATTTTGTGGATTATTTTAAAAATTTATCATATTCAGTTATATTTTTATTTTTTTATTTTTTTTATTCATTTTTAATTTTTTTAATTTTTTTTATTTCATTTATTTTTTTATTTGTTTGGGGTGATGGTGGTTGTGGGTTGGGTTCTTTTGTTGTTGTTGTTGTTGTTTTGCTTTGTTTTGTTTATTTCACTGATTTTAGGGAATGGGTGTCCCAGATGTCAGAAGCACTGTTATTTACTGTGAAGAATAGCATCCCTTAGACTTGTCAGAAACATGATTTTCCTGTTTTCGTTGTGAGATTTGTCAACGTTATACTCTTGTTGGTTTCTACAAGTGGTAAACGTCTTCCACCTAGATCACTCTAGGCTGCATCCTTGAATATCCAGGGTAGAATTTGTCTTGAGCAACCAATGCATGTCTTAAGAGGAGACTAAGAGGCGAGTCAGGCTCGCTGACTTGGTTGCAACATGTCTTCGTATCCTGATTGCGTAGATCGATGCTCATGTTGCTGATCACTGGATTGTCTGGTCCAAACTCGATTATTTACAGACCACCGCCATATAGCTGGAATATTGCTGAATGTGGATTTAAACAACTTACCAACCAACTTTACGTAGCTGTATAATCAACGCTGTACTTTACAGCAGGCCAACACAGGCAGTGGGGGTGGTGTGGTCGCCTAATGGCTAATAATAATAATAACTTTGTTAGCTAACATAACTGATATTTTACAAAATGGATATTTTCTAGATATATGTCTTATTTTATATGGCAATGCAGACCTCTCAACTGAAGGAAATCTGAATATCTTCAAACATGTCCATCGTTACATCAATCAAACTAAACGATTCCTCTGTTCATCCTAATCTGTTATATTCTCAAACTCAAGATATCTCATGTATATGTTCTCTGTTTCTCATGTATATGTTCTCTGTTTCTCATGTATATGTTCTCTGTTTCTCATGTATATGTTCTCTGTTTCTCATGTATATGTTCTCTGTTTCTCATGTATATGTTCTTTTCTCATGTATATGTTCCTGTTTCTCATGTATATGTTCTCATGTATGTGTTCTCTGTTCTCATCATGTATATGTTCTGTTTCTCATGTATATGTTCTCTGTTTCTCATGTATATGTTCTCTGTATATGTTCTCTGTTTCTCATGTATATGTTCTCTGTTTCTCATGTATATGTTCTCTGTTTCTCATGTATATGTTCTCTGTTTCTCATGTATATGTTCTGTTTCTCATGTATATGTTCTCTGTTTTCTCATCATGTATATGTTCCTGTTTCTCTGTATGTTCTCTGTATATGTTCTCTGTTTCTCATGTATATGTTCTCTGTTTCTCATGTATATGTTCTTCTGTTTCTCATGTATATGTTCTCTGTTTCTCATGTATATGTTCATGTTATGTTCTCTGTTTCTGTATGTTCTGTTTTCTCATGTATGTTCTCTGTTTCATGTATATGTATATGTTCTCTGTTTCTCGTGTATGTGTTCTGTTGTTTCTCATGTATATGTTCTCTGTTTCTCATGTATATGTTCCTTTTCTCATGTATATGTTCCTGTTTCTCATGTATATGTTCTCTGTTTCTCATGTATATGTTCTCTGTTTCTCTGTATGTTCTCTGTTTCTCATGTATGTTTCTCATGTATATGTCTCTGTTTCTCATGTATATATTCCGTTTCTCATGTATATGTTCTCTGTTTCTCATGTATATGTTCTGTGTTCTCATGTATATGTTCCTGTTTCTCATGTATATGTTCCTGTTTCTCATGTATATGTTCCTGTTTCTCATGTATATGTGCTCTGTTTCTCATGTATATGTTCCTGTTTCTCATGTATATGTTCTCTGTTTCTCATGTATATGTTCTCTGTTTCTCATGTATATGTTCCCTGTTTCTCATGCATATGTTCTCTGTTTCACATGTATATGTTCTCTGTTTCTCATGTAAATATAATTGTTGTGAATATTGGGAGAGGGAGTCATTAAGTTGGATAACTTGTGCCCAATCCTTTTCTTCAATGAATAAAATATGTTTAAATCAAATCATAATCTTAAATAAGAACATAATAAAGTGTCACTCATAACTCACATACACAATGCAATTTACAAACTGTGTTTAAATGCAAGATTTATATTTGAGATTACGCTTTCCCAGTAAAGTACAGATTCTAGTAGTTTTCGGGGGTTTCGTCCCATGAGGTTTCAAACCCACTCTCCCAGAGTGAAGCACAAAATCACCAGCACTCGAAGTCAGCTATCTAACCTACTTAGCCACCACCACAATTAACTTGTCTTCTATAACTGCCATTTGTTAAACATGAAGCATGTAGGATCAGATTGAAACCCTTCATCTCAGCACAATACTGCCGTTCGACATAAAACTAGCATTTTTAAACAAACAAATAAAAACAGAATTCCATATCCGTTGTCATGTGACAATTATGCAGTCTTACGTAGCATATGTATGCAGCGTGCGAAATAGTTTTCAAATTTGGCTAGCCAGTCGGGCTAGCTATGTCTGAAAGTTACTGGCCCACAAAATAATTCACTAGCCCGACATTTGAATGTAGACACGGGTTTCATCATTAAGCTGCTAATATGATGAACATTTTTATTATCTATTATAAGTCAGAGAGAATGATATATTTACAAAATGATCCCATGAAAATTCATCAGCCATTCGGGTCAGTGACTGTGGATTTCCGACTGGATTTTTACTAGCCACGGGCTAGCGGGCCAGTTGCTATTTCGCACACTGTAAATGATATATATAGAACAGTATAACATTGCACTGATTATGTTGTCTACCAACCTTGGTTAAGATGAGTTTGAGATGTGCTGGGGTAACCTAGTGGTTAAAGCGTTCGCTTGTCACGCCAAAGACCCGTGTTAGATTCCCCACATAGGTATTGGGTGTCTAGCCCATATCTGGTTTGCCCCGCCGTGATATTGCTAGAATATCGCTAAGAGCGGCGTAAAACTAACCTCACTCACTAAGATAATTTTGACCCTTTTGTATCCTTCATCAGACCACTCCCCAGAAAAGAAGGGTCATATCAAACAATAGCTTATTATGTGATGATGTTTTAGAAAATTAGGTTTTCTCGATGAACATTGATGACTTCTTTGGCTTTTCCTATACTTGTTGGTGCTCCTGTGTTTACAGATTGTTGCTCTCTTTGTATATCAGGGGCGGTGGGGGTAACCCAGTGGTTAAATCGTTCGCTAGTCACGCCGAAGACCCAGGTTCGATTCCCCACATGGGTACAATGAGTGAAGCCCGCCGTGATATCGCTTAAATATTACTTTAAAGCGGTGTAAAACTAAACTAAACTTACTTTGTATATCTGTTCTGTCGCTGTTCAATTTAGCGTAAAAACGTGTTAATTCACACAATTTCAGAGCATCATCTGTGAAACATGCTATGAGTAATGATTCACAACGCTCTGTTGACTAGCCTTTGCTTTAGAACTCATTAATGCTCGAAATAGCTTCTTCTTCCAGAATTTGTTTTTCTACCGATATATACACTCACATTGTTGTCACATTTAAAGTCAATTGAAATAAAGTGAGGTTATTTTTAAATATGATCTCACATCAACACTTATATCAGCCCGATGCCAGATCACGTTGGCCTGGTGGAAAATTAAACATTATTAATCGAAACCGAAAAATACCGGAACATCCCGAAAGCTAAGATTATAATTCAAGGGAGATAACTCACCGAATTCCGGTAGCAGAAAGAAAGCGAAATGGCGACCAGCCCAGGACAGGGGCTTTCGTTGGCGATAAAGCCACTTTTGTCGGCGTCATACTCTTCATTTAACAAAAATGACCTACCAGATTTGACTAAAGGCATACTAAAAAGGTACATCCAGAAAATTGGGCAGTTACACCTTTGCTTTTACTCATGATCAATTGCGTCAGATGATTTGGCAGATTTTGATTCGAACAGACGTGTTGTTTACACCTACCCCAGTTCACTTTCGATACATAAGGAAATCAAATGCTTTGTTGTTATGTTACTTCATTATGTAATAATAGGCCTTGTGAAATGTAGACCAGGAGATGCTAGCTTGTTTAGATTCGAGACTTATCAATTTTGTTCAGACCAGACGCCGTGTGACGGAGTGAAACTGAAAGACAAATCACAGTAGACCAAGTTAAAATTCGTCAGTCGGCAAAATTCTCATTGACTTGCATGTTATTTTAGTGTAGCTGTAATAATTTTCACTAATTCAGATATTTTTATTTGGTTGTCAAATTTTGCAGGTTGTGAGGAATTCATCTTGGTCACAGATACATAATTTCCATGTAATGTTCCCAAGTATTTTCCGCATATTGTAGTTACATGAGCAACATGTATACCACTCTCCTACCCAGAGTTCCATGCGGCAAGCCATAGCATAGTATCTCTGCCACAGGCCAGAAAAATGTGACGATTCGTCACATCTTGCACCGTCCATTCAATATAATTTACATATTTCTCAACTCTTTTATTTTTGACGAGTCTACACAACTAATTAAACATCTTTGATAGAATGGTTTAGTTTCATTGAGAAAATATCCTAAAACATGTATCACTATTTCGATTTGCGTAAGCGATCCTTTGTTTACATAGGTTGTACGGCTCCACGTGCTGTCATCGAAGCTGATGGAGAGCAAACGATGCAGCCAGTTTGATATCTAAATATGTACTGTCATAGACCTTACTGTCGCAGTTGTGGAAGAATATATATGTAACAATGTAAAACATTATGAAGAGAACCCGAAAAGCTTTTCGTGAGTCCAGTCTCTTCTTATTGATGAATATGCGCGTTTGATTACAAACAAGAGAAAAGTCTGGTCACGTGATATGCAAATTAGCCTGTGGCAGTGATGTTATGTTAAGTCATCGCTGTGCCGGAGTGTGCATGTATACAACATTGTGTGTGGCCATTTTGACTAGGGGTTTGTGGCCATTTTGACTGTTTTGTGGCCATTTTGACTTGGATGTTTTAGGGCCATTTTGACATGTGGCCATTTTGACTAGACTCTATTCTTTCCCCATAGACCTTCATGTTAAAAATTGTCAAACCATGACACGCATCAATCAAAGTGTGGTCATTCTTGAAATACTGAATGGAAAATATAAGGGAAATTATGTCTTTACAGATTCATGACACGTGCAAAATATGAACAAGATCAAACGAAAAATAAATTCAAGAAAATTTTTGGCCTACCTTTAGAATACAGCACCACAAACTTTAAAAATACGTCATAATACCCTTTTACGTAATGTAATGTGATTTTGTTCGAAAGCACGTTCTCGAAACAATGCCCTATGACGCCTGCATGGCAACACGGTTGTCTAGCTCAGCGAGTGCGTATAAGCTCCACTGGCTGGTGTTTCATCTCTACTAGCTATGTCATTGCATAAGCCCAACGATGTTGAGAGTTTCCAGTAGTTGTATACCGGCGGATGCGCAATTTATTGCAAGCACCAGTTTGAAATATTTTTCTTTTTTCACGAATACGCTCATATTTATTTGTATTATGGGGTGCTGAGGTGTTATGTTTTGGGTATTATTGTATTTTGGTATTTTAAGAATTAGCGAGAATGCGTTACACCGGTCTATATTATATATATTCGATTATTCGCAATTTTGGTCAATGTAATTAATTTAATTATGTAAATATATTTTATATCTCGGTTTCTAAGTAACTATTAAGTCTAAATTATTTACCAATGTGAACTGACATACATATATTTTTTTCATTCAGTAATTTGCACCATTACATAGAAAAGTTTTTTATTAGTATTTTATTTTTCAAAGCGGTAATAATGCATTACACTGACACGTCAGTCATGTTTGTTCGGGTCAATGCCTTTATTCGAATTATTTCAAGGGTCAATGGGCATTAGGGTTATTCCAATATATTTCAAGGAGTTATTTGTTGTTTTCCCTTTTGCATTTTAATACTGCCGTTAGGGCTGAGGGTTAGGGTAGTTAGGGCTTTAGGGTTAGGGACCTAATCCAATATAGTAGGTACATGTCAGGTGTAATACTTGAGTACCATTTGTTGTTTTTCCCTTTTGCATTTTAATACTGCCAGTTCGGTCAATGCATTCTATTTATTAGGATTATTTCAAAGGGTTAGGGTAAGGTTAGGGCTGAGGGGTTAGGGTTAGGGACCTAATCCAATATAGTAGGTACATGTCAGGTGTAATACGTGAGTACCATTTGTTGTTTTTCCCTTTTGCATTTTAATACTTTTTTTTCACACAAAAACGGGAAACCGAAAACGTCGAAAGTACACTATGAAAGGGTTTAATGTAGAAATTTTGGGCTAATGGAAATTGGCCTGGAATTTTCACTCACGCCTCTTTCACACGTGACATAAATTTTGTAGAGTAATGATTCGAAGGCTAACTCACCCTTGTGCCGTCACTACACATGCTCATGTCTCCCTCGTTCCTTAGTGCGATCCACATTATCCTTACAGTGTTCCCTACATCACTTCTTGTCACAAAATCATCGATTTATATAAAGCGCGTCATTCATGCATGCACCGTGAAATCTACGTCTGACGCCTCATGTCAACAACCCTTTTTAGTTTGAGGGATATCAGCTCATTCCACGCCACACTTTATTTGTAGATTACGGAATGGGATGAGTGTGCCAAATGGCATCGGATCCATTCGGCAATTGTCCGTAGAATAAAATCACGAGACACCAAGTCTACCCGTAACCTTCGTAATTGTCCGTGACCTATTCGACTCTTTCCGTTCATTTCCGTGACGTCACAGGAATGACTCGATAAATTTGCACATTGTGCAACAGTGTGGACATAGCTCAGTCGGTTAGCTGTCGAGCTAACAATCCGAAGGTCGCGGGTTCGCGTCCGACGGGTTCTCACAAACTGGTTGCTTGTCTTAATGACACGTGACCTACGGCAGAAATCGTCCTCACAAGAAGTTGTGGTGCTGTATTCTAAAGGTGCTCCCAATTTTTTTAGCTGCACCAAGTTAACATGTAAGTCTATGGAAATTAAGCACAGTGATGAATGCTTATATCCAATGACTGTAAGTCTGAGGCTTGATTGGAATGTAGACGGAATTACAAATAAGGCCTATGGTGTGATGCTGACAATCATGTTCACTGATGAGAACCACAGTTGAATATATTTGGGAAAATGCCTGGGCACAAAGTGTGCACATGGAAAGAAATTAGCACTTGTCTGAAGCAATCTACCACGTGTTCATGACAATAAACACATCATGGTATCATCGGGAATTATCGTCATGAAAATCTATTAATTTCAACTGTGTGGCTTACCTGCAGCATTACCATATGTTAACGTCAATGACACACATAGAGCTTGTATACAAATGGGTTGTTGTTTTTTGTTCTTGTGTATATATTGAAATCTAGAGGAAAGGAAATAGAAAAGAAGATCCTTTTAGTTACTTTATCAGTATTTTGTGACCCAAACTCTTCTAGTTAAAATGAGATTCCATAAATAATAGATATAGATAAACAACTTCTTTAAGACATTACAATATATGTGTAATCGCACTTGTCAGTGATTATCGATGGGCTCATATCAAATGAAACATATGATCAAATTAAGCTTTAGAAAGTAGGTTTCTGATTATTATATATGTTATATTAAAACTCATAAAACTGCAATGTGAATAAAAAAATACTAGTGTGCATGTCTCAACAGGAAATATCCTCCATCGTCTTGATTGCTGTATTTATTAATAGGTGTCTGTTTCGTTTGCATGATGTTATGATTGTGTCCCAATATTGGCCAAAGGAGATTTGTGGTTTGGTTTACAATTACAATCTATTGTTTATTGATTACTGATCTGCATATTGTGAGCAATAATTATAATAATAATAATAATGCACTTGTATAGCACCTAATTTCCAACCGGTGGCTGCTCAGTGGTGCTTCACAAGGTTAAAAAAAAGAATTATATAATCAGAGTTATTGGTTGAAGAGATGGGTTTTCAAGTCACGGCGGAATGACTGGACAGAGTCCGCAGATTTAATATATGTTGGTAGGCTGTTCCACAAAGTTGGAGCCACAACAGAAAAAGCCTGGCTAGCTAACTTTGTCCTCGTAAAGGGTACACAGAGCTGGAGTTGACCAGATGAGCGGAGTCTGCGATCAGGGAGATAGGGAGTGACGAGGTCCTTAAGATAGGCTTGAGCAGTGTCACAGTGGAGGTCAGAAAAGCAGATAGTCAGGATCTTGAAGGATATACGCTGTTTGATGGGTAGCCAGTGCAGTTCTCTGAGAATTGGAGTGATGCGTTCATGTAGTCGAGTGCGGGTTATGAGGCGGGGCTGCTATGTTCTGAACTCTCTGGAGATGTGAGATAATGCCGGATCCAGAGAGAAGAACCAGCACTATAGTATAACCGCATTCACATGATAAGGACAGTAACAGATGCAGACTTATGCTTAGTTTTGAACACTGTTGATATATTTCTGTTTTCTGCATATGTATAATGATGCATTTTCCAAAGAATTCTTATTATTAGTATGTGTTTATTTCAGTGAAAAAGACATCCTGGAACATGATGATGAGTTTGAGCCATTCTACTCCTCCTTTGTGGCTCTTTCCTCTCACTTCATCAGTGCAAGCTCCAGTAACTGTATGTTGACCTTACTCTCTTTACAAACCACACCAGACATTGTGTGCAATATTCTGTGTGTAAATAAGTATTGACTACTTAAAAATAATAAATGTCACACAAATTTTGGCAATCAGAATTCACCAATACTTTCATACATTGTATGAGATGTAACCTTGGTAACAGAGCCTGAAGGTTTTTATGAAGGGGAAATCTGATTCCAGTGAGCATGGTCAGTAGATGAACATTTCCTAGTCCATAAAATGAGACTAAAATATATTGATAATAATTCCACATGTTCAACAATACAAAATTTACAAGTTTGGCTGAGTAGACTGAGATTATTTTGGCACCGCCGTGATTTATATGTGATGCAGGTAATTTGGGCTGGCCTTGTAAGATTTATGTATAAATATATGGGGATCTTATAGGTCTTCATTCAGTGTTTGCCATGATGCTGAAAACCTGTGTATTTGATGCACAAATTATCTCAAATACGCAGTGAATTTAGAAGCTTGTGTCATTGTTGACGCAATTCTACTGGGCCCTTAGTTCAGATATTCTAAACTACTTAGTTTTATGTTTGCCAGCTAACTGCTCAGTGCGGATTAAATACCTGACCTGCATTACCTTGTTTTTTGTAGTTATTAAACAATCACAGTTAATGTATTGATGAAAGTTCCAAACCGAAGTTGAGTCCCAGTCCCAAAATATGTCCATGACTCCCTCTCATGACACCAGGGAATCATGATGACTCCTAAATATTTATGCTTAGGGCAAACACTGATCATAGAAAGACTATAATATCAACCGTGAAGATCCGGGTTAGAATTGATCTTCAGTAACCCATGCTTGTAGTAAGATACGACTAACGGGATCAGGTGGTCAGACTCGCTGACTTGTTGACACATGTCATCATTTCCCAATTGCGTAAGTGTCTGGTCCAGACTCAATTATTTACAGACTGCCGCCAAATAGCTGCAATATTGCTGAGGGTGGCGTAAAACTTAACTCACCCACTCTGATATCCTTATCAAAAGTTGAGTTGTGAAATCTACATGTAGTATAAAATGTCCTTTATTTTTCAGTGACAAAGTCAACATTAATTCAGGCGAGCAATTCATGTCGAGTGCTGCTGCGCTTCATGCTGCTACGTCTACAGAACCACAATGAGAGCTGCACAATATCACAGGTGTGTGTTTAGGAGAAGATATTCCACAAAAGGAAGAGGAAATCGATTTTTGCTCCATTGCACTGTAGTTTAAAAATATATAGATCTTCTGACCACAAAAAGCGGTGGTTGGGCGTTCGCTCATCACACTGAAGACCTGGGTACGAGTTCCCATATGGGTACAATGTGTGAAGCCCATGTCTGGTGTCACCTGTCGTGATATTGCTAGAATGTTGCTGAAAGCGGCGTAAAACTAAAACTCACTCACTCACTCACTCACTCACTCACTCACTCACTCACTCACTCACTCACTCACTCACTCACTCACTCACTCACTCACTCACTCACTCACTCACTCACTCACTCACTCACTCACTCACTCTGACCCCAAAACAATGTCAATTTGGAAGAATGAGATGTTTTGTTTTATCCTGCCAAACCTATATTCTTACTGCAAAACAATTGTGAATGTAATAACTTAGCCTGTACGACTGACCAGTTTGACTTTACCTTTATATTTACACAAAACACACTTGATTGTATATGCTTGAGGTTATTGGAAACTTATGTCTTTTTCTTTCATTTACAGAAATACTTGATGATCTTGATCAAGGGGCTGTGCAATGGAGGAGGATGTCTACCTAAGGCTGATGTGGTGACGTTTGCTTCAATGTTGAAGTCTGCCACTCGACCCCCATACATCACAGATGAGGACGACACAGGTTGGCATTGATGGGGGATGTTATTAGAGAAAGTGTGAATGCTTGAAACTCAAGGATTGAGAGACACAATGATAAAGGAATGGGAGAGGGGGGATGTGTGTGTGTTTAGGTTAGCACTGACATGGGATGTAATGAGGGACAGTGTTCCACATTAGGCATAGAAATAAGGCTTGACAGGATGCAGTTGATAAATGTTAAAACATTAAGCACAGACCCTTGTTTCAAAAATACTGCTCAATATTTGCCAAGAGATGGGGATGAGATTATTTCACAGTGACAGGGCATAATGATAGAAAGTGTTCAAAAGTAAGCCTGAAAGTCAGACTTGACAAGATGCGATTGATAAATGTTAAAATCATTAAATGCAGACCCTTGTTTCAAATGCTGCTTGACATTTGCTGACGGGTGGGGTTGAGACAGTTCCACAGTGAGTGGAGGTTCATAATGATGGGGTATAAAATGATGAAAAGAGTTCAAAATTAAGCCTGAAAATCAGGCTTGACAGGATGCAGTTGATAAATGTTAAAACATTAAGCATATGTCCTTTCTTTAAAAATGCTGTTCAATATTTGCCACAACACAGGATTGCAGTGATAGAAGTGATAGAGTTTGTAGTGAGAGACAGTGTTCAAAATTAAGCATGGAAGTCAGACTTTGCTGGACACAGTTGATAAATGTCAAATCATTTGCACAGAGCCTTGTCTCAGATATGATACTCAACACTTCCTAAGGAACACCTTACCTAGGATGGTGGCTGCTCCTTAGCAAACGTTGAGTAGTGAAAATAGTCACAAATCTCCATGCTGCTGAAACTGCCTAAGTAGCGAACACTGATTGATGAAACTATTGTTGCATTGCCATGGTCCATAACCTAGTGTTCTATAAATAGAGATTAATTACATGAGCAAGTCGTGTAGCACACTTGCAAGTGTAATAATTTCTTTATTATCCATTTTATTCATGTGCATTTGTGCATTAAAAAACACAGTAAGCAAGTGTGACTGCCCAGTTCATTGACATCACGTTCAATTGTTTAATGACATCACAGACGACAAAACACAGAAACAATGGTTGCTGGGCAAAAGTAATATGTGCACATATGATATTTATGACACTGGTTATGTTTCACCTTATGGATAATAACTAGTAATATTCAGGAAGGAATGGTAATGATTCTTTGATGAGGTACAACTTAAACCAGTAGGTGGAATGTCTGTATTTTTGCTGACAACTTTCATCATCAAATTATCCCCACATGGGTACAAAAAAGTGTGAAGCCCATTTCTGGTGTCCCCTGCCATGATGTTGCTGGAATATTGCTAAAAGCGGCATAAAACCACACTCACTCACTCACTGGGTCAGACAGAAAGGAGGCTGAGTCAGTTGTGTCTACAGCTGGATAAATCAACCTTTTTCTCTTGTGACCAAGTCAGTCATCATCAAATTATGTATCGATAACATTTATGCCAGTTTTTCAAAATAATAAGAATTGCAAGACTATGTTAAGAGTTGCAGACCCTGACTGAACTCTTCAGTCCCTGATTAAGAAAAAATGGATTTAGTTTTTGATTTAATCAAACATTCACTTTTACGACAAAAAGAAGGTATCCATTCAAAAGATGCTCATACTCTTATAACAGACAGTAGTGTAAATTACAATGTACTCCTTTTATTCTAATACAACTTTCAGAGTAATCTTGTATCAATTATTAGGGCTGGTGGGATAGCCCAGGGTTCATTCGTCAGGCCAAAGACCCGAGTTCGATTCCCCTGTACAATGTGTGAAGCCCATTTCTGGTGTCCCCGGTGTCTGCTAAAAGTGACAAAAAAACTCAACTCACTCATTCACTTTATTAATTATGAGCTAACGTGTCCATGAATTCAAGGACAAATGATCATTTAAACATGAAATGTTTTACAGAACAAGAGGAGATAAAACCCAAAGAAGTGAAAAGACCACGCCTGGACACTGGAAACAACTTGTTTGACCAGTTGACCTCGGTCTTTGATGAAATGGGTGGCGGCGGTGTACCAAAGACAAGCACCCCGACAGAAGCTATGAACAATGATGGCAACAACACTGTGATCCATGTTGCCGATTCCACAGAAGAAATGACAAGCTTGTTTGCCAAGAAGAACACAGCTCACTTGCTCCAGCTGAATGGAGCCAATGTGTTGGTGGACTGTTGCTTCCAACTGACGTTTCTTGGAAAATATATCCAGCGATACAAGGACGCTGTTGCAGGGAAAACGTTCCTGATGCCAGGAACTTTGTCTGAGGCTCTCACAACAAGGAATAGGTAGGTTGTTGTTAGTTTGTGGTCCACATCTAAAATGGTACCGTAAGAGTGGTTTCATAATCAAAAAAAAGAAAGACCTGTGGTGACTAGGGCTGTAATGATGCATCAAACTATCAATGAATTGTAATTGTTGAGTCTCTGATAGCAATTAACGGATGGTAGAAATGAAAAACTATCAATGGAAGTCCCATTATTAATTCTTGAGAGTGGGTTTGTTTTTTTTTTTTTTTTTTGTTTTTGTTTTTTGTGTGTGTGCGTGCGTGTGTGTGTGTTTTAAAATGTCGAGTGTCACCTTACAGTATCCCTTTGGCAGGGTGTTCTAGATGGTAAATAGTGGTCAAATAAAGAAGGATCTTCAGGGGTACCCTAATCATGCTAATGTTATAAATAAAACATTTAAGAAAACATGTTAGTATTAACCTTTACTTATCCTGATTATAGTTCATAGGCTTGCAGACTTGGTTGAGACGTGCCATTGTATCCCAATTATGTAAATCAATGCTCATGCTGTTTATCACTGGATTGTCTGGTCCAGACTCAATTATTCACAGACCACAGTACAGCGTTGAACACCGACCAACCATCATATTCATACCCAAAACATGCATTTCTGATTTTTGCAGCTATCAGGCACTGCTGAGCGATATTTCCATTGTATGGCGTGCTTTCTCCCTCCCTGCTCTTGAGCCTCTGACCCCGAAACGCCTGGAGAAAATTGTCACAGCAACCTTGAGCTGCCTCTATGCATCAGTGACAGTTGCCATGGCAAACACTATAGTGAACATGGTGAAACCGACAGCAGCTAACCAGCCGTCAGCATCCAAGGATGAGGAGATCGAGGGGTATGGAACAAGCATTGTACAGAAAACGGTGAGTAAGGCTTCATGAACAAAGTGGCTACTTGTTGAAATGTTGTGGCCTCAGGCCCTTGTTGAAGCATGAGATCATCAGTGGTTTCACTACGTAACCATGGTTATCTGACTGGGTGTTCATTGTGTGTAGGGCGGTGGGGTAGCCTAGTGGTTAAAGCTTTGGCTCGTCACGTTCAAATCCCCACATTGGTGCAATGTGTGAAGCCCATTTCTGGTGTCCCTCGCCGTGATGTTGGAAATTTTTAACTAATCCTGCACTACTTACTTCCTGCACTTATTGCTTACGGCTCGAAAAGCGTGGCTTGCCAGACGATGTCAAAAAGACGTAGAACTGCAATCACTTCCTGGTCTCGGCTGCTTACTGCGTCATGCGCACAATCGAAGGTGACGCCAGCCACCTCAGATTATTGCTTTTCGCATTGCGCCTAGGAGGCGGTTGTTTGCCAGCTCAACTTGTATCCCACGGGATTATATTTTGTGAAGCATTAATAAAGACTGACTTTGTGTATATTTGTTTTTGTACCCCTCTGAGAAGTGTAGGTATTATCTTTCACTTTCTTTTTGTCATTCAGTAGTTCTGTGTAGTGATGTCGCTCGTTTATACACGGTCCCGTCATCACACTTTCACTTCGCCATTAAAACACTTTGCCGTATTTGATAACGCCGTTGTGTTTTCATTTGGTTCAGGCTTATATACTATACCATATAATAGTGGTATATTTATTGTGCCTGTATTATGGTCTCTTAAACTTTCAGTTATTTTGAGACTTTTGTTCTCAACTTTGCTGTTATATTCATTACTTGGTATGTCGCGCTTACTGGGTTTTCTGCTTCATTGCAGATCTATGTACAGCCCAGTTGTATACATTGTCGGGTGGGAAGTCTCAGAAAGACCCTCATCCCCGATGTTTGAAATGTACTACTCAATGTACCTCTGGCCATAAATGTGCCAGCTGCGCTGTGCTATCACCCAAGAGTTTCTCCGCTTATCTACAGGTTGTTAAGAAGCCTGGGACAACAGAGACGGAAGAGTATGTCTACTACTTCGACACCGGTCTTGACGACCACTCACGCGTCACGCCAAGTGTTACTGCGGCGTCAACTGTGTCAACGAATGCGCCTGTCACCAGCATTCAGATTATGTCTTCGCCGCTTATGTCGCCGGGTGTTACAGCGTTTACGCCGGGCGCTTTGCAGCTTCGTCGGCTTGGATCGGCGGCGCTTCGGGCGCTGGCACTCCCTCACCTCCTCCGCTGTTGCCGATGTCATCTCCACAACGACCGATGGGCCAGCAGTTTGCGCCGTATCAGACCCCCAGCCAGTGTTCCCGGGCAGACGCCTTATCGCGATCAACCACATACGGGTTTCAAATGCCTCAGGCGTCTATGATGCAAACGCCATAATGGCCACCAGCAGTTTGATGTATCCACGCCAGCACTCTCTTGACTTTACTATCAGGTCAAGCCGGTACATCAGCGCCTATGCCGCTTATGCCACCAGCTACATCGGCGCTCTTTCCCTCTGGGCCTCCAGCCTTTGCCACCTTTGCCACCTCCGACGATTTCGCTTCTGCCCTCCAGCATCGGTGCCTATCTTGTCAACTTTGTCTGCTCCTGTGCCTACGCTTAACGCCTCCGCTAGGCCCACGCCTTCGGCAGGCGAACATAGGTCGAGACCTCGTAGTAAGCGCCTTCTGCTAAGGCGTCGCCTGCACGTAGCCGTTCCCTTTGCCGCTTCGCTCACCGTCCTCTGAGAGGGACTTTGCCCCAGACTATGAGAGGAAGACACGGGCTCTAATCACCTTGGCTTTGATCACGCGTTTTGACTGGATTGCTGATCGTTTAATAGCCTCAGTCCCTTCACCAGGCCCTGATGTTGCAAAGTCACTTACTATTTGGGACTCACCTTCCTTAATGTTACCAGCACATGAGGCGGTCAGAGAGATTCTCTCTACCCTTGATGAAGATTTCGGCGGGAATGTCTCTCAACCCAACTATTAAAGCGCCTAGAGTGCGTCGTGATGACTATCCTATTCATGGCTTGGACTTTGCCCAGACAGTGACTAAGGTGGATGAGGAAATGAAACGTGTGACAGGTTCTTCCTCTGTGTCCTCCTATAAAGTTCAGGATACAAGGGTCGCTGCTTTGGACTTAGAGCTTAAAGCGTATGCTCCGCCTCTATATCGGCATTGGCGTCAGCGACTGATGCCATCACTCAGGATCTTAAGGAAATAAATCCGATCGACTGGATCATCTTACAACTATGATGCTATGGCAGGGTAAAGTGATCACTGACCTCGTGGAACACCTTAGGTCGGCGCTTGCCAACGCTGCGTCGCACTGTCGTCGGGCAAGGCTTCCTCTCCTTTCTTCATGGGATTCGAATTTCAGCGGAAATTATTCCACCAACCCTGGTCATCGTCGTCACTGTTTAACGATGCCATTCATGATGTTTATCGGCAGGTGTGATTTTGCCAAAGGGGAGACTGCCTTGAAAGCGTTTCAAAGGGACAACGCCCTGCCTCCACGCCATCCAACACCTACCAGCCTCGGCGACCGCCTGTTCGGCGTAAGCCAGAAACTCAGCGCCGCCTCGCGTGGCGGGGACGTGGTGCCAAGCCTAGATCAGACAAGGGTGGATATCAACGTCGCCGTGCTCCGCCCCAGGCGGCGGGCGTAGGGGCAAGTGAAGTGAGGGACACGCCGCGACTGGACACTCCCACCTCCAGTCGTCCCAGTTTATCCTACACCGGTAGGTGGGAGAATAGGATCTTTTGGGAAAATTGGTCCATCCTAGAGGATCCATACGCCACCGATATATTGAGGCAGGGGTTTCGGCTCCTCCTCCTCCGATCCACCTCTGACAATGTTCCCGCCCGCACAATCACTCTCAGGTTCAACACAACCTTCTAGCGGAGAACATAGCGATTTTGTTGGAGAAAAGAGCCATCGAACTCCTCCCGTATCCCATCATAACACCAGGGTTTTATTCTCCAATATTCTTAGTGTCGAAGAAAGGGTCCGCGAAAATGAGGATGATTCACAATCTGTCCTATTTCAACGAGACTTTCCTGGAACGCCCTCCGCTTCTCGAATGACGCCCTCGAATACCTCAAATCTATGGTATGCGCCAACGACTTTCTCATCAGCCTGGACCTACAGGATGCATACCTCCATGTTCCATACGCCCCAGCGACAGGAAGTACCTGCGCGCTTTATTTTCAACAATCAACATTTCCAATGGGCTGTCCTCCCATTTGGAATTTCAACGGACCCGTGGTTGTTCACACGCATCACAACTCCTATTTCCGGTATCTACATTTGAGGGGCATCAATTTCGACCGATTGCCTGGACGATTGCCTTATGCACCTGTTAGACCGTCTACTTCTTATACAACAACGGGATTTCACCCTTAGTCTGTTGCGCCAACTAGGGTGGCTGGTCAACTTGGACAAATCGGAGCTTGTTCCGACTCACACTCTGACGTTCATCGGAGGCCATTTCCAGACGGACAAGAACCTAGTTCAGATTCCCTGGACAGGTGGGACAAGATTCAGTCTCTGATTCCACGCGTGCACTCTCCCAACCTCTGTCCCTCAGAGAGTGGCAGTCACTTCTGGGATTGTTGACGCCGGCGCAGGATCTTACCAGCAGAGGCGTCTTCAACTTCGTCCTCTGCAGCGGTTTCTTCAACCATACATTCGTCTGGGCAGACGTTCATCAACGGTTTTGCCTTCCACCTCAGTTACATCACTATCTTCTTTGGTGGACTCGCCCATTGAGCGTCTTAGGGAGTCTCTTTGACAGAGCAGCCTCCGGATTGCCAACTGTTCGTGGACGCCTCCCTGCAGGGTTGGGAGCGCTCACTTACCGCGACCAGACAGCCTCCGCCTGTGGTCGGGTCAACACATCAACTGGCATATAAACAGTCTGGAGTTGGAGGCCGTGATCCTCGCTATTCATCATTGGGCACATCGACTACGAGGAACTTGTCTTCTAGTGGCTACAGACAACACCACGGTCGTATGGTACATACGAAGGCAAGGGTCGACACACTCACAGTTTCTCCTCGATCAGACATTTCGGCTCTTTCAACTGGTCGACGATCTCCACATTCTGTTGAGAGTTCGGCATATTCCGGGGTGCCGCAATATACTAGCAGACGCTCTCTCGAGACCCGACAGAGTTGCTCCCACGGAGTGGATGCTACACAAGGAGGCCTTCACTCTTTTAAGTCACGCACTGGGTTATCCAAACATAGATCTGTTTGCCACCAGCCAAAACCATCAACTGCCAGTGTATGTGTCCCCAGTCCCAGATCCAGCGGCTTGGGCGGTGGATGCTCTCAGCCTATCATGGGAGGGACTTCACGCCGTATGCGTTCCGCCACCAGTTCTATTACCCAAAGTTCTCGCAAAAGTCAAAGGAGACAACTTGCTTACGACTAATTTTGGTCGCGCCTTTGGTGGCCAGCCAGGAACTGGTTTCCCGTTCTACAAAGTCTAGTGGTAGGAGATCCCTTCCCTCTACCCACGGAGGAACGTTCTAGTGCACCTCACAGCCATCTTCCGCATCCGCTCCAGACCGATTCAATCTGCACGCATGGACCATTTGCAGAAAGCACTGAGTGCTAAGGGTTTTCGGCTAGAGCAGCCAAAGCCATTGCGACGGCGCACAGAACTTCTACTAGACATTTGTATGACGACAAGTGGCAGTCGCGTTGAACGCTTTTTGTGTTACCAAGAAGCAGGATCCGCTGACTGTGTCTCCTCAGTTCATAGCAGATTTCTTACTTTATCTCCGAGCGTCCAGGCGTCTGAAGGGAGGCACCATTGCCACGTATTTGGCGGCAATTAGCTCTGTTTTAGCGATTCCCACTGACAGAAGGATTTCCAAAATCCAGAATTACAGGCCATGCTTCGCTCATTCCGACTTGAAGACCAGAAGTTGAAGTTTAGATCGCCCGGCATGGAATCTCAACACTGTTTTAGACCATCTCCGTGGTGCACCGTTATGAACCTCTTGATAACGCTTCCCTCGCTGATTTATCCAGGAAGACGGCATTTCTGTTGTCATTAGCGACTGCGGCTAGAGTGAGTGAGGTTCACGCTTTGACATGACTAGGATCAAGTTTGAGCGTCGTCGTCATGGTTCTGTGCACTTAGGTATGTGTTGGGATTTCATCGCTAAAACCAACTACCAGGACAACCTGATCGCCAGTTTTCCATCCCGCCATTATCATCTATTGTTGGCTCTGAAGACGATGCGGAATTACTGTTATGTCCGATTCGATGCGCTCAAAACTTACATTGATCGCACCAAAGCGTTCGTGGGTACAAGGAAACGTTTATTTCTTCCACTGTCCCGGCGTCGCAGTCAGATGTCAGCAAAAAAACACTATTGCCTTATGGTTAAGAACAACCATTCTTCAGGCATATAAAGCGGCTGGGCTGGACCCTCCTACGTCCTCTCATCCCCACGAGATTCGAGCACTTGCTTCGACTATGGCACTTCACAGTAATTGCACTGTGTCATCCATTATGCAAGGTTGTTTTTGGCGGTCGGACACAGTGTTTGCCAGTCATTACTTGCGCGACATGGCTGTCAAGGACGCAATGATGTCCACAGCTTCGACCATTGGTGGTTGCTCAGCAACTCGCCATTCCCCGAAGAAAGTGACCCTCCTGCCTTGTGTTTCCTTCCACGGACCACCATGTGGGGAATGAGTTGTTTTTCTTCACAAACAACTAGGTATGTCAGTTAAGGAGTTATCCTTGTTTTTTCAAGTCCATGCTTTTTGCTGCATTCCTTAAGCTTCGCCAGCTTTAAAATTAGTGGGTTCTTTTCATTTAAGACGCAGTCTTATTTGCGAATTACCGCTACTTGATCGTCCCTCGCTAATTCGCTCTCTGTTATAGGCGCGTTATCAACGCTTCCCGAGCACGGGATTACGGATTGAGCTGGCTGCTATTACGTGCTGCGGCGATCCCTCAGATGACACGCCCACCTTCCAGCCTGTCGGATAAAGTGCAGGAAGTAAGTAGTGCAGGATTAGTTAAAAATTTAGTAAAATCTAAATATTTTTTATATTTGTATACTTATCCTGCACTACTTATGATAAGGGCCCACCCTGTGCTATCAGCTACCTCCCCGCTTAGTTTTGCCATCTGTGGGATTTCTAAGCAATAATCTGAGGTGGCTGACGTCACCTTCCGGTGACGCATGCGCAGACGAGTAAGCAGCCGAGACCAGGAAGTGATTGCAGTTCTACGTCTTTTTGACATCGTCTGGCAAGCCACGCTTTTCGAGCCGTAAGCAATAAGTGCAGGAAGTAAGTAGTGCAGGATAAGTATACAAATATAAAAAATATTTAGATTTTACTAATATTGCTAAAAGCGGTGTAAAACCAAACTCAGTCAGTCATTGTGTGTACCAATGGAGTAGATTGTTGTCCTGCTTATTAGAACTGCAGCATTCACAACTTTCACTCACAGTTGGTTTGAGGTACTCATTGCTGACGTGGGGCGGTGGGGTAGTCTAGTGGTTAAAGTGTCCGACTTTTCCCCTAAAAAATTGTTGACAATTCACTCAATACGAGTGTGTGACCCCCGGCAATGGTCTCGGTGTCATTTAAAGGTATTTGTAGGTGCATTTTATTTATTCTTTATCTGAAGAAGTCCTCCTTTGGGTACATGTAAGCATTTAACTGTCCATTTTAAACTCCTATGACAGTTGTAACAATATTTTAATAAAAAATATTTACAAAACAAAAAACTTGTTTTTGTCTTGTGACACCACCCCTACAGCCAAGAGCAGGTAACTCTCGCTGTCTACTTTGTACCTCACTTTTCATGCTATCGTTTCTCAGGAAGGATGTGCGTGTGTTCATTCTCATTAATCTTTCCTTGTCCCTACAAAGATGAGTGATAAGTATGTTTCCTTTCTTTACGTATGGGCGTTAGAAGGAATTCATATGTAGGTATTTTCATTCATGAATTGTAACTTTGCTGGTGGGTCCCCCATTCTCTTCCAAATAGTTGGTTGGGAGGTAGGGTTGATTGATACGCTTCTAAGCCAATCAGCGTATGAGCTTGACATTTCTATTCCCTGCCCTGTTTTGCTTACCCAGGTAGATTCTTGGTAGATTCCATTGGAGAATGGGTTTAGTTTTGTCAGGCAGAATGCCACTTCCGACTTACTATCTATGGGAGTCTGTCTTATGTTTATATGTACCCCAAGGAGGACTTCTTCTGAAAAAGAATCGCGCAAACCTGTAGAGGTTTCTGATTCTTTGAAGAAAGTCCTCCTTGGGGCACGGCCACCCGCCTCCCCACATTCTGTTTTCAGCATGAAAAGTGAGGTACGATGTAGATAGCGAGAGTTACCTGCTCTTGGCTGTAGGGGGCCCTGAGGGGCCCTGTAGGGGTGGTCTCACAAGACAAAAACAAGTTTTTTGTTTTGTAAATATTTTTTATTAAAATATTGTTACAGCTGTTTTGAAATGGTCATTTTAATGCTTATATGTACCCCAAGGAGGACTTTCTTCAAAGAATCAGAAACCTCTACAGGTTTGTTCGAATTTACTTTGCGATACAAAATTTATGAAGTATTTGTTGAGTACCTCTCTGCCATGTGACATTTTCGACTTTGCGTAACCCAGCCTTGCTGATATATCATCAAGGTGTTTGTGGAATTATTTTATACCTACCTTCTTTTTGTGACAAAGTGCACACACAAATTAGTTTGCTTGACTTTTAGAGAGAAAAGATATAAGTTTAAAAAATCAAACAAAACATTTGGACAAGAATTTAACAGATCAAACATGAAATGAGAAATGACATTAATGACGAACATTTCCCGAACCGGGCGGGCGGGCGCTCCATGGCCTTGTCCAGAATATACCTCGGGGTATAAATTAGGCTAGCCCAGATTATACATGGGGTATAGTCTGGGCTTGCCCAGTTTTACCCAGGGTATACTTAGTCTGGGACAGAGGTATACTCTGGCCTGTTACAGCGGGTCTTTGGCGTAACAAGCAAACACTTTGACCACACGGCTACCCCACCACCCTAAGGACCTATTGACCACCTCCATGATCCCATGAACAGGTCAGGGGCGGCAGGGTAGCCTAGTGGTTAAAGCATTCGCTCGTCACACCGAAGAACCCACATGGGAACAAAATGTGAAGCCCATTTCTGGTGTCCCACTCTGTGATACCTGCCAGGAGTCTAAATTTGATAGTTCAATCCCCAGGACTTGTGAAGGTCCGGGTTAGAATTGAGCTTCAGTAACCCATGCTTGTCGTAATAGGCGACTTACGGGATCGGGTCAGGCTCGCTGACTTGGTCGACACATGTCATCGGTTCCCCATTGTGCAGATCGATGCTCATGCTGTATATCACTGGATTGTCTGGTCCAGACTCAATTATTTACAGACCGCCACCATGTAGCTGGAATATTGCCGAGTGCGGCGTAAAACTAAACTCACTCACTCACTCACTGATATAAGTCTGGTGACTGTTAACCTTCCACCGCCTCATGACACATGTCATCATATCCCAAGTGTGAAGATCAATGCTCATGCTATAGATCACTGGATTGGTTGGTCCAGACTTGGTTGTTTACAGGCCACTGCCATATACCTGGAATGTTGTTGAAAGCAACATTAAACAACAAACCAACCAACTTAGTTGTATGTCAGGATATTATGATCATTGATGATTGATTTTGAAGTTATTGTGGTTTCTTTTCAGCTTGATATATGCAACACTGTCGCTACTGCTGTGAGGAGTTCAACCAGAGCAGGGGGAAGTGTATGTATACTGTCACAGATCTTTGTCTCTGTTTTAGACTTAATATAATGCTTGGTGTGGCAATATCATACAGGCGCCGTAATGTTCCCCACCGTGATATTGCTAGAATATTGCTAAAAGCAGCGCAAAACCTAACTCACTCCCATACAGGGGCGGTGGGGTAGCTTAGTGGGTAAGGTATTCGCTCATCGTGCCGAAGACCAGGGTTCGATTCCGACATGTGCACAATGTGTTAAGCCCATTTCTGGTGTCCCCCACCATGATATTGCTGGAATATTACCAGCAGCGGCGTAAAACTAAACTCACTCACTCACTCACTCACTCACTCACTCACTCACTCACTCACTCACTCACTCACTCACTCACTCACTCACTCACTCACTCACTCACTCACTCACTCACTCGACTGCCTGTGGTTAGAGCGTCTGCCCTGAGAGCAGAAGGGTCATACCAAAAGACGTTAAAATATGGTGCTTGTTGGTCCCTGCCTGGAGCACGGCATTAATGGGTACAACAAGGACTGGTCGGCTCAGAGTCATTATGATGTGTCTGAGTGGGGTATTCATGCTTCACTGCGGCATGGTATCTCAGTGGGCTAGCACTATAAAACCAGCTTCAGTCTGGGCTAGTACAAGCAGCCGCACATATACATACACACGCATCCACGTCGTCATATGAGCGAAATATTCTACAGCGCAACGTTAAACCCAATTTCACCTCACCTCACCTCACTCACTCATGCACTCACAGTCTCCACTCACTCCACTCTCTCTAACCCACTCACTCCTTCACTTACCCACTCACCGACCCACTCAGTACCATACACCTGCTTTACAATGACATTTTCTTCAATGCCATTGTTTAATCCATACATTTCACTGTAAACCGCCAAATAACATGAGTTACACTGACCTCAGTTTTAACCTGTAACTTGATAAATGTTGACACTCTTCCTAGTGGAGCAGCAAGGGTCACCTATGAGGTACCCAAACCAGCATAACCACATTTTCTCTTGTGGTAAAGTTTGATGCAATGTTATCAATGGTTCTGAAAACTCGTGATGACATTGTCTGTGATTTAGATGGACATATCAGTTGTTAGTACATGTCTTTACTTCATCAGAGACCGCCTCCGTGGTGTAGTGGTTAGAGCGTCCGGCCAGAGAGCGGAAGGTCGCGGGTTCGATCCCCAACTGCGTCATACCAAAAGACGTTAAAATATGGTACTTGTTGGTCCCTGCCTGGCGCTCGGCATTAACGGGTACAACAAGGACTGGTTGGCTCGGAGTCAGTATAATGTGTCTGAGTGGGGTATTCATGCTTCACTGTGGCATGGTATCTCAGTGGGCTAGCACTATAAAACCAGCTTCAGTCTGGGCTAGTACAAGCAGCCACACATACACATACACACGCGTGCACGTCGTCATATGAGCAAAATATTCTCAAGCACGACGTTAAACCCAATTCCACCTCACCTCAAGAAAATACATGTCCCAGGTTCATTAAATTAGTCATTGTAACTAAAAAATGAGCTATTCTTCGGATTGTCTGGTCTGGTTAAACCCATTTTGGGCTGGTAACATTTTGAAGTTACCAGCCCTGATGACTGGCTGGGATTTTGGCTTATTTCATACGCTGGAAAGATACAGATTTTACATCCTGGCCGTCACTGACACATAACATCTGCCCTCCATTTAGTATCTCTGGTGCATGTTTTATCATACATTCACTGTAATGCTGTGCCAAATGTACTTAGTGTGACCCTTAGTAATAACTGTTTCTGAAGAGCTACATCTGCTTCCACATGGGACAGATGGCCTTGGTCTTCATCCCTCTTTGAACTGGGCTAACCTTTGATGCTGTCATCCATATGCTGATCACAGATAATAGGCATCTGCTGGACATCATTGACTGGAATGTGTGAAACCCATTTCTGGTGTCCCCTACCATGATATTGCTGGAATATTGCTAAAAGCGGAGTAAAACCATACTCCACTCACTCACTCACTCACTCACTCACTCACTCACTCACTCACTCACTCACTCACTCACTCACTCACTCACTCACTCACTCACTCACTCACTCACTCACTCACTCACTCACTCACTCACTCACTCACTCACTCACTCACTCACTCACTCACTCACTCACTCACTCACTCACTCACTCACTCACTCACTCACTCACTCACTCACTCACTCACTCACTCACTCACTCACTCACTCACTCACTCACTCACTCCAAGCAGCATTACTTAACTCTTAACCTGTGAAGAGATCCGGGTTAGAATTAATCTTCAGCAACCTTGGAATACTGCTAAGTGCAGCGTAAATTACTCGCTCACTCATATCCCAAATTGTAGGGTTTGATGCTTGTGTTGTCAATCACTTGGTTGTCCAGACTAAATTAATGTATAGACTGATGTCATGTGGCTGTGCTATATAAACAAAGATAACTTAATCTTTCTAGGTTTCCCAGAATTTGAACCTGTTGGCTGCCTGGGTGCTGCTGAAGGGCCTGCAGGGAATCCTGGGTCTGACTCCAGCCATGATCCTGGAGAGGAAGGATGCTGGGAAGAGCAAGTCCGGCGAGACAGGACAGAAGGGGAAAGAGTCAAGCTCTCCCTCAAGCAGGCCCATCTCTGGGAGAAGGTACGTCTTGATTGTGAGGCCTTATTCAAAGAGTAACTTGAGGTGTGCAGGATAGAAAGGGAAAGTGTCGAGCTCTCCCTCAATTAGGGCCCAGCTCTGGATTAAGGTACATCTTAATTGTGGGATCCTAATGTAATGAGTAACTTGAGGGGGAACAGGACAGGACAGAAGGGGAAAGAGTCAAGCTCTCCCACAAGCAGGCCCAGCTCTGGGAGAATGTATGTCTTGATTGTGAGACCTTATTGTTATGAGGACCGCCTCCGTGGTGACGTTAAAATATGGTACTTGTTGGTCCCTGCCTGGCGCTCGGCATTAATGGGTACAACAAGGACTGTATAGTATAATGTATCTGAGTGGGGTATTCATGCTTCACTGCGGCATGGTATCTCAGTGGGCTAGCACTATAAAACCAGCTTACTGGCCTAGTACAAGCAGCCGCACATACACATACACACGCATGCACGTCGTCATATGAGCGAAATATTCTCAAGCACGACGTTAAACCCAATTTCACCTCACCTCACCTATTGTTATGAGTACTTTGAGTCCCAGCTGTGGGAGAAGTAACATTTTGATTGTACGCCGCAGTGTCCCCGGTAATAGTGCCTACTACTCTCTTCTGCATCTTATTAAATAGCAGCATATGGCCGCAATATGTTACTAAGATAACCATGTGTAGTCTTATAGTTATGAGGCAGATTGAGACTGAGACAGAAAATACTGATTTGTTTTACCAGAACATGATTATTTACATGATACTGTGACACAACTTGAATAAGACTATAACCAAAATAATTAGCAGATTCTTTTTCAGAAGAAGTCCTCCTTGGGGTACATATAAGCATTAAAATGTCCATTTTAAATCCTACGACAGTTGTAACTATATTTTTAATAAAATATTTACAAAACAAAAAACTCGTTTTGTCTTGTGAGACCACCCCTACAGGGCCCCACCGGACCAACACAGCCAAGAGCAGGTAACTCTCGCCGTCTACCTCGTACCTCACTTTTCATGCTGTCGTTCTGTTGAATAGACGTCGTGGTGTTCGCTTCGAAGTTTGCTCTCCCACCGATAATGATGAGTGTAAAAGAGTCTCAATCTGTATGTATGGTTCCTTTCTCACGACGGCCGCTAGATGGACGCCATATGTGGATATTTTCATTCATCTTTTGTTGTAACTTTGCCGTGGGTTCTCTGTTTTCCAGCCATGTGGCAGGCAAAATGGCGGACCGCTAGCGATCGTGGTTTCCTTGCTATATGTTCTTGGTAGCTTGTAGTAGGGAGTTCATATATTATGTTTGCATATTATATGGTAGGCTTGCCTAAATTCTCTTTCTTTTCAGCGAATTTGTGGTAAGTCGTTGTTGAGTAATTTTGATAGTGTTCGCTTCAGATCTCAACTTTACTCTATCACTAGTACACGCAGGGTGGCTAGCCTTTTTTCTGCTTTGCATTGTATGTTTAGTATTTAAATGGCTGTAGCTTGTAGCATTTATATATCGCCCGTGCGGATTATTCTTGCTATTACTTGTGTTTATGTGTTTGCTGCTTCACAGTTCCTGCTAGTAACACTGGCGTGGTTCTGTTTGTTGCAGTTTAAGCCCTGTGCGTTGTGCCATGCACACTACCGCCACAGGATGGTTATAAAGTGTGCCTCGGTGTTTAGCCGAGGACGCCACGACGATCAAGGATGCTCATAATAAACGCCTTTGCGCCAATATTCCTGTTACATTATGTTGTATTATGATACATATTTCATACGTTTACACACAACGTGGCTCATAGGCGAGGTTGTGTTTTGTCTGGGTTTCTGCGCCTCGCCAAGATTCTTTCCGACACGCAGATTTTATGTTTTTCACTAATCTGCTTCAGGCGGGGATAATATTTGATTAAAGGTTTCTAAGGAAATCCCTTTATCGTTTCCCCAAAACAATGTTGCTGACTTAAATATGACTCAATTTGCTTCACTATTGCAGCAACATATTCTTCAACATAATGTCAATTCGATGATTGATAGCGCGATGTCCGGCTCCGTAAGGAGCTCGGCCTCGCAAAGTGTTGATCTCGAAGGTAAGTTCACCAGGTGTCGTCTGTGGTGAAATTCCCGCCCGATTGACACGGGTGCTGTCTGGGTTCCGCAAAGGGAGCTCAGCACGCCTGTCGTCGGGGTGGATCGGACGCATCTTGGGGGTTGGCTGCGGCCCGAGCTCTGGCTCGGAGAACGCGCCTCCTCCCAGGCAGCTTGATCCTGGCTTCGGCTCAGGTGATGGTGTGCCTTCGGCACCTTGTGACGACCTAGCTTCAGGCTCAGGTTCGTCACGGGCCCCTGGCGCCGGCGATGCAGGTTTCGCCCTGCAGGTTTTGCCCTGGTGCCCTGACTGGCGGTCGCCTAGGCGCCGACCAGCTCGGGGACACCTCGGCGCCACGTGGTCAGTCGGGGTTGCCCGGGAAACCTGTATATCGGCAGGTTCCTCTCGGCGCCGCGGTCTGGGTTCCACTGAGCTGCCGATCACCTCGGCGCTCCTAGGTCTACCTGTGTCCACCAGGGGCAACCTGCATTGCTAGGCTACTCCTTTGTGTCTCGGGACTGCAGATCGGACTAGCACCGACCTGGGCTTCGGCCCCGCTACGGAGCAGATCCCCGGCGCTGTTAGCTCAGGTCTCGGCCTGATGTCTATCGATGCCCTGGCCAAGAGGCCGTTGAGTGTCTACCCGTGCACTTACACCAGGGGAGCCCTGCATTGTCAGGCCACTCCCATGTGTTGGGGATCGGGGTTCGAACTCGAACCGCCGACCCGAGCACTGACGTACATACATGTGTATGTATGGGTATTTATATAGCGCTATAGGCTATGTTTGACTATACGCTCAGTGTGCTTTTGGAGAGTACTTGGGGAAACCTGATTTATCAGGCTACTCCTACGTGGCTCGGGATCGGGGTTCGGTCTAGAACAGCTGAGCTTCGGCTCTGCGGATTCTCTGAACCCCGTGGGTAGCGCCGACCCAGGCTTCGGCACTGGTAGGGCGCAGATTCCCGACTCCGGGTAGTTCAGGTCTCGGCCCGGTAGTTCAGGTCTCGGCCTGATGTCTATCGGCGATATTGACCTAGATGCCATCGAGTGTGCCGGGTGTGACTGACTGTCACCTCGCGGCTCGAGGTCTGTCTGAGTGCTTGTGAAACCTTGATTGTCAGGCTTCTCACATGTGCCTTTTCGAATCGGGTTCAGGCTCGTGCAGTGGACAAGTCGATTTGAGCTTCGCTCATTTCGCTACTTTGAACTTACCACTAAGTAGGTTCGTCCCTGAGGGCAAGTCGCGAGATAGAATCGCGACTGTGTTGCCTCAGGTGTTGTCCATGTCGACTACCCGAACCGTTGGAGTTCGCCTCGAGGGAAGCCTGCTTCCAGCACGGCATCCGGGACAAGGCCTCACACTCTCCCTTAAGTCTGCCGTTCTTTCCCCTTCACAGCTCAGCGCTGTATGCTCCACTTTCGGCGCATCTCTCAGCTGCTGAGGGAGCTGGTGGAAAGGGGAGAGCGCCGGGTGGAATGTTTTCGCCGGGCGACTCTGGGCTGCATCTGACAGGGGCAACTCTCATCTGGCTAGGGACTGCATTGTAGCTGTGCCAGTCAAATGATGAGGGCGTTATGGGCATATACTGCCGGGACAGTTTCGAGGAATACGGAAGTCTGTTGAGCTTCGCTACTTCCTCAGGTGCCCAGGCATCGCAAACGTTAAGTTGCCGACTGCTGGGGTTACTATATTCTGCCGCAAACACCGGGCGAGCGACACACTCCTGTGTCGGCTTCCCCGAGACGGCGACAATACTCCGTGCCCAGATCCAGTCTTTGCTGGGCTAGGCAACCAGTGTGGTGGTTTCCAATGGTCAGGAATATGTGGGGTTTGACTCCACTTATTTCATAGTTGCCATTACGAACGGAATGTTCAGACCCATTCTCATCTGAGAGTGAACAAGTTTATAGAGGTACTGTCCTTCAAGATGGAGACACCGCGCTCGGTGATCTCATCTGCCGAGACAGGGGATTGGCGCCGCCAATCGATCGACCTCAGGTCGGTAATACCTCCTTGTTCCATTGCACCCTGATTTCAAGATTTACCTTCGGTTTCTTGTTTGACGGGACGTGCTACCAGTTTCGTGTGTGCTCTCCTTAGGCTACATTACGGTGCCAAGGGTGTTCACCAAATTGAGGTTTATTACAGCTCAGATAGCCAGATCGCAGTGCGGTGTTGTCACCCGTTACATATAGGCGACTGACTCATCGTGGTTTCAGATAACTGTTGAGTCTGGGGACCACACGATCAGTTACTTAAACTGGGCGGAATTGTCAACCTCACGCAGTCAGATGGACAGACGTCAGGCGTCTCTCCGAGGGTCCCCACCCCTGGAGACACCGTCGCTCTCAGTCCAGCCAGATCCATCCCTACCGGGTTAGGGCGATGTTCTGGGTGACCTGCAGCCTCTTGAGACGAAGTCACAACCTGCACATCAATGTGCTGGAATTGACAGCAGTCAGGTTGGTGTTCGATCCCGCACGCCGATTCGAATTACCTCTTCGCCAGACATTCTCACTCTGCACGGGCGCCACACCCGAATCCTCGGATTCACTGGGTGGCTTGGCCTCTGTCGGGTATAACACACGGAATTCCTGCAACCGTTGCAGACACAATTCTGCCTGGGATTCGACACCCGTTCAGTGTGTTGATAGGTGGGCGCTGGTGTGTGCAGATAGGGGATTTTATAATCCCTATTCTGCGGACTTAGTTCGGATATTGGAGTTACTATAACCTCGTTTTGGTTGAGAGCCTTATGACCTCCACCATTGCCGGTACTCCATGGCTATTTCCACGTTTCACACCTCGCTCGATGGTGCTCTGCCTAGGCAGCATCCTCTCGTTACATCGGCGTCGTGTAGCTGGCATGAACAGGGTTCGACCGCCTCGTCGGCTGACCCAGCCCACCTTTAAAATTGCCACTTATTCACAATTGGCTGTCTGGCCCTAATTTTTCAAGTATATCGTCTCTCTCACTTCACTTGTTGGCGTGGAAGGCGACTTTACTTGTTGTGGTGAACTCTGGTAGAAGGGTCGGGTACATCCATGCGTTTCCCACTGACCCGACACTGACAGTATTTTATACTGATCATGTCCGTGATTCGACTCGGATACCTACCACTCTCAGTCGCGATATTGCTTTCCACGTGACTGCTCATATCGCACTTCCACCCTTTACCCAGCTCTTCCGCACCGGGGACCAATCTTTCGATTGTTCACCCGCGCCTGTCACTGAAACGAACGAACAAAGGGATCCATACGGGTACCCATGTGTGCTGTTTGGTGGCGGGAAGACTGGGGAATCTGCTAGCAAGCGCACTTTATCTCGTTGGCTTGTTTCCGTAATTGTATGGTTACAATGATACGGTTTACCTCCCCGAGGGTTGAAGGCAGACTGGGTAGGGCAGATGCGGCTTTGTTGACAATACACAGCGGCACTGCTCAATGAAGAGATCGGTTCTGTCGCTCTTTGGAGCCAGCAGAACGCCTTCATTCGCCATTACCAACTTGACACGCATTCTAAGGATCGTGTGCTCGGTTCGATCTTTCGGTTCTCTCCAGTGGAGAGTGACCTGCCACCCTGACCAAGTTAGTAACTGGTCATTGATATCGGTTCTGTGTTCAATGTCGATATATTTCATATCACTACATCGCATTAGCCTTACCATCCTTTCGGGTTGGGTCGGGTTTGGGTGTACATACGTCCCTTTACGTCCCTTCAAGAGGGCGGGGTCCGCTTTTGAACGCTTTAACCAGTCATATGTTATTAACCCGCCTTTGGCGACGGAATTGCGCGAACCCCCGCGGGGCACTGTTTGGTATGCCTCTCTTGGTACGCATGTCACGCGTGACCAGGTTAGTGTAATGGTGAGCCAACATATGTTGACGGGCTACGCTTTCGGCTATTCAGGGATTTTGTACGCTTACAGTTTTTCCCTCTTCCCGAGCCTCTCATTTGGGAGTCTGTGTTGATCAGCTTTGTGGGATGGTGGCCTACACTTACCCTCCTCACGAGAGTGTTTGGTGGGGGTGTTTTCACTGCATACAATGCATGGCGTTTGTACTGCTTCGATTTCCTCAGAAAGTTTTAGCGAGGCTAATAATTTCTCTGGGTTTTATCGAGGTCCCGGCAAGCCCTCTTCCAAACAGGGGCTGCATTCGAGCATTAGTTTGCAGTACTTATTAGCTCGACTCCTGGGTTATTGGCTTTGTAGCGTTTAAATTTTTTACGCTTTCCCTACCCTTATACCTCTCGCCACGATTTTCTGGCTGGGGCTATATTAGGGTTGGGAGTTGTTTCGGCATGTTCCATTGTAATGGTTGGGGGCGGGGTTTTATGTCATTGATATTGAGCCAATTGACATATAAGCTTGGGCTCTCTAGTTCCCGCCCCCGTCTGATTGACATCGGTCAGGTGGCTCGGTGTTTTCTATTTCCGTTATCGGTTGTAGATTTCACTCCACCACGGGGTTAGTTGTTGCCAGACAGAATGCCACTCCGTCTCAAATATCTTTGGGAGTCTGTCATATGCTTATATGTACCCCAAAGGAGGACTTCTTCTGAAAAGAATTATACAAACCTGTAGAGGTTATGAATTCTTTGAAGAAAGTCCTCCTTTGGGGTAGGCTCCCGCCTCCCCTCATTCTGTCTGACACGCTCAGCATGAAAAGTGAGGTACGAGGTAGACGGCGAGAGTTACCTGCTCTTGGCTGTGTTGGTCCGGTGGGGCCCTGTAGGGGTGGTCTCACAAGACAAAACGAGTTTTTTGTTTTGTAAATATTTTATTAAAAATATAGTTACAACTGTCGTAGGATTTAAAATGGACATTTTAATGCTTATATGTACCCCAAGGAGGACTTTCTTCAAAGAATTCATAACCTCTACAGGTTTGTATAAATTTCACGGAATAGGAAACTTGCTCAGTTACTGTAAAAGGTGGTCGTGATCGGATGGTCAGGCTCGCTCACTTGATTGACACATGTCATCATATCCCAGTTGCGTAAAAAACGATGCTCATGCTATTGATCACTGGATTCTGTGGTCCAAACTCGATTATTTACAGACCGCCTTGATATAGCTGGAATATTGCTGAGTATGGCGTTAAACAGCTAACCAACCAATTCCCATTTCCAGTGTTCCCCACTGCGATGTTGCTGGGATATTGCTTAACACAGCATAAAACCATGCTCACTGTACAACTGAATAATTGCCATTTCATCAAATTTGGCATGAAAATCGTGACTGCCTCCGTGTTGGCAGAAAGTCGTGGGTCTGATCGTACTAATGACATTAATATATGGTACAGTAAAATACCTTTATTACGAACTCCAAGGGACCACTGAAATTAGTGCGTTATATCCATAGTTCGCTATTCACTTTTTTATATGATAATATAAGGTTTATTTGGGACTTTTAAAACAGTTCGCTATAGCTGTCTGTTCGTTATATCCGTGTTTGTTATAAAAGTATTCTACTGTACTTGTTGGTCTGGTGCTTGGCATTAATGGGTACAACAAAGACTGGTCGGCTCGGAGTCAGTATGATGTGTCTGAGTGGGTTATTAATGCTTATCTCATTGGTATCTCAATGGGCTGTCACTATAAAACCAGCTTAAGTCAGGGCTAGTACAAGCAGCCATCCATACACACGCATGCACGTCGTCATATGAACGAAATATTCTTAAGTGCAACGTTAAACCCCATTTCACCTCTCCTCATGAAAATCATGGAATCATGTTATAGCCCCACTGTTTCATGTTTAAGACGTCAAGGTGACCTACATTCAAACAGTATAGCATCAAACATATAGATTCCCATATGTCCCCTAATATAATAACACTGATTGCTGAGACTATCCCATTGAATTTTCTATGGATTGTTCAGATTAAACTATTTGTAGGTGGTGGTTATGCACAAATTATGAAACTTCGCTCATTGATTCAGCGTTACAGCCTTTGTTTCAGCTCTTTCCAAGGATTTGGGGCACTGTCTGTGGCGATAGGATCTAATGCAGTACTGCTGCTCACAACCCTGTTTGAAGATCTGCAAATAGAAGGATCTCTGGGTGACCTTAAGGTATGTTCAGTGTTACCTTAGGAATTGATTTCAGCATTTCTGATGTTTATTGAAGCATAAATTTGTACATAATTATACGTAAATATCTATATGATTGCAAACATGATACTGAAGTCAATTTTTTTATATAAATATGTATATATATGTAACACAAAAGAGTTTCTTGTAAGTATGGGACGGTGGGGTAGCCTAGTGGTTAGCACGTTTGCTCGTCACGCCATTGACCTGGGTTTGATTCCCCACATGGGAACAATGTGTTGAGCCCATTTCTGGTGCCCCCCCGTGATATTGCTGGAATATTGCTAAAAAAGCAGCTCACTCGCTCACTCATTCTTGTAGATATACTCATCAGTTAACAGACTGCCAGAATATCACAGAAAACAGTGGACAATAATATACAAATAGGTGATATTGCAGTACTGCAATGAACAGAGACCATGTCTGAACTCTCTTATCAGTGAATCAGAAAAAAAGTAGTCTGCTGGTGGACATGGCATGATTTTTAGCTCACCTGGCCAAAAGTCACGTGAGCTGTCATGACCTGTTGTCTGTGGTATGTAAACATCATCCCAGGTACGATGGATCAGTGAAACGGAAACTTCACATGCTTGTTCTGGAATATTGCTGAGTGTGGCATAAAACCAATCTGACTCACCCACTCACTCACTTCAGATAAGTCACAACAGGGTGCCAGTTGCCATTTTGTGGTGCTGATGTTTGCTGCATTGTGAGGTAGCAGACTCTGAGACTCTGTGTGCATGCCATGGGATACGTCCAAGTCACTAATGAATATCTATGTTTTGCCAGACTGTTCCTTCTGAGGTGAAGCCTGGCATGGATGTGACCATCCTGACATCAGCATCCGCCTGGAAGAGGGTCAAGAAACTTGTTGCCCGGGTTAACCTGACTGATCTCCTGCTCAACCTCGTCTTGGTCACTTTCAAGAAGGTAAATCAGAAATGTCCTCCCACTTTGGCCGTCAGGTTAATCCACCCTGCTTCTCTGACAGGGGGACTCTCCCTCTCTCTTTTTCTTCTCCTCTCTCTCTTCCCCCTTTCTTGTTTATTTTGTGAGAAACTAAGTTCCCAGGAATCAGTACCTGATTTATGTGGATCAGATGATCGGGCTTAGTTGACTTCATGTCATTGTGTTGATTGGTTGGCAACATTTTAGATTCCTCATAATAATGGGTGTGTTAAGATTTAACACATCTGTCGTATTTTCAGACATGGTGACCATTTCTGATAATAACAATCACTGCTATGTCTGACTGGATTATTTTCCGACTGCCATTATGTAGCTGGGCCTAGATTTTCAAAGCTCTTCAGAGCTGAGATAGTCTTTAGTTAATATTAATGTATGTCATGTACGACTATCATAACGCCTAGAGAGTTTCGAAAATCTGGACCCTGGAATATAACTGAGTGTGGCATAAAACAACAGACTGCTCCATATGTTCTGTAATTGCATCTTGTAGGCTGCCATGCTGAAGAGACTGAAACAAGGATCAGAGAGTTCTGAGACCAGCAGCAGCAGCACCTCCGACTCCAACACCTTCTACGAGGATGACTTCAGCAGCTCCGAGGACAGCAGCGAGGAGGAGGGTAGGTTGACCTCATACCACTTGTCAGCATGATTGGCTTGGTTGGTTTGTTACATTGCCTGACACTACTTTTGGTCCAGAATAATTGGGACGGAGCGGTAACCAAGTGGTTAAAGCGTCCGCTTGTCTTGGGTTCGATTCACCTCCTGGGTACAGTATGTGAAGCCCATTTCTGGTGTCCCCCACCGTGATATTGCTGGAATATTGCTAAAAGCGGCATAAAACTAAACTCACTCACTCACTCCAGAATGATTTATTTTCAGGATCCCATATTAATAAGTTTGCCTACTACGGCATAAAACAGGACAACTATCTTTGAATACTTTTTAAAAATTTGTGACAGCATTAAACATGTTAAATTAAATACATTCTTAGATGAGGATTCGGAACCTATTCTTGGTCACTGGTTTGAAGAGACCCTCTCCCCAGAAGAACCCTCCGATGCCACACCCCCTCCACCCCTCCAACCCCGAGTTGAAGGTGGGGGTGAAAACAAGAGGAACAGACACCCAAGCAATGGAGACAAACCAAACTATGTACCTGACAAAAGAGAACCAGAAGGGGTAAAGCAGTTTTTGAAGAAATTTAATGTTGTGCTTGTTATCACTCACTGTGTTTAATGCTATATTAACAAGTTCACCCTCCTACAGTCTTACCCTTGTGTTCATACTTTATTATTATTGTATGATATTTATATAGCGCACATATCCAGGCAACTAGTGCTTGCTCAAGGCGCTGGTATTTTTTCCCTCAATCATTGGATGTCAGTCTCAACGGCACATCGTGTTATTAATCTCAACTCCCTGGGGAGTGTACAACTCCTGCAGCTACTAGGCGCACCGAGTTATTATGGCCTTCTCATCCTAACAAGGTACCCATTCACAGCTGGGTGGACTGGGACACATAGTCACAGTACTTTGTCCAAGTTCACTACACGTTGCTGTACCCGCAACGTATTCATGTGGCCACCATCTGGTCATATACCAACGGATTCGTGGGTTCTTTTAAGTGCACAGGGATGTGTACTGTACACTAGGGGTTGTGACAACACTGAAAGAGTCTGCACACAAAGTTGACTCCGAGGTTTTTACACCCAGTCACAGGTGGGCTCGATCCCGACACCTCAAGCTCGCTGGATCACTAGCCTGGCACCTTAGCCAGCTCGCCCACAGCGCCCCATACTTGGATACCAGTCCAGTGCTGTATCCTATATTTAACTACTCATGAAGATCCGGGTTAGAATTGATCTTTAGCAACCCATGCTTGTTGTAGGAGGCAACTAACGGGATCAGGTGGTCAGGCTCCCTGACTTGGTTGAAACAAGTCATCGTATCCTAATTGCGTAGATCGATGCTCATGCTGTTGATCACTCGATTTTCTGGTCCAGACATGATTATTTACACACCGCCATCATATAGCTGTAATGTCACCGACTGTGGTGTTAAACAGTTAACTTACAAACTACATTTAGTTGCGAAATATCAGTTAGTCATCATGAACTTTCTTCAGGGTTATGAAGAAATAATTTACAAACCAGTCTGATGTTAATTGTATAAAAATTGTTCTTAATGATTTGAGCAAATATATTATTCATATCCTCATCCCTTTAGCTTCTGATCTTTGTTAGGTGCACCACAACAGGTGCTTGTTGCAAGACGGAACCAAATAGATCAGGTGTGCATGCTCAGGGGCTGAATTTGTTGCATATCCTTGTACCCTGATGGTGTGGATCTTTGCTCATAATGTCAATCACTAGATTGTATGATGAAGAGTCGATTATTTACAGCCCACCATTGTGTATCTGGAATATTGCAGGATGCAGGTTTTAGCAAGCAAACACTAATGTCTGCTTGTAAGTTTGTGTTTTTCAGAATCAGTTACAGGATTTGTAATTTTCCAAAGCAGTATGAACTTATAATATATGGAGATGACAATGTGTTTGCAGTTCGTGTCCATGGCAACCAGTGTTCTGAGTTTCCTGAATGTGTTCATGGTGAACTCTCCTGATGCTGAGATAAAGAAGCTGATCAGGTAGGCAACTCCTACGTGGAACCAACCCTTATTACCATAAGCTTGATAAATGGTCAGATTCTTAATGGACTTTTCATGGTGTTGTGGATAGCGTGTTTGCCCAGAGAGTGGAAGGTCTGTAGTTTGATTCCCTGGTCATTAAGACATTAAAATATGGTACTTCTTATTACCTGCCTCTGCTTGCTTGGGGCAGTATAATATGTCTGTATGAGGTATCATTGTTGAAACTAAAACACTGTTCAAAACAAGTCGGGCGGGTGGGGTAGCCTAGTGGTTAAAGGGTTCGCTCGTCATGCCTAAGACTCGGGTTCGATTCTCCACATGGGTGCAATGTGTGAAGCCTATTTCTGGTGTCCCCCCACCATGATATTGCTGGAATATAGCTAAAAGCGGCGTAAAATCCTACTCACTCACTCAAAACAGTCCCAATCACTGGTGACATGCTGGCAATAACTATTGACAGCTATGGCTGCACCTCGCTTAAGAGGCAACTTATGGGATCAGGTGGTCATGCTGGTCAGGTCATTTATGAATAGGTGTCATTGCATCTGACGAAGATCGATGCTTATGATGTCAATCTACCCGTGAAGATCTGGGTTAGAAGTGATCGTCAGTAACCCTGTCTTTTCATAGGAGGCGACTAACGGGATTGGTTGGTCAGGCTCACTAACTTGGTTGACACATGCCATCGTATCCCAAATGTGTAGATCGATGCTTCTGCTGTTGATCACTGGATTGTCTGGTCCAGACTCGATTATTTACAGACCGCGCCATGTAGCTGGATTATTGCTGAGTGTGACGTAAAACTTAACTCACTCACTGTAATGTCAGTCACTGGATTGTCTGGTCCAGATTCAATTATTTACTGACCGCCGTCATATGGCAGGAATTTTGCTGAGTGTGGTGCTTTACAACAAGCAAAACAGGTCACTGATCAGCATTGATCTGCTGAGGTTGAGTAAACATTTGATCAGAATCGGTATCAGAAACTTTCATTTATTAACACATCTTCCACTTAACAAAATACAATAAACAGTTTGACTCCAGCGTGACCAAGACAGCATACAATTCCCTAAACTAAACAATATTATTTCTTCCTCAAAGATTTAAGAGTAAAGAAAATTGGACTAAGAGTAGAGGTTATGTAAATCATTCTACATTGAACTACATGTATTTGAGATATTTTGTGTGGTATTGTACACTAGAACATCCCTGAACGAGGAGCATGTGAGCAACCTGGCTACACTCATCAGGGAGATGGACAAGGAATGCTACAAGGTTGGAAATGGTAAGTTCACTAGTGGTCATTCTGGGCTTTATCACATCTAGATTTTATTAACAGAAACTGAAACTGTAAAATGTTTTGTAGTGTGTTTGTTGATGTTAATCAGAAAGGGGCTCAAAGCACATCTCTTCGACATTGCCTGTGCTCAGTGTTGTGTTTATCTTGTGAAGCGCCTTGGAGTGATCTAGAAGTAGTTCAAATAGAGCGCTATAGAAATGTGGCATATTATTATTGTCATTCACAGCCAAAAAATGACTACAAACCAGCAAAAAGAATAGGTTTTACATTATTTTGTCGGGACAAAATTCAAGCAGAGCATTTATGCAGAACACCTTAGTAACATTCATCAGTTTCTCATACCATCATTTATATTGATATTCATTAATATACTGATGATATCGATGTAGTCACATTAAACAATATTAGGTTTATTTCAGCACAATGAAATGGTTCAGTACACAATTATAAAGGGATATGGCTTTGATTGCCTTTGTCATTCCTCTCCTTGTTTCAGATAAAGTGTATGAGGATATATCTGTAGCCCTGGCCAAACTGAATCACAGTCTCATAGCAACAGGCTGCCTGTCTGACAACCTGCAGGTACGTTGTTCCTCTTGATGTATCAACGATGTTTACATATATATATTGTTAGAGGCTTCGTTTTAACTATCTAGGTGGTCAGTGACAGAGAATGGTGTACATCAGTATATGGACAGGTTGCAGTAACTCTAGTCTTATACTGTGTCATGTCTATCATGATTGGCAGGAGATCTCACAGACTGGAATATGGACTAGTAAATATGTGAAATGCAAAAACGATGTGTTTTGATTTTATCTACCCATGTAGTGTGTCCTGTGTATTGCTTACAGTTAAATTAATCTGATATCTCACAGACTCTAATATGAACTATCATATATGCAAAGTAAAAAGTATAGTTGTTTTGACGTCTGCAGACTGTGTAGAGTGTCGTGTAACTATTGGTAATCGCTGGGGATGATGCACATTGGGGGTGATAACCAGCTATTAAACAATAAAAACTATAAAAACTGAGTGGTAACCTTGATAACCTTGTTGTGGTGACCTTGTTGTGGTGACCTTTGTGGTGATTGACCTTGTTGTGGTGACCTTGATAACCTTGTTGAGGTGACCTTGTTGTGGTGACCTTGATGACCTTGTTGTGGTGACCTTGATGACCTTTTTGTGGTGACCTTGATGACCTTGTTGTGGCAGGATGTGCTGCTAGTCCAGCTGGGAGTGTCACCCAATTCTGTTGACCCCTGGCCACTGACCGTGTACCCACGGACGCTGGCTGTGCTGGCCGAGGTGCTGCTCCTCAAACAGCAGAAGGAGAGGGAGGCCAAGACCATCAAGAGTTACAGTGACAACGCAGTCATCAATATCTGGGTCAGGTTCATTGTCACTCTCAAGACAGCCATCCTCAACTTCGACAACAAAACGGAACAGTTTGAAGGTAATAATGTTTAGTTGTCTTGTCTATAGTGAAACCTTGTTAATCCATACAGCATTATTCCCTTTGAATTTGTCTGTCTGAAAATATATTCAGATTAATGAATCAGTGGGTGTGCAGTCGGTTAGTAGTACTAAGTGCGAGGGAGCCGTTGTACAAAGCAACTCATAAGTCTATGTTAAGGCAAGAGAGTTTCGATCACCTTAGCACTGAGATCACTTTGTACAATAACACCCAGGCTAGTAAGGGCCAGGGACCCATAAAGATCCGGGTTAGAATTGATCTTCAGTAACCCATGCTTGTCTTAGAGGCGACTAACGGTCTTAAGGTGATCAGGCTCCCTGCCTTTGTTGACACATCTCAATTGCGTAGATCGATGCTCATGCTGTTTATAACTGGATTGTCTGGTCCAGACTCAATTATTATACCCCCGCTACCAAGTAACGGGGGTATATAGCGTTCATTCCGTCCGTCCGTCCATCCCGAAACTTTTCCGGAGCATATCTCTTAAAGTTTACATGCTAGGTTCACCAAACTTCACACACATGTTAATCATTACCCATTGATGTGCCTTTTGCTATTTTAATTTTTCTTCACAATTTTGTTTTATTGCTGTTTCCATGGAAACACGACTTAGTGCAAAATGTGTTTGATGGTTTTGTCCGGAGCATATCTCTTAAAGTTTACATGCTAGGTTCACCAAACTTCACACACATGTTAATCATTACCCATTGATGTGCCTTTTGCTATTTTAATTTTTTTCAGAATTTGTTTTGTTGCAACAAGTTCAATTGTATGTCAGGTTTCCATGGAAAACACACAAAAAAAATGTTTCCATAAATTATTACTGTAATCAGTACATGGCAAAACTATTATCTAACATGTATATAAAGTTTAGTAGAGTCAAGGAGAAAGTCTTGTGAGCTGCTGATCCTTGTCACATTATATATATCAATATCAGTCATTTCCATGTCCCAAAGTGGGAAGCGGGGTTATGTGAGCTGTGCTCACTTCTACACTTGTTTACAGACCACCGCCATATAGTTAGAATATTACTGACTGCGGAGTAAAACTAAACTCACTCGCTGTTGAAAATATCTTATTTTGTTCATTACCCAACCTGCCCTCAACGGGACGATTCCGAGCGATTTCCAGGGAAAAGGCCCCTTCACTCCTTGTGTTCTTGCGCACCAAACAGTCCGGTTTTAAAATGGACTGGTGAACTGGTGTCTTTTGGTAGTTTATCGATTTTAAGAATAAAATCTTAAAACCCGAACGCGTAGCCTTCTAATTCTCCCTTTCTTCAAAGTGTGTCACTATAAACTCTGCACAGTAAAGACCCTGGTTGAATTTTCGACTCCATGGGTACAATGTGTGATGCCCATTTTCTTGGTGTCTCCTGCTCTGATATTGCAGGAATATTTCTGAATAAAATCAGCGTAAAGCTTTAAACTTACCCGGGTTGAATTCCCTCAATGTGTGATGCCTCACTTATCCTTATGCAGATATCAACGCGGAGCACTTACTGCACTCACTTATCCTTATGCAGCTATCAACGTGGAGCACATGCAGCTGCTGCTGTTCCTGTTCCACAGTCTGCAGCTGATGCAGAAGAAGTCACTGCTGCTGCGCATAGCGGAATGTATCATCACACTGGCAAACATGGAGCCTGAGTAAGTATAAACTCATCCCGCATATCCTCAAAAGGTGGACATGTTATTTCCATTGTAAGAGTAAGCTAACATTGGATAAGGTCATCTTTATATCAGTGTGTCCCACATGAAACAAAGCAACAAAACTTGCTGTTACCGCAGTATTACATTGCAAAACAGACCTCCCATACTGTCCTACATACCGGGTACTGTAAATCATGAAATTTGATATTTTTGCGAAAATTGAGAATGACTGGAGCTCGCAAAAATATCATGGCGCAATTTATTATTCACCAGTTCATATAATCAACAACAGATCTAGACAATACATCAATTAAGCAATGACAACAACTTGGGGGGAAGACTTATTACTAGCATTACTAGTACTGACATATCACTTGTCAAACAGGGGATACTCGAACAAAAGTTACGCAGTCAGTGCATCTGATAGTCCAGACATGTGCCAACCACTCAACACACACCTGTCTTGTAAATGTTACATAGCCTGACATAGGTTAGCAGTTTTAATTTGAGAATGTTTTTATGTTGTGTAGGAAGCTGGAGACGACAGTGCCACTGCCGTTAAGCCGTGTGATGCTTGTCCTAGACTACCTGCTTCACTACTTCTACGACCCTCCAGCCACCTTCATTGATCAGGTAACATCAACACTGTCTTGTCACAGACATCCCTGTTGTAAGATTGTGTCCCTTGGCCATACCTGATCCACTGATCCTATTCTGAATCCCAGATTATGATACAGTGGAAACCGCCTAAGTAAAGACCGCTTAACTAAACAGACCTGATAAGTAAACACTTTTCTTTTGTCTCGGCAACTTCTTCATTAATTATCACTATTAGAGTCCGGTTAACTAAACTCGTATAAGTAAACAATACCGCTTAACTAAATGTCTTCTCACGATCCATGGAAGTAAATTACTTAACAAAAGAGACTTGATAACTAAATTAGCAATCACCACATAATGCGATATGAGGGGCAGTCGTGTCAGTCTCCAGTCAAACAAACATCCTACTTATCACACAATGTATGATTATTATTATTGATATTGTTAATATTATAATTATGGTTATGTTACAGGTCCAGTGGAATCTGTTCACTGTCCACACACTGACCCAAACAAGTGATCGTGACACGGGGGTCATCGCTAAAGCAAGTCATTTCTTTGTATGTCGGGAGGTAGAAGAGAACTTTCGCAAAAATCTCACAACACAAGAACTGTCTGAAGGTAATTAATATTGCAAGAAAAGTGTTACATATCTGATAATCTCTGTTTCTTTCAGTTTATTTCAAGACATAAATAAACTTCTTGTGATGAATGTTATTCAGTATGGCATCTTGATACGAGAGTTGGATAACTTGAAGAGAGAACGTCAAAATTCTGTTCATGTTGTAACAACTAAACTAGTATCCAAAGTCACAGAGTGAATGTGCAATTCTCCTTAGTTATGACATGTATCTGTTATGGGTACAGTGATGTTTGTTACCTAGTTGCCATGGCAATACTACTGTGTGTTTACCTCTACAGTGGGACATATGAAGCCCAGATTCTACAGCCTTGGACCAGGGGAGATAAACAATCAAGACTCGCCAAAGATAGATGGACTGGTGGGTATTACTATCACTGCATTTTTAACAGTATTTTAATTTATAACCTACTTAACAGGAATTTTTCCGAATGTCATAAATACTTCATAAGGAACAGGTGGTGGGGTATAGTTACTGGTTTAAACCACAAGGCGAAGGAAAGCAAAGCTCTAGGTAGTTGGTGAGTGACCATTAGACATGACTTCTAAACTTTCTAGAGCTTTCTTTAAGTTAGGAGATCCCAATACCTTTTAATAGAGATGATTGATGGTTATCCTTCAAAGTTCATCCGAAGAAGGATTTCGAGGATTTCGGAAGGATTAGATAATGCCAAACAGACTGGTTGTATATTCCACAGGGGCAAAGAATGCAATTGGAATACGCTCCGGTCTTTTGAACTGGGCATTAATGTCTCATAGACATTGAGCATACCCCTCCATTGTTAGGTGTCACCTTGAAATAAGTGGCCAGTTGTTATGTGTAAATATTTTGACTGTTACAGGCATCCAACTTCCTGCTGTCGAATGCAGAGACCTTGAACTACAACCAGCTGTACGATGCTTGTATCAGTCTGCTCATGGCTGGTTCACGATGTGACAAATCCAAGGACAAACTTACGCTACTGGTAAGGCTTACACGATTTCCTGTACTCTCTAGACATCCTGTGGTGTTGGGAGGCTCTCTCTAAGACGGGTGCTTGTGCAGAGTTGTGTCCCTTGGGCATAGAACAACCCTCCACCCTCCACCCCCAACCCCCATGGCTGAGGGTTTGAAATGTCTTAGCCCGGCAGCACTTGGGGCTTCCTCCAACAGTAAGCAGTTCAAAATGGTGTTTCTGTTAGACCAAGTCACTTACTACAATGGAGAAAAAAAGTACAGTTCAGTATTATTTTATAGTGTCTAATTGAAAGGGAGTTCCAAGATGCCTGCTCCAGTTGTATTTGAAGCTAGTGTCCACATGAATGATTCTTTTTTATATATTCCTCCTTGGGGTACTTATAAGCATTTAAATGTCCATTTAAATTCCCTACAACAGTTGTAACAATATTTGAATAAAATATTTACAAAACAAAAACTACGTTTTGTCTTTTGAGACCACCCTTACAGGGCCTTCCGGCCCCCTACAGCCAAGAGCAGGTAACTCTAGACCGTAACCTCGTACCTCACTTTCCATGCTGTCGTTGTACTTCCCGACAAGACGTGGGTCCATACCAGAAGGTTTTTCCTTGCGACTAAGAGAGTTATGAGTGTTTCAGAAACTGCAACTGTATGTATGGTTCTCTTTTTTCCCTGCATGGGCGAATTGGAGGTTTTTTCTGAATTTTTTCATTCATAATTTCTCGTTGTAACTTGGTACCTGTCGCGGTCGGCTCGCTAGTGCGTGTCAAGATGGCTGACAGGTCCCTTCGCTAGCCTTCCTGTTCATTGGTTTCCCATGTGGTTTTTCAATGTTACAGGTGGTTTTAGTGGTTTTTTATTTGTATCTTTGTACGTGTAGGGCGTATGTCTACTGCTCGCATTTTCTATATTACGCTAAAAACGTAATTGTTAGTTATGCTGCAGTGTGTACTAGGTTGTCAACTGCATGCCACGCTTGTCGCATTAGTTGTGTCGCCTACCATGCGCCTTTTTACATGTATTTGTATGTGGGTATAGGGTAGATTGCTGCACAGGTTTTTCACTTGTTGCAGTTTAAACCCTGTACTTCGTGCCTTGCTGCAATTCCCGCACGGGATTCCCACGAGGTTCTGCTTACGCTGTTTAGTGCAGAAGGAACATGAGGAAGAGGGGTGTGCGGCATGTGCCATGTTCTCGCCCAAACCATTCGGCGAGGCGAATAGACACGCTTGTTCTACAGCAACCTGCTTCGCTGGGTGATCTCTGGGCACAGGATCCCCGCCCAAGCGCCCCATAGTAGTAAGGGGTCCACGGAGCCGCTTCCCACGCTGAGCCGGCTCCCAAAAGCTAAGGCGGCTTCGCCTTCACGCACTCATGCCCCTTCTGCATCTCCTACTGCTTCCGTCTCTGTACCCGCCACCCCCTCTTGATTCAGCACCTGTAAAAGCGCTCCTGTTGATTCGTTAACCGCTTTTTTCCAGGAGCAGATGTCGCCAGTCAAGTCCCTGATTGATACGGGCGCTAGCGGGTTCCGTAAGGAGCTCAGCTACCGGGTCGCCGGGGACGGAGCTGACACATCTGGGGTTGGCTGCGCCCGAGCTTCGCTCGAGAACGCCACTCCCGAGGCGGCTTGATCCTGGCTTCGGCGCGGGCGATAGCATGCCCCTCGGCGCCTGGTGGCGACCTGGCTTTATGCGCGCTGGTCTGTCACAGGTGCCTGGTGCCGCGATACAGGTTTGCCCCTGTCATTGCCTGGTGTCTCGACTGGCGGTCGCCTAGGCTACCACCAGTTCGGGATACCTCGCGCCTGGCAGCCAGTCTGGGTGCCCGGAAGCCTGTTGCGGCAGGTTCCTCTCGGCTTTCTCGCACCTGGCGCTGGTTCCTCCCGCAGGGCTGCATGCTTTTCCCCTGGCTCCTCTTGACCTTATGAGTTTTTCTGGTCCTGCCTCTGGCGCCTCCTCGGGCGCTCTCTCAGGAGTCTGAGATTATGGCGGCCGAGGATTCTGCCGAGGTCGATATGGAGGAGGAGGAAGGGACGGTGGAATCGGAGGCGGAGTGCCATACTCCTTTGCCACGCCCCGCGGCAGGTTCGGGATAAGATCGCCGGGTCCTGCCGCAGGTGGCTGTTCCCGCCCCGCACCCGACCCCGCTGGAGTTTCGCTCCCGGGGAGGCGCTCGCGACCTAACCGGGTCGCAGAGGCACGCCACGCATTCTCCCCATCACTGGTCAGTGAGGTGGTGAATCCGCCCCTGGCTGGTACTCGCCGCTTTTTGATTTGCCTGACGCCGGGCAGGCGGTACCAGTTAGGTGAGGAGACGCTTCGAACCACCAGTGGTGGACGAAAGCGCCTTTGCCTCAGTCACGCTAGGAGGGTCGCTTCGCCTTTCCCTGGCCTCGCCAGGCAGGGCAGGCGCCCCCCTTTTCCGCTAGCACGCCACTGCCGCTGAAGTCTGCCTACCGGTCATTCAAGAATGTTACCGTGCGCCGCCCAGCAACTTAAAGTAGCCGCCCATTCAGCCTACCTGTCTGCATTGCAGGGACAGCTGGTGGCCCACAGCGCTGGCGTGCCGATTCATCGGAGTCGGTGCTCGCTGGCAGTTAACGGACGTGACACCGCGATCTGGCTCTGGACAGCATTCGGGCTGTACCAGCCAGATGATGGGTGCCGCCATGGGCTTGCGCTGCCTGTGGCTGTCTGTGGCGCGGTATTTGCCGGCCACACAGCAAGCTCTACTCTCATTGCCCTATACCATGGGATCTTCCCTGTTCCCTGGGGCCTTGCAGGTGGTAAGGGAGGCCGCGGAGGCTGTCTCTACCTTTAAGGACTCAAAGCCTTTGTTGGAGCAGCCCTCTGCTCCTCGCCATCGGCCCTCCCCGCTTGCGTCCGCTTACCCTTCTGCCTCGGCGAAGGATGTTGTTAAGTAGGCTGCCCCTTTGCAGTCCAAGCGGAGCAGGCGCACGAGAGGCAGGGGCAAGCCTGCTCCAGCGCAGCAGTCTTTTCGGGGCAAGGGGAAGCCAGCCCCGGCTTCCCACAGATTCATTCCCCAGAGCCCTTGTTGCCCCCACTCACGCAAGCGAGACTTGCCGACGGTGGGGTGCACTGCCTCTGCCACACGCCCCTGTCGGGCGGCCGGCTGTCCCTATTCCTCCGGGAGTGGGAGGCAGCCACCTCAAATCCCTGGGTCCTGTCCACGCCAGGGATGGCCATTTGCCACAGAGGAGGTGAGATCCTCCGTCTTCTCCGGGGTTCGCACACGCCGTGCCGACTTCCGCGACAAGGCGGAAGTCCTCCGTGCCGAGGTTCAGTCTTTACTGACCAAGGCGCCATCGAGGTGGTTCCTGTGAGTCAGCGAAGAGGGTTTTATTCCACCTACTTCCTCGCGGACCAAAAGGGACGGAGGGTTCAGACCCATTCTGAATCTCAGAGGGCTGAACAAATTACTGGAGGTGCCGCCTTCAGGATGGAGACACTCAGGTCAGTGATCTCCTCCGTCGAGACAGGGATTGGCTTACGCCAATCGATCTCAAAGACGATACCTCCATGTTCCAATGCACCCAATTCAAGAAGTACCTCCGGTTCTCCTTCGACGGGGCGTGCACCAGTTTCAAGGTGCTCCCCTTCGCATCTCCACGGCGCCAAGGGTGTTCACCAAACTTATGCTAATCCCAGCTCAATTAGCCAGGTCTCAGGGCAGGTGTTGTCACCCGCATCTGGACGATTGGCTTCTCAGGGCCTTAGGGCTCAGTTAAGCAGAGCCTCCTCACTGTGCGTGCTGGATACTCTGGTGTCACTGGGCTGGATTATCAATCTCAAGAAATCAGACCTCGCCCCGACGCAGGGATCTGATATTCTTGGGAGCCAGATTCAACACGGGCGCTAGGGATTGTTTCCCTTTCGACCGCATCGCCAAAGTCCGGCGGACTGTGTTACAGTTCCTCCAGTCCCCGCTAAGCGTCGGCCCAACATGGCTTCGCTGCTTGGCAACATGGCGCTTACAGTGGACGGGTTTGGCGGGCGCCGCTTGAGGATGCGACCAATTCAGCAAGCATTAGCTCAGCTGTGGTGCCACTCGCAGGGCTACGGTGATTATGCTCATAACGCCAGAGTGGTTAATCCCTCACTTGCGATGGTGGGGATGGACGCCGGGAATTTGTCCAGGGGATCCCCCTCGACACCCCGACACCTTCCCTCTCAGTTGAGACGGACGCCTCCCTCACAGGTTGGGGGTCCTGGGCGAAGCACTCAGCCTCCGCCTCTGGTCGGAGCGGGAGGTCAGCCTACACATCAATGTGTTAGAACTGAGAGCAGTCCGCAAGGTGTTCGAGTGCTTCCGGTGTTGGTGCAGGGCCGTGGTGGTCGCTCTAGAAATGGACAATCAAACGCACCATGTCTTACATTCTCAAGCAAGGCGGCACAGTGTCTCCGCCGCCCTTCAGGAGGCGGGCAGTTTCTACTGTGGTGCGATCAGTTCAACATTCGGTTTTGCCTGTTTATCTCCGGGTAGACAACGCCCGCGCAGATGCTCTCTCACGGGCGATACTAGCCCGACACGTAGTGGATGCTCAACCGGGAGATATTCGGGATTATCTCCCAGTTGTTCGGTCGTTTCCAGGTGGATCTGTTTATGCCTGGGGTGACGAACCAGATTCCTGTGTTTTGCTCCCGGATTCGGATCCGGTGCGTTAGCCAACGACGCTTTCAGCTAGATTGAACGGACAGGGTATTGTATGCCCCCGATAATACCACTGATTTCCGGGTCCTGTCGCGAGCTGACCGCGACAACCAGCTCGGCTACTTGTGCTTCTGGCACCCCATTGGTCGGCACAAAAGCTGGTTTCCGTAATTTCAGGTTTCTGGCTCAGCCTCCTGTTCTATTACCTTTTCGACCGACCTCCTATCCCAGAACGGAGCTTCCCACCAATCCCAGGATTCAGTGGGTGGCTTGGCCGCTATCAGGGATCGCCTCCATGCGAAGCGAATTCCTGCACCAGTTGCAGACACAATTCTGGCTTCGCTGGAGGGATTCGGCCAAACGCTCAATATGAGGATAGATGGGCCTGTTATTCGCTGCTGGTGTCAACAGGGGATTCTTGATCCCTTTCTACAGATTTAGTCTGTGTGTTAGAATTCCTCCAGTCTCGCTTGGAAGCCGGTCTAGCGGCTTCCACTGTTCGGGGATATTCTACGGCTATTTCTGCGCTTCATATTCCTGTTGACGGTGCTCTCTTGGGGCAGCACCCTCTTGTACAGCTTTTAGCAGGTGGACAGAATCCGTCCGTTGTCCGGACGGATTAGTCCCCGTGGGACTTGTCAATCGCTCTTGATTGGCTGTCCGTCCACTGTTTCACAATCTGTCGGCTCTTTCCCTCCAGCTGTTGACGTGGAAGACGGCGCTTTCTTGTGGCGGTGACTTCAGGCAGGCGGGGTTGGCGATATTCACGCAATGTCGGCCGATCCCGCTTACTGTTTTTCACAAAGACAGAGTGAGCATTCGCTGCCTGAGACTTACCGTCCTAAGAAGGATAGTCCCTTCCATGTGACGGCGCCTATTGAGCTCCCAGCTTTCACTCAGCCTTCCTGTCCGGTACCTCTCACGACGTGCTCACGCCTTAGATGTCCGTAGACACTTCAGGCTTATATCAAACAAACAAGGGTACCCGTAAGGGTAACCAATTGTTTTGTTGTTATGGCGGGTTCAGGCTGGTCTTCCGCCCACCAAGCAGACCATTTCTCGGTGGCTTGTCTCTGCCATACATATGAGTTATACTCAAACAGGGCGTATCCCGCCTGTTGGGTTGAAAGCTCATTCGGTTAGGGCAGTAGCTACATCGACAGCTTACGCTGCAGCCCTGCCCATTGAGGAGATCTGCTCACGGCTATTTGGAGCCGTCCGAAAGTATGCGCTCATCCGTCATTACCAACTTGACAGACTCTCCATTGAGCGTGCTCGGTTCGGTCAGTCAGTTCTCTCCAGTGGGCATGGTTCCACCTCTCTAGCCGATTGAGCTTTCGAGGTTTTTTATTGTGTGAACCATTATCTGCCAATTTTTAACACTGGTGTTGGGTTTTACAAATCTTGTTACATTTTCCTTTGGTGATGGGTTTTATGTGGTGCTGTTTTTTTATTCCCATGTCTCTTGCTTTCTAACCAAAAGCTCTAGACTAAACTGCCCTTGGAAACTTTGCTGTTCATATTCCGCATTTCGCTTTCTGGGTTTATTAAGGGACCCTTATCTTCACTTCCGGTAGATTACGGGAAGGAGGAGGGGTGTGTCTCGCTCGCTGCATTAGCGCAGGTTTCACTGGACAAATTTGCATACGCTTAACCCTGACCCTGGCTCATGCCCCCTGATTGGCTTTGGTGGACACGTGACCGGTAAGTGTGCCTTTTCTGCTATAATTAGCTTGGGAAATTCCACTTCTTGTCGGGGTGTTTAAGCAGACAGAATGCCGCCCTGAGATCCGCCTTTAGGAGTCTGTCTTATGCTTATAAGTATTTCAAGGAGGAATATATAAAAAAAGAATCGAACTAACCTGTAGAGGTTTCAGATTCTTTGAATATATTCCTCCTTGGGTACCTCGCCTCCCTCCCGATTCTGTCTGACTTCGTTCAGCATGGAAAGTGAGGTACGAGGTTACGGTCTAGAGTTACCTGCTCTTGGCTGTAGGGGGCCGGAAGGCCCTGTAAGGGTGGTCTCACAAGACAAAACGTAGTTTTTGTTTTGTAAATATTTTATTCAAATATTGTTACAACTGTCGTAGGGAATTTAAATGGACATTTAAATGCTTATAAGTACCCCAAGGAGGAATATATTCAAAGAATCTGAAACCTCTACAGGTTAGTTCGAATTTAAGACAAAGACCCTTGATATTCCTGCATATTGTGTAACACTACTTCAGGCTCCTTGTAATTGTGATTAAAATGATGACTGATTGTTTGACCGACTTGGTATTAATGCAAGACAGCACTGATTAACCCAATATTTCAGGTGAATAGAAAATTCCTGTCAGAAATTTACATTATTCAGACATGGTATTGAAAGCATTAACATTTTGTGTGTATTTTCTATTTTCCCAGGATGCGTCAGCCATGCACTATCACTTCCTGATCGTGTGGCTCCTACTTGCATGTCTTCCCCCATCCAGCCAGTACATCAAGCTGCTGGAGGGGAGCCAGCTGTCGATGGGGAAGGGACACATTCTTCACACACTCCGCTGGGCACCCAGACTTGGGCACAAGGCATTTGTCAGCTGGGTGAAGGTAAGCACTAGATGATGATAAGTGAGTGACTTTAGTTTTACACCGCACTGCGCCATATTCCAGCTGTTCCAGCCATTCCAACCATATTCCGGCGGTCTGTAAAGTCTGGATCAGACAATCCAGTGATCAACAGCATGAACATCGAACTATGCAATTGAGATACAATGACATGTGTCAACCAAGTCAGCAAGTCTGACCACCCAATCCCAATAGTCGCCTCTTACGACAAGCATGGGTTATTGAAGGTCAATTCTAACCCTGATCTTCATGGGCCTCTATTGCATCTGGGGCGGTGGGGTAGCCAAGTGGTTAAAGCTTTTTGCTTGTCACACTGAAGACCTGGGTTCGATTCCCCACATGGGTACAATGTGTGAAGCCCATTTGTTTGAGACATGTCATCACATCCCAATTGCGTAGATCGATGCAAGGCGCCTCGATTATTTACAGACCACCAGCATATGGCTTGAATAATAAACAATAACTAATCAATCAATCAATCATTTGTGTGTATGTAGCACCATAAGTTTGTCATCAGACCACAGGTTTTCGGACATCATGCATTTTGGGATTGCATAGCTTACACGGAAATAATGCAGGTGTTGCATGATGCTGACATTGTCAATTCCTTGATGATGACTAGTGTTTAGCATAAAGTTATCTTTTATAATTTAGGGAGATGTTTTATAGTCGTTCATATGATTTGAAGATAACAATGAATGTTTCTTAAGTGTCCGATGTACATGAGATGCATTACATATGTTTATCTTGTTTTGTGTTAATATTTTGGTTGTTGTTGATGTGGTGGTGCTGCTGCTGCTATGTTTAAAGAGGGCCTTCTTGTGTTACAGGACTGGCTTGTGAAGCAAGGTTCGACCACACAACAGGCAGAGACACTGGTCACAGCAGCCAACACGACAGCAAACAGCATCAACTATGATGTCCGTCTCTCCATGAAATTCATTAAGGACCAGGTTAGAATATTTCTTAAATCGAGATATGCATAATAAAGAAAACTGTCTCCAATTTTCAACTTGAAGTATGTGAAATTTACTCAAGTAATATTCTATAGGACCCAGTTCTCTAAGGCAAGGCAAAATAAACTTTTGATTCCTCGGGTTTCACTGTGTAATTTTGTGTTACAGATTAAGAACCTACCAATAGTTGAACAGAAGGAGATCCTCCCAATGAAGGATCTGCCCGGTTTGTCAGCCATCTTGATGCTGGATGCAGTAGTTGCCAAAGTGGAGGTGGGACTGGATGATGCTTTCTCCAAGCCAGTTGTAAGTAGGGTTCCCAAAGTTCCCAAAACCTGTTGAAAGTGTTGGTTGATGGCCATTCTGTGCTTAATATGTATGATTGTGTCATTTTGACAAGATGGCTAGGATCAAATACCTAACTTGCAACAATTAATCACATCATGATTATCACATTATCAAATGATCACTGACCCATCAGATCACGAGATATACATATGTGTTTGGGGTGTATGATGTAATACATGACCCTCCACAATCTGATCGCAGCCTGGGATAAGTCGACCATGCAAATGAATACTCATGACACCCAAATCAGAAAACACATCTGTTCTGTGCTGTTATTCCAGGCTGATCCCCACGAGACGATGGACATTGTCCAAGATTTGATACCAGCCATTCTAACTCTTGTTGAAGCTTACAGTGTCTATGTTAGGTGAGTTTACCCATCTTCCATTATTTCAGGTACTGTAAATCTTAAATATCAATACAAGCTTAAAATTGCCATAAAAAGTGTGAATGTCCCTTGGATTACGGTTGAGAAAAATAACATTCATTAATGCTGGGTTTTGTGCTTCTCGCCAAGCATAATATTCAGCATTAATTTGTTGCACAATTTGTTATAACAGTCGCCAATCTTGTATGATACTATCTTTGTCCGTCTTGACATAAAATGTTGTCGTGCTTTGATTCAAAGAAATTCTTGTTAAAATTCTGTTTAGAGTGACAAGTTGGTGTTGCTCAACATATCAACAACCACTGGCTTAGGGCTGACTCAGATTTTTTAATATATTTGCTGTTCTTGTATAACTTTGATTAATAGCCATGCTTGCTATGTAGTATAACAGCAAAGAAACTAACCTTATATATTACAAATTCTAATCAAGTTATCAACAGTTCAAACGAGAGAATGTGTGGAGCCCATTTCTGGTGTTCCCCCGTCATGATATTGCTGGAATATTGCTAAAAGCGGCATGAAAGTAAACTCACTCGCTCGCTTAAATGAGAGATGTGATTGAACCACAGTGGACAAAACTATTCTGCTAGGAAGTTATTATTTGGGGTTACGTTTTACGGTAATTAACATAATACAGTCAAATCCCGATGAGTCGAATGCCGGTGTCTCGAATATTATGCATAACTCGAAGTACCTGTCGGTCCCGACCATTCCCTGTTATAGTTGTCATCATTTGATTTCCGGTTACACGAAATTCGTCTCATAAATACACACGATGACTCGAGAAGGAAATTTGGCCCATGAGATTCAAACAACAGCAATCTTGTATACATAAGTCGAAGTCAGTCAATGAAAAGTTGATTGGTGTAGCAAACTGATCCAATTAACAAACCAGCGCGGCTCACACCTTTACGCCATTGACAGGGGAGTTCAAAAGGCAGATTAGTGAGTTACGGAAATCACTGTCTGTGCTAATGAGACTGGAACTGATAAGGTGCCCCTATTATTGATATGGAAATCATTAGATAAACAAATGCTTAGGCGGAGGAATTAGGACTGGATCATCTTTTTTTCTGCCCTCATAGACATACCTATGTCTCGAATACATTGATAAGTCGAATTTTTACTTGGTCCCCAGCGATTCGACTCATCGGGATTTGACTGTATGTCATCTTCGCACATTGCATGGGGCATTCTGAATATTTCCTTTTCCAGATCATGTGTTCTTGGAGAGGTAGCGGACACTGACGACTCGACCTTGACCCCTCACAGACTACAGGCGTTTGGCATGGTGATGAGCATTGGGTCAAACCGTGCCTCGAAGGTGTCAGTGTTGGGGTCAGAGGTGATGGCAATACTCCCGCGCCCTGTGAGGAATGCTGTGGAAAAGTGGAACGGCAGCAGCGGAAATGAGTTTCCCAGTATTGGAGCATGGGTAGGCATGGTTACATCACAAGAGCAGTCTTTTAATCTAGCACAAATGTTGAACAAAAATCCCTATGATATGTATTATACACCTGAAGGTTTGGAAATTAGCAGCGGAAACGAGTTTCCTAGTATTGAAGCATGGGTAGGCATGGTTACATCTCGCTAACAGTAGTGTTGGAAAATTGGTTGAAACCTCACAATTGATGATTGCTTCATTATCAACGAACAATCATCGAAAAAAATTGGTTAGAGTCATTTTCCAGATTTTCCTATCCAGGTTGTTATTGCAGATATGTATAACATGATGCAACTCGCTACTTTAAAGTGATGACTAATAATATCATGAACATAAACTACCTGGAGTCTTCAAGAAATATTTAGTCATGCCTTTTCAGTTAGTGAAGTGAGTTTTCCAAGAATTAAGCAAGTTTTCAGGCCCTGAAAACTTCGAAGATATTTTCCATCGTCAAATGTTTCAAAGATTAAAACAGTTGTTCCAAAATCGTTTATGTTTGATTATGAGAAAATGTCACCGATTGCTTGGTCGTTTGGTCAGTGCGACCAATCTTCGATTATTTCAATTAATCGGAACACCACTAACTAACAGTGTTTTGATCTAACACAAACGGAGAAAAAAATGTCAACAAAAGGTTTTGAAGGTTTGGAAATGAACAGTGAAAGTATTGGAGCATGGTACGGGTAGGCATGGTTACATCACAGGGACAGTCCTTTAATCCAGCACAAATGTAGAATGTAGCATGAGTCAGGATAAATATAAAATATCAATTTTAGTCAGAAAATTAAATATTGCTGTTTGCAGCGAAATGCCTTCGCCAATGACATCCTTCCCTGTGAGAGCTACATGGACACCGTCCACAGTGCCCACATGGTCACCCTGTCTGGTCAGCCCAGCTTCTGCATCAACGCCTCCATGAGACATGTGCTCAACTCACTTGTCCGCTTTGCCAGTGACCTGGTGGTGTAAGTATCACAAGTCTTGTGGATCCCATCTTGATATGGAAGTAATAGTAGTCTCTATCTGTTCCCAATAGGGATTTTGATTTAGAATGAGTGAATTTAGTTTTACGCCACCCTCAGCAATATTTCACCTATATCTCAGCGGTCTGTAAATAATCGAGTCTGGACCAGACAATCTAGTGATCAACAGCATGGACCACATTGATCTACGCAAGTGGGATACAATGACATGTACCACCAAGACAGCGAGTCTGACCACCCGATCCCATTTACGACAAGCATGGGTTACTGAAGATCAATTTTAACCGGATCTTCGAGAGTCGAGTTTAATTTAGAATTTGTCTCTACAATGTATGCTGGTCGTAAAGAGGTGATGTATTGGACTGTGTGGTCAGGCACTGTGACTGGTGACATGTCATTGTTTCCCAGTGGCCCACAATGCCAGTCACTTAATTGTCTAGTCCAGACTCAATTATGTACACAGCTTTCATATAGCTGGAACTTTGCATGTCATCGATGCTCATGATCTCAATCCCTGGTTCTCCTGGTCCAGACTCTATTATGTACACAGCTTTCATATGGCTGGAACTTTGCATTTCATCGCATCCCAATTGTGTATCTCATCTCATCCCTGGTTCTCCTGGTTCTTATTGGTCCAGACTTTGCATGTCATCGCAGATCCAATTGTGTTACAGCTCATGATCTCAATCTGCTTCTCCATCATGGCTGGAACTTTGCATTTCATCGCATCCCAATTGTGTAGATCGATGCTCATGATCTCAATCCCTGGTTCTCCTGGTCCAGACTCGATTATTTACAGACTGACATCATATGGCTGAAAAATTGCTGAGTACGGCGTTAACCAAGAAATGAAAAACACTGCATTGTCTGCATTGACTAGACCCATCATGTGTTTATGGGCCACAGTAGCATAGTAGTGATTTTAAACTAGCAAAGAAAACATAGAAACTGACCATTCAGGGAAGCAAACGCTTGAATGCAGCTTTTAGTTGAATGTTTAGTGTATTTACAGAGGATCTATCACTCGCACATGACACAATAATATTATCACTTATCCAGGTGGTGTCCTGATGCAGACAGCAGTAAGGAGTTTGTGCGAGTGATGTTTCCCCTGATGTACGACATCACCACAGAATACCTGGCAGACTCGGTGAGTTATCATTCACATACCATTACCATTCAACAGTTTGTCTTGGTTCAACTCCATCAATGTGCTTTTCAGTATCACCACTTCTTCATGTTATCTCCAACCTTACCTCTTGACTTGGGGGGCGGTGGGGTGGCCAAGTGGTTAAAGCTTTGGTTCAACTCTATCAATGTGACAGGAGAGTAGGCTGTCTTGCAACCCCTGTGGGCAATGGGGTTACCTAGTGGTTAAAGCTTTGGCTCGTCATGCCGAAGACCGGGTTCGATTCCCCACATATGTACAATGTGTGAAGCCCATTTCTGGTGTCCCCCGGCGTACTCCCTCACTCTTTGACTTGACTAATGAGGAATTAATTCCAGATATCCCTGTTTTTGAAGCACCTTTATCTGCTGAAAGAATCTTTTTCAGGCTCTAAACAGACTTGGCTTCAGTGTAAAGGCAAAAGCTGCCAGCTGTACAACTGGGATAGGAAACTCAGAGCAGTTTAGAAAACTGGAGCACAATATGATGTGTTTACTTTATCATGGCTGCTGACAAAAAAAATTATTTGATCTGAAGACATTCCTTAAGTTCCCAAAGAGATTCCTTATGTTAATAGTGTTATTTCTGCCATAGGTGTCCAACTCCTTAGAGAAGTTCCTGGGTCAGGCTGATGGGGAGGAGTTTGCTCTCAAGATGTATGGTCACGTGATCTCAGTCTGTCACGAACTCATTATCGACTACTCTGATGCCGAGAGGTGAGAAGCAACAAGATCTGTCAAAACTAGAACATCACATATTCTTACACAAAAAATACCCATGAAGATCTTGGTTAGAATTGGTCCCAGTAACCTATGCTTGTTGTAAATGGTGACTAACAGGAACACGTGGTCAGGCTTCTGACTTAGGTGACACATGTCATCGTATCCCAGTTGTGTAGATCGATGCTCATGCTGTTGATCATTACCTGGATTACCTGGTCTAGACTCAGTTATTTGGAGACCACTGCCATATAGCTGGAATATTGCTATGTGGGATGTTAAACAACAAAGAACCTACCAACCTCATGCAAAAATACTTCCCAATACCATGACTACTAAACTAGCTGTCATTCAACTGGAATACTTGAGCATGACTTAAATTATATTCGACCCACTAAGTGGCTTCTTCGGAGAGCACCGTGAGGGAAAACAAAAATACCACTCACTAACGATATCGTAACTCCTTAGAGAATCGAAGGGGTACAGGTTCTCTGAGTGCTCAGTAGCAGACATGTCAATAATGGAATCATTGTACAGGAGCCGCCAACACAAACCAATAAACCAAGACTCACTTGGTCAGGGTGGCAGGACACTGTCCACTGGAGAGAACGGTACGACCAAAGCTGCATACGATTATGCGTGAATGTGTATCGAGCTGATAATGGCGATAAAAGTGCTTGGCCGGCTCCAAATAGCGCAGAGCAGATCTCTTCAATGGGGAGTGCCGCTGCAAAAGCTTTTGATGCTGCTACTGCCCTGACCGAAAGTGAGCCTTCAACCCTCAGGGGAGGCTTGCCCTTAGCCTGATAAGCGCACAAATACATGAAACAAGCCAGCCAGACAAAGTTTGCTTGCTCGCTGGCAGACCAGCCTTCCCGCCACCGTAACAACAGAACAGCTGGGTACCCGTCACGGATCCCCTGCGCTCGCTTGATATAGACTTTGAGCGCCTTACGGACATCCAACGGGTGAGTGCTCAGAGGAGTGGTCCCCGATGTGGAAGGCTGGGTAAGAGTAGGAAGTTCGATAGGAGCTGTCACATGGAAAGCGTGATCGACCTTCGGTCGGTGGTAAGTATCTGGGAGGCTTAATGCTGACACGATCCGTGAAACACAGTCAGCTCGGTCGGGACGACATAGCATGTATATCGCCGACTCTTCGACCAGATGTTACCGCCACCAGAAACACAGCTTTCCAGGTCAACAACTGAATGGAAATAGCCGATAGGTGTGAGAAAGTGGGACCGACAGCCAATCGAAAGCACGATCGACAAATCCCAAGGTGGACTGGTTCGCCTGAGAGCAGGTCGAATCCGCTCCGCGCCAGAAAGCTGCTATGCGAGAGGGTGCTGCCCCAGAAGAGCACCATCGACAGGGGTGTGAAAAGTGGAAATAGCGGTGGAGTAGCCACTTAATGGTCGGGGCCGCCAGGCCTTCTTCCAAACGAGCTTGCAAAACTCCAATACTCGACTAAATCCGCGAAAAGGGATCTGCAATGCCCTTATCTGAACACCAGCGCCACATAGCGGGACCACCTATCCTCATACTGAACGCTTGTCGAATCCGCCTCGAAGCCAGAATTGTGTCTGCAACTGCTGCAGGAATTCCGCGTGCTCTCGAGGTTAGACCTGACAGAGGCCAAGCCACCCACTGAATCCGCGGATTTGGGTGGGGCCCGCTCTGAGTGAGAATGTCCGGGTCGCAAAAGGTAATAGAACAGGAGGCTGAGCCAGAAACCTGAGAATTACCGAAACCAGCTCTGTGACGGCCAAAGCGGTGCCAGTAGCACAAGTAGCCGAGCTGGCTGGGTGGACAGCTGTGAAAGGACACGGGAATGAGTGGTAACGGCGGGAACGCCCAGAGCACTTTGCCCGTCCCAATCCAGCAGGAAGGGCGCGGCAGCCAACGCCTCTGGTCCGGGTATCCGAGAGCAGAACATCGGTGTCTGATGCGCCCCGCCGGACGCAAACAGATCCACCTCGAATCGACCCGGCACAACTGGGGAGATTACTGTGAATATCTGCCTGTCGAAAGCATCCACTGCAGGGCCAGGATCCGCGAGAGGCGCGATCTGCTCGCATCGCTCTCCAGCCCCGGAGATAAACAGGAGTACCTGACAATCGTATTGGTCGCCCAGAGGAGAAAGTCCCACGCTTCCCGGAGGAGCTGGGGACACCGCGGCTCCCTGCTTCAGGATGTACGACATGGCCGCCTGGTTGTCTAACTGAAGACGGACTACCTGGCCAATGGACATGCTCTCTGAAGCGCCGAATACCAACCGCATAGCTCTCAGCTCCAACACGCTGATGTGAAGGTGAGCTTCGCTTCGACCAGAGTCCGGAAGCCGACAGACTGCCCAGAACGCCCCAGCCCGTGAGGGACGATCTGTCTGAACTGTGAGAGCTGGCGTGGATTTCCAAGGGGAACCCCTGGTGAGATTCCCCGACATTTGTCCACCACTGAAGGTGAGGTGTCAACCACTCGGGGACTGTGAGACTGCGCCCCAGATCCTCCGTGTGAGTCCACAGCCCAGCCAAAGCTTGCTGTATGGGGACACATCTCAACCGCCACACTACAGAGATCGTCACGCCATATGGCTCCAGTAGACGGAGCCAAGTCCGTGCTGGTGCCTGGGGCTGGGAGAGGAATGAAGATACCATCTCCTAACTCTGGTGACTCCGGTCGGGCTTACAAGGAAACGAGATCCTTGTTCGCTTGAATCGCGCCCAAGAAAAAACCAAGTCCTGGGTGGGTACCAGGTCGGATTTCTTGAGGTTGATGATCCACCCCAGTCGAAGTTAGAATGTCTATCACTGTGTGAGTAGCATCTTGACTCGCTGGCTGTGTTAGTGCTCCGAGCAACCAGTCGCCTAGGTAAGGGTAACAACGCCTTTCCTTGGCGAGCGAGCTAGGGTAGCTGGGACTAACATGAGCTTGGTGAACACCCTTGGGGCAGTCGATATGCCGAAGGGGAGCACTGAATTGGTAATACATCCCGCCGTGAAGAGAACCGGAGGTACTGCTTGAACGAGGGATGTATGGGTACATGCAGATACGCGATCCTTTAGGTCGATTGACGGAGCCAATCGCCCGGGCTGAACAGATGAGATCACCGAGCGCAGTGTCTCCATCTTGAAGGATGGTACTGAGCATGATTCAACCCCTTGAGGTTGAGAATCGGACGAACCCGCCGCCTTTCTTCGACGCAGGAAGCACGCGGAGTAAAAATCCGCCGCCTGTTCCTCTCCCGGTGGAATGCGCTCGATTGCGGACTTGTCCAGCAGAGCCTGAACTTCGTCGCGCAATATGTCCGCCCTGGCTTGGCATGACGGCACCGGAGTGCGTCGTATGCCGGTGAAGTCGGGCGGACCTCGCTTCCACAGTGGGAGATGGCCTATGCTGACCGTGGCCAGCACCCAAGCGTTGTTGGTAGCCTTCTCCCATTCCGGCAGGAATAGAGAGAGGCGGCCTCCCACTGGGATATGGGGTAGGAGCGCGTGCGTGGACCCTAGTAGCGGAGCTGACTGGGTGTGACACACGGCTTGAGCGGCAGCCTGTTGGGTTAACGGGAGGTCGGGGCAGACCTCCCGCGCCCGCGAAAAGGCTGGGAGCTAGTCGAGGACTGCTCCTTGCCCCTACCCTTGGCGGACCTACTCCTCCGCCTACCCCTACCAAGCGGCCGAAGCCAGCCGGCAGACTCGGGTGTAGGCTGCACCCCGGCGGAGGAAGGTGGTACGGGAGCGCGGGGGCGAGACACCCGCGGGTGCTCCAACAAGGCCTTAGAATCCTTGAAGGAGGTAGCTGCAGCGGCAGCCTCCCGTATGACCTGCTGTGCCCCGGGAAAGAGGGTCGCCCCAGACGGAAAGGGAGAGCCAGCAAGGTCTGCTGTGTTGCTGCCGAGTACCTAGACGCCGACAGCCACAGCCTGCGCATCCCCATGACTGGGCGCGACATCACCGCCGGACGCAGCAGACCGCAAAGAGTCGCTGCAGGTGAGCCTGAACTTCCGACAGCTGACGGAGTAGCATCGACATGCGGCGACATCGCCGCCAGCATGCCCCTCCGCCTTCCAGGGCCGACTCTGTATCGAGGAGAGGTAGGCCTCATGGACCACCACCCGCACCTGCTGCATCATGCTCCGCAGACCTCCTCAGAGGTCCGGGTACGCGTCGTGCAGGGGATGCCCGCCGAGGGCAAAGGTGGAGTGAGGCGCCTTGCCCGCAGCAGCCGAGCTGCTCGGAGGAAGCCGAGCCTCCCCAGGGCGACGGAAGTGAAAACACACTCGGCCCACGATCGGTACGACATCTAACAGGGAATCCTCCCCAAGCTGGTAGCGCCGCGACGAAGTTCAGGTAAGTCAAACCTGACTCGGGTACCAGACAAGAGGGGATCACCACGCCCGCACCAACGATGGCAGAATGCGGAGCTGCGCCTGTGAGGGCTGCCCTAGGGGCAAACGCCTCACCAGGCAAGCGGAACTCAGTCGAGTCCACGCAACCAGCAGGCACCGCGGCCTGGGGTAGGCCCTCGGCAATTCTCTGCCGGACCTCCCGCAAGGCCGAAGCAAAACGGAAGCTGCCGTCATGCTCCTCGACCTCCCCGAGCTCCATTGCCTCGGCGGCCCGAGCCCGAAGTCAGAGGCTGGGTCTCCTCCGAAGAGGACCCTAACCCCGACCCCGTGGACTGCCTAACGCTGGGCACCACAGGAAGGGAGGAACAGACCGACTGCTCCACGCCAGCCAGCCGGGCGGCGCGCGTGGACCTCGTCCCGGTGACGCAGGAGGCAGGCCAGGCAGAACTGGTGCCTCCGCTCTCATGGGGCGGGTGTGCGCAGGGACCGGAATACCAGGAATACTCAACGGCCCAAGCGCAAGCTCCGAGAGGGGGACTGGGAGCACCTCCCTCTCCGGAGCAGCCGAGGCGCCCGACCCGGGCCAGAGGCAACGGATCGACAGACGCCTCAAGGCTGAGGGATCTAGCCGAGGCCGGCGATCCCACCCCCGGACTCTCCGCCCCCCGTCCGGAGTGGGCGAGGAACTCCCTGGCGGAGACCTCCAACCGACTCCCGAACGAAGGACTTCATTGAGTCCATCTGCTTCTGAAACATCGACTCCATTAGAGACATGTCAAAACCACCTTTCGGGTGGTAGGAGAGGGGAAGGGCCACGGATTTTTCCTTTTTGGACGCCTGCTTAGATTTTGACGGGGAACCTGCGCCAGGTCCCTCCCGCCACGATCTCGCTGCGGTAAACAGGGTGTCGGCCACCGCCTCTTCTGTGCCCGGGGAAAAGGCCAGACAAATTGAACATGTATCAGCCACATGGCCTCGCCTTCTCCAGACAGGCCACGATTGGGAGTGACTGTCAGCCCGGGAATACTTCCCCACAGACCTAACAACAGGTAAAGCCTGAAACAAACACGTAAACATGTTAGTTAACTTGTGGCCAGAAGCAGAGAAACACGTGAGAAAACATTGAAAAATACGCGGAAGGTTACCACGGAAAGTAATAGTTGGTTTTAAAACGCAATATTACGACCACGCCGCACGCTAAACTTCCTCGCCATGGCAGAGCAAACTTGCGTGAAACCACGGAAAAGTTTATGATTTTGATAGTACTTATACAAAGTCACAATTATGAAACAACCACTGTAAGGCTTTACTGTTATTGTTTTAGACAAATAAAACCAAACATACAGGTGGTGTCTCAGACATCTTAAAATACAGCTACCGCATCGGCTCATGAAAGGTAATCACAACGAAACGCCTGTTCAGGGCCGTGACAGCAGAAGGAATGATGCTACGGGTCTAGGAGCCTACCCAGTTGGTGCGCATGCTCTAAGGGAGGTAACTCCGTGAGGTAGGGTCCGTATAATAAGTAAAAGAGTTTATTTATTGTACAATCTTTTTATTCAAAAAACATTGATACAACTGTCACAGGACATTTTACAGCCGGAAAATGCATAATATGTACCCCAAGGACGATCTCTCTGAAAAAGAATATACACATTTCACACATGTACTTGTATTAGGAATAATGACCATTGGCATTTTTAATGTTATTTTCTGTTAATATGGCAAGGCACATGATGTTCTGATTGGTCAGGTGTCTCCTAGTAGTCTTTGAGTTGAAATTCAGTTAAGGCACTATGAAATGGTCTTTGGAATCTCATGTTTAGTGTAAGAGCTGAATGAAATGGTCTCTGTTAGTTCTGAAATGTAGTAAATGCCCGCGATTCTTGATTTTATGCTATAGTATTTGGATGTAGTTTGCTCAAGGCTCAGACGTTATAACATTATCCTTTGATATTTATTCTTTATTTTGGACTATGTTAGAGATGAGATCAATATCTCAGAGCCCGTAATTCATTGGTTGTGGAGTAGTCTTAGTTGTCTTAGTTGGTGGAAATTCTCAGAGAACTATGTAATGGCCTCATGCTTGAACTAAGAGCTGCCTGAAAGCGTAGTTCAGAGGAGTTTTTGATTTGATGTTATAATATTTGAATTTAGGACACCTGAGACTTGAACTTTAGGGTTATGACAAGGACCCTTTGACATTCTTTCATTTGTATGATGGGTTGTGCCAGAGCCTATAAGATGCTACTGTGTAATGTTGTAGTGGCCTGGACGAGAAGATCCTGCAGGACTGTCTCAAGTTCATGGAGAACCATCTGGAGAAGACAGCAGGGAAGAAAGCCTTTGAACAGTTCTACACTGAGCATGGAGGTAACTACACAGATATCAACACTTTGATTTGGTGACAAAGTAGACAGCATAGCAGCCCTAGTTACAAAAATCTAAATGTGTTCAGAAAAATTGCAGTTACAGTGTAACAAAGTACTTGTTATCCTTGTACTTTTTGTCTACTTTGACAGTGATCAGCTTCTTAGAAATGCCTATCAATCGGATCACTTTAATTTGCAGTTCATTTGGAAGCTCAGAGGTAGTTTTAAGGTGTGAGGAGGAACGAAGTGGTTTAAGCATTTGCTCATTATGATGAAAAGCCAGGTTTGATTCACAATGCATGATGTCCATTTCTGGTGTCTCCTGGTATGATGTTGCTAAAAGCCAAAAAAGCATCACTCACTCTTTCAATGACCATAGCAACATCACACAAAATGATTTACAAGCAGAAAGTTGTCCGAAATAGATGGGATATTTTGTTTCAAAACAAGGAGTGCAGGCCTCTGACGTGCTAGAAGGTTAATAGTCACATGACTTATCCCACCGGGTACCCATTGCACTTCTGGGTGATCAGAGGCAATTTTTGAACAAACTCACTTGCCTAAGGTGAGACCACATTATCACGTGCTTCATTGTGGGGCAAGACTGAAGTCCTAGAAACTCTCAGGAGTCAAGCTGCCAAACACGGTCACCCATCCAAGGACTCTCCGTGCCCAACATTGCTTCACCTCAACTGATTTGTGACCTGAGCTCTATGCACAAGACCACACACCCTACTAATGTCAAGAAATAATTTTCTGATGTTTTCAGACCTGACCAGTCTGCTGCTGTCACTGGTCCGAGACAACCTGTCTCCACAGTTTGCGACCAAAGTCCTCAAGTTCTTCAACAAGCTGTTCCACCTAGCCGAGAAGAGTCCTGGAGACAAGAGCTATGAGTCTCTCTGTGCTTCCCTGTCTAAACTGGCCAGCGTGGACAAAGTCATCCTCCAGAGCCTGCTGTCAAAGATTGTTACCAAACCAGAGGAGGTGGGTACAACAGCACTGATTGGAAGACTTGGGTTAGGATACATAAAGTGTTGGGAGTGTTGGTCAGGGTTGGGCTTGAGGGGCTTAAGACGGATTTGTGGGGCAGAGGTAGTCCTCAGTACTCCTTGATTGTTGTATGGAAGGATAACAGTTGGGATACGATGACATGTGTCAACCAAGTTAGTGAGCCCGACCACATAAACACATTTGTTGCCCAATTGATAATTGATTGGCAGATGACTTCGATAATCGATTATGGTTTCTGAGGTCAATTCCCAACTCTAGTGTATACCAAATTTGCCCTAATATTGATCTTTTCTAGGCTTCATCAGAGTGGTAAATGTCTGCTGGTTTTCTTCCAACATTTCAGCTGACATACTGATATAACTAAAACATTGTACAAGCCAGTGTCAACTCACAACTCACTCATTTTACAACATCAGTTTTAGTTTATGTGAGCTGTCTCTGGAAATTCTGGGTTAAAACTGGTCCTCAGCAACTTATGCTGTTTGTAAAACGAGACTAGTACAGATCAGATGCTTATGTTCGGTATCTTGGCAGATTACCAAATATTTATCCAATAAATGTGTGGATGTTGCTTATGGGTTTGTCATTGCTTAGTCTGGTGTAAATTAAAGGCCATGATATTGCTGGACATTTAAACATTCACCTGTATTATTTAGGGAGGAAAGGATGTACGAATGTTAGTTCTTAATGTCATTTCAGGGAGAGGAGAATGAGGGCAATGTGCGAGAGAACAGAGTGCTGCTGCAGAACCTAACCATGTTTATTGTCAAAGAGAAAAGGTGAGACGTTTTCATGTTAAATATCCATTTTACCTCTGATATTTCAGTTTATGTACACAATTAATTTGTCTTTGAGTGTACAGTAAACTGAGCTTGTATTGAACACACTGATGACAAATTGACAGATATGATGAAGTCTTTTGGTCTCAGCTACTTGCAAGCCCATTCTTTTGTCCCTAGCCGTGATATTGCTGGAATATTGCTAAAAGCGGCATAAAAACTAAACTCACTCACTCACTCAGTCACTCGCTGTATACTTCAGTTTAAATACCTATAGGTAACTAAAATGTGGGTCAGGATTGTATCTGTTGATCAGTAACAGCTAGCAAATGTTTCTGTAACAGCAAGGGTTTGTTTCAGCCCTGTGGGTCAAGAGGTTGCCCAGGCAGTGCTAGCTGCTCTCATCCCCATGGGGTCACCGCTGCTGAAGGAGAAAGATGGAGACATGTCTGGCTTCCCCGAACTGATGGTCATCATGAACATGCTGGCAGGGGCGGGGCAGGGGGCAGGCCATGTCACCCTCTTCCAGGCAGCGACAGGATGGCTCAATCTCTGGTAACATTTCAGTTTATAAGAAATTAGATCAGAGCACTTTTCATCCTATTCTGCATCAGATATAGACCTTGGTTTTGTCCACCCATTGCCATGATTTCTCTCATGCTTGTGGGGCTGTGGGGTAGACTAGTGGTTAAAGCGTTCACTTGTCACCCCAAGACACGGATTTAATTCCCCACTTGGGCACAATATGTGAAGCCCATTTCTTGTGTCCCTCGCTGTGATGTTGCTGGTATTTTGTTAAAAGTGACATAAAACCATGCTCACTCACTCATACTTGTAAGGCTTCAAGTTTGCATATACTCACATTAATAAAACAGAAGTAGAGGTGGGCAGTTTGATTTTTTTGTTCAGATTCTTTTGAGAGAATAGGTAAAAACAACCTGAACATATATTCTTCACAATCATCTTCTCTGCCTTAACCACATATGATTGTTGATATTGGTATAACAACAAACTTGGTATAACAACATACCTGTTCATTATCAGATCAGGACAACAAAGTTTTAGTTCAGTGCCTTTCTTATAATTAGCGCACATTTTTTCAATGTTAATATTCAAGTCTCATGCACATTTAACCTCTTCTCTTGTAGCAAATCCTACTTGGAGGAGAAGGATGTTCTAGAGAAGATTCTTAAGAATGGATCTGCAGGAAAGGTAAGGGTTTGAGAAACATTAAGAATCAGATGTAAGTTTTCAGACATAATTCAGTTTGTAAAACTGGCATAGGGCAGTTCTTAACAAATGGTTTATGGTGTAGAAGAAATGAAAGAAGTTCCAGAGAGAATGTCTTTGAAGAATAGTTTGTGAAATATCCACAAAATACACCGATAAGGACAAACTTTATGGAAGAACAACTTCTTTATTCGGGTGATATCTTTATCTGATTCACCAATTTCTAAATATGCCACTCAAGGAACTCACAAAATACACAGTCGTTCAGATGGCATTGAGGAACAGGGCTTGATGTATCATGTCATTTAGGCTTTGTCTGCTTTTGACAAAGTGGTGTGAGTCGACGGTATCAGAGTTGATTTTTATGAGAATGGCCATTATGACACAAACCCAAACTGTGCCTTGTATGCTAATAGCAGGAACTCATTTTTCTATTTTAGGGAGTTCTCCAGACAATGTGCTGCCTCCTCACCTATGTTGGCGATATCCTCTGTGCTCTGAAGAGGACCTCAGAGAGGTAGGATAGTCTGTGACATGAGACACTACTCAGAGACCGATTCTAGTAATACCAGTATGTTCTTCAGCATTAGAGTATAACGTTGGGTTTCCCTTCAACTAATGTTTAATTGACACACATAGTTTCTTGTCAATGTGTATAGAAACTGGAAATGTATCTTTGAAATGCTTCAAAACAGAAAATCATGAAAACAAAATACCAGAATTTATTACCCATACCGTGACATAAAAACCTGATGACTATGATGTATAGAGTCAGCAGTTCAGATTGATAGACTTGTAGACATATGTAATGACACAGAACTGTCCCGACAATAACCCAAAGCATGTAGGTTTTTCAGGAATTCCTGACAGTGGTGTAAAACAATTGTGACTCATTTATTGTACTTGATAACCTGCATCCAGCCCCACTGACAAACATTCCTTATTACTCATCTGCACCATGACCTTGTTTATAAGATGCGGGACAGCCACTCCTCCCTTGGATACAGATGTGGTTACCATGCAGGATGCAGACAGTGACTGGACAGAGGAACTCACCCAGGATGATGAGGACTCTGGAGCTGAAGACTCGGTAAGTGAGGGAGTGAGTGAGTTGGGTTTTATGTCGCTTTTAGCAATATTCCAACAATATCTAGGAAGGGGACACCAGGTATGGGCTTCACACATTGTACCCATGTGGGGAATCAAACCCAGGTCTTTGGCTAAACAAGCTTTAACCACTAAGCTACGCCACATCCCCAAAGTCTCGGTAAGACTTGGATGCACCACATAGATTCTAACTCAATAAAATCCACTGATGCTCCAGGAGTAGTATTGGTCTTCAGCAACCATACTTTTCTCCAGATGCAAAGAAAGGATTAGGTGATATCCGCCAGGATAATAACTCGTTGTCCTCGAAGAGACCACATCACCCCCAGGTTAAGAGAACTGCATTGGCTACCTGTTGTCAGACGCATAAAATTCAAGGTGCTTACCATTATCTACAAGTGCCTGAAGACCAACACTGCTCCATCTTACTTGTCATCTCTTCTTAACAACCATAGACCAACAAGAACCCTTAGATCACAAGATAAAGATCTGCTTATCACCAGACCATCCAGGACCAAATACGGGGACCGCTGCTTTGAATGTGCAGCTCCCATGCTATGGAACAACCTCCCTATGTCACTAAAATCCGCCCCAAGTCTACAAACTTTTCGAAAACATTTAAAGACACACCTATTTGAAATGAAATAGACTGAACTGCACAAGTGCCTGTGAGCAGCCTAGCTGGAACTCGGCGCTATAGAAGTAGATTATTATTATTATTATTATTATTATTATTAGTGTGTGTTTGATTGGTTGAAGTTTAGATCAGTGCTCATGATGTTAATCACTCGATTGTCTGTTCAGACTCAGTCATTTACATGCTGCAATCATTAGATTAAATATTGCTGATTGTGTCCTTAAACAACCAACAAAATAGAAATAGGAAAAAATCAGTGTGATTGCAGATTGATTTTGAGTAATCTTTGCTCAATTGAATAGGTGGGGTGTTTTATTCTTATTTTGAAAGCAATCAAACTGCAACTTTGATTTTGTTATTTATTGAACAAAACAGTTATTCATGAGTTCTTTGTTTTGTGTGTTATTAAAGGTAGTACTATCACTAACACTTGGATCATCTCTGTTTCAGGATGAGGAGTCCCTGAACAACAAGCTGTGCACCTTCACCATCACGCAGAAGGAGTTCATGAACCAACACTGGTCAGTTGGACACTTGTCCTGGTGCAGCAAAAACAGCAAGTGTTGATGCGGTGTAAATAATACTGATGATGCTGCATCCAAGAAAGCTGCTCATATAGTATCGAACAACATTGATACTGTTGTTTTTGTTGCACATCGAAACAACATTGCTGATGCACCATTTAAAAAGTATTTGTGTAGCATTATAGAATATTCCTATTGCAGCATTGAACAACATTAATGGCACAGTATTGAAAATCATTGCAGTATTACAACAACATTGATCATGCAGTATTTAAACAACATTTCTGGTGCATAATATTAAAATGTTAGCATTGAGCAACATTTACTGATGCTGCCTTTTACAATATTGCCACTGCTACTTTAAGCCATATTGCTGATGCACCATTGAACAATATTGCTACTAGCATTTAACAACATTGATGATAGCATCAAACAATCCTGGTGACAGTATTAAACAATCTTTATAGCTTTTAACTTCCTTGAAAAGATGAGCTTTAAACAACCTTGGTGACAGCATTTAACAATCTTGATGATAGCATTTAACAATCTTGATGATAGCATTTAACAATCTTGATGACAGCATTTAACAATCTTGATGACAGCATTTAACAATCTTGATGACAGCATTTAACAATCTTGATGATAGCATTTAACAATCTTGATGACAGCATTTAACAATCTTGATGACAGCATTTAACAATCTTGATGATAGCATTTAACAATCTTGATGATAGCATTTAACAATCTTGATGACAGCATTTAACAATCTTGATGATAGCATGATTGATGAGCATTTAACAACTCTTGATGACAGCATTTAACAATCTTGATGATAGCATTTAACAATCTTGATGATAGCATTTAACAATCTTGATGACAGCATTTAACAATCTTGATGATAGCATTTAACAATCTTGATGATAGCATTTAACAACTTGATGATAGCATTTAACAATCTTGATGACAGCATTTAACAATCTTGATGATAGCATTTAACAACTTGATGATCATTTAACAATCTTGATGATAGCATTTAACAATCTTGATGATAGCATTTAACAATCTTGATGACAGCATTGATGATAACAATCTTGATGATAGCATTTAACAATCTTGATGACAGCATTTAACAATCTTGATGACTTGTTTAACAATCTTGATGACAGCATTTAACAATCTTGATGATAGCATTTAACAATCTTGATGATAGCATTTAACAATCTTGATGATAGCATTTAACAATCTTGATGACAGCATTTAACAATCTTGATGATAGCATTTAACAATCTTGATGATAGCATTTAACAATCTTGATGATAGCATTTAACAATCTTGATGATAGCATTTAACAATCTTGATGATAGCATTTAACAATCTTGATGACAGCATTTAACAATTTGATGACAATTTAACAATTTGATGATAGCATTTAACAATCTTGATGACAGCATTTAACAATCTTGATGATAGCATTTAACAATCTTGATGACAGCATTTAACAATCTTGATGACAGCATTTAACAACAATCTTGATGATAGCATTTAACAATCTTGATGATAGCATTTAACAATCTTGATGATGCATTTAACAATCTTGCATTTAACAATCTTGATGACAGCATTTAACAATCTTGATGACAGCATTTAACAATCTTGATGATAGCATTTAACAATCTTGATGATAGCATTTAACAATCTTGATGATAGCATTTAACAATCTTGATGACAGCATTTAACAATCTTGATGATAGCATTTAACAATCTTGATGATAGCATTTAACAATCTTGATGATAGCATTTAACAATCTTGATGATAGCATTTAACAATCTTGATGATAGCATTTAACAATCTTGATGATAGCATTTAACAATCTTGATGATAGCATTTAACAATCTTGATGATAGCATTTAACAATCTTGATGACAGCATTTAACAATCTTTAACAATCTTGATGATAGCATTTAACAATCTTGATGATAGCATTTAACAATCTTGATGACAGCATTTAACAATCTTGATGATAGCATTTAACAATCTTGATGATAGCATTTAACAATCTTGATGATAGCATTTAACAATCTTGATGATTTAACAATCTTGATGATTTTAACAATCTTGATGATAGCATTTAACAATCTTGATGATAGCATTTAACAATCTTGATGATAGCATTTAACAATCTTGATGATAGCATTTAACAACATGATAGCATTTAACAATCTTGATGATAGCATTTAACAATCTTGATGATAGCATTTAACAATCTTGATGATAGCATTTAACAATCTTGATGATAGCATTTAACAATCTTGATGATAGCATTTAACAATCTTGATGATAGCATTTAACAATCTTGATGATAGCATTTAACAATCTTGATGATAGCATTTAACAATCTTGATGATAGCATTTAACAATCTTGATGATAGCATTTAACAATCTTGATGATAGCATTTAACAATCTTGATGACAGCATTTAACAATCTTGATGATAGCATTTAACAATCTTGATGACAGCATTTAACAATCTTGATGATAGCATTTGACAGCATTTAACAATCTTGATGATAGCATTTAACAATCTTGATGATAGCATTTAACAATCTTGATGATAGCATTTAACAATCTTGATGACAGCATTTAACAATCTTGATGACAGCATTTAACAATCTTGATGACAGCATTTAACAATCTTGATGATAGCATTTAACAATCTTGATGATAGCATTTAACAATCTTGATGATAGCATTTAACAATCTTGATGACAGCATTTAACAGTGTTGATCATAGTTTACAACTACCTTGATGGTAGCATTAAACAACATCGATTTTAGCATTAAACAATGTTGGTTTTAGCATGAAACAACCTGGATGATAGCGTTAAACTACCTTGATCATAGCATTAAGGAAGGCAGTTTCCTAGTTCTTGTTCTTGCTTTGTTTCCATGACAATAGGGGCGGTGGGGTAGCCTAGTGGTTAAAGCGTTGGCTCTTCATGCCGAAGACCCGGGTTCGAATCCGCACATGGGTACAATTTGTGAAGCCCATTTCTGGTGTCCCCCGCCGTGATGTTGCTGGGACATTGCTAAAAGCGCCGTAAAACCAAATTCAGTCAGTCAGTCAGTCCATGACCATATGAGTTGTGGGACATTATTTTAAGTCTTGTTGTTTTGTGTTGCAGGTACCACTGTCACACCTGTAAGATGGTCGATGGAGTTGGCGTGTGCACGATCTGTGCCAAGGTCTGCCACAAAGACCATGATCTGACATATGCCAAGTTTGGGTCTTTCTTCTGTGACTGTGGTGCCAAGGAGGATGGTAGCTGCAAGGTAGGCTTATTCAGCTGTAGACTTTCAGATGCTAGAGTCCTCTATTTGGGTAAACATTGATCATGGCTGATTTGTAAAACATGGGTAGGAATTATGTAAACTGAATTTCCTTTTGTCACAATTTCCTTAACCCAATTCTTTGTTTCTTTGCATTGATAGCAAGTTGTGACATCACCTTTGTGTCCACAAGCCCAAATTTCGCTCTCAGCATCTTTTTCTGTTGATTTTAGTGTTCAATTTGAGCTATAAGCTGAGATCACCTCACCACACCAAAGTTTGCTCCATTAGACTAATGGATGGAGTGTCAGTACAGTGTACTTTGTGATTCAGTGCTTGTGATGTATAACAGACAGATTAGAATTAAGATGCAATGATTATGGTTCTGTCTGTTCACAGGCATTGGTCAAGAGGACAGCCCAGAGTGGGCTAGACTGTAGTGGCAGTGGACCAGCCCAGTCACCATTCTCAATGGACACAGTTCAACCAAGCTCCCTCCGGCGCCGACTGTCGTCCCCATCCATAGACGACAAGGCAAGCGAGATGATGAAGACCACTGAGATGAGCAACAAGGCTCGTGAAGCTCTGTGTAGACAGATTGAAAACTGCAGAGATAGTCTCCTGTCACAGATGGTGAGGAAAGAGAGGATCTTGTTAGCTGGCTAATCCGTGAAAATCTGTCTTAGAATTGGTCTTACACAGCCCATGCGACTAACAGGATCGGGTGGTCAGGCTCACTGAACTGATTCATACATTTCATCGTATCCCAGTTGAGGAGATCGATGCTCATGATGTTGCTCACTGGATTGTCTGGTCCAGACTCGATTATTTACAGACCGCCGCCATATAGCTGGAATATTGCTGAGTGCAGCGTTACATAACAAACAAAATGTTGGATGGACAAGGTCCATCTGTTGTGTCCCCTGCAGTGATTTAATGGATTTCTGATGAAAATGTCCTTATTAGCTCATTCACTGTAGTGTGATATGGCCTGCATGTTGAGTAAATTATGTGTTAGCTCAGTCAGGGATTGTTTACATCTCATTAACCAGTAGGCCACTGAAGCCAAAACATGTAATGTTTTCCTGTTAATGGTGACAAAGAATATAACGTCAGTCCATGTTTCTAGAACTGTGTCCACTATACAGTCTAATGCAGGACAAGCACCTGTTGTATGTTCCAGGAGAGTGCTAACACAGTGACAACGGTGCTGGAGATGTTGGAGAAGATCCTGCCGCCACTGATAGAGAACTACCAGGACATGTCCCCCATGGGGTCTACTGCACGAGCTCAGAGGGCCCTGCAGGAACTACACTCCCTCTCCAAGAAAATAGAACCAGCCTCGGAACAGCTCATGGTATGTATTTGTGGTTTATACTGTTATCATGATGATATATTTCATATCAAAATGTGTCTCACCCAAACGTCTTTGATATCAAATAATCAACTTGTGTTGATGATTAGTCCCAAGTGTAAAGTAACCCATTGTCATTTCATAGAAAATGCGTGAAGCCCATTCCTGGTGTCCCCCGCAGTGATATTGGTGGAATATTGCTAAAAGCGGTGTAAACCCAACTCACTCTCTCACTCATTTCGTGGGAGAGTTTATGTCTGAAAATTTTAACAAAGTCCTACAGTGTTAGTTATAAGTCTTTTAAAATTCCTAACACCATGTACAGTGGATTGCATCAAAAATAACTGTGCATCAATATGTCCTCATATTGTGACTTAGAGGTTAATATGATTAAAATCCAACACTTACAACCAGTGCTTCTCTTTTGACATTTCCATATTAAATTTAATTTCATGTAAGGGGCCATTCATAATTCATGGCTAGGGGGTGATGATGATTTTAAGGTGGGGTCACCCATTTTGTTCTGGGGGTGTCAGCAATTTTTTACACACGTACTAGGGGGGTCAGCAATTTTGTACTTATAAATATGTTTAAAATTATGCTTAGAAATTATGGAAAGGGGAGGGGGGAGTCATTGATTTTGTACATGACATGCAGGGGGGTATCACTTATTTTGTACATACATTTTAGGGGGGATCATTCACATTGTACATGCTTCTCCATAAAAATCATCATCACGCCCTAGCCATAAATTATGAACAGTCCCTAATTCCATTTAATTGAACCCACTGATGACTCCTGGGCAGAATAAGTCCCATTAGTCCATGCTTGTCATAAGTTCGGACGTATTAGGATTTCAGTGTATGATATAGCTAATAGTGTGCACATGGAATTCAAAGCTTTGCGTTGCCCAGTCAGTAATTTGTAGGCCACTATGACACAGCTGGAATACTAGAGATTGTGATGGAACATTGAGTCTCCGAAATCAGTAATGTGGTGTGCATTAACACTTTCCAGACGGTGACACTTGGATCCCAGGAAGGAGCCTTTGAGAACGTGAGGATGAACTACAGCGGGGAACAAGGGCAGACAATCCGCCAGCTGATCACCGCCCATATGCTGCGTCGTGTTGCTATGTGTGTGTTGTCCTCGCCCCACGGCAAGAGACAGCACCTGGCCATCAGTCATGAGAAGGGCAAGATCACCATCCTCCAGCTGTCCGCTCTCCTCAAACAGGCTGACTCAAGCAAGAAGAAGCTCACCCTCACTGTAAGTGCTTGACAAACTAAATCCATCACTCTAAGTGCTTGTTGAACTCAAAATACTGTAAACAACAGTACAAAAATCGATGACATCCTCCCTTACTGCTCCAACTTTTAATGCCTCTAATAGAAGTCATCTAGCTGTGTTATAATTGCTTCTGGGCCAGACAATCCAGTTATCAATATTGTGTGCATCAATCAATGCCATTATTGTTTCTTGATACACAATTAAGGGTCTGTGGGTTATAGCCTAGTGGTTAAAGCGTCCGGTCGTCACGCCGAAGACCTGGGTTAGATTCCCCACATGGGTACAATGTGTGAAGCTCATTTCTGGTGTTCCCAGCCGTGATATTGCTGGAATATTGCTAAAAGCGTCGAAAAACTAAACTCACTCATTCACTGATACACAATTACAGTCTAACCAACCAATCCTGTTAGGGCTATGTTCTTATGGTGAATTCCATGTTGTGCAATTAGATTGTGTGGTCAAGGCTCACTGACTTGGTTGATTGCATGTCATCAATGTGATGACAGTCACTGGATTGTCTTGTCCAGCCATGATGATGTACCAACCACTGCCATGGAATTAAACAACAATAGGGTGCAGGAGTAAGATAAGCAGGAACAGTGTGAACAAACCTGACAGGGTGCTGAATACAGTCTGAGGGTTTCTGTGCCCTCTCTGTGTTACTATCTGTACTAAATATACTGTCTATGTATGTACTGATGACTGAGCTCTTGTATTTTCAGAGACTGTCCTCAGCACCGATCCCATTCACAGTTTTATCCATCACAGGCAACCCATGTAATGAAGACTTCCTTGCTGTGTGTGGACTCAAGGTGAGATGACTTATCATTACACTTTCTAACATGGGTTGACAGCTTTTACTAAAGCTGCAAAATACATCTATTTAATCTTTTTTCCAAGAAATAAAAGATACAATATCTCACAGTTGAAAATGACAGAGAAGTACATACAAGTCAAACCACCATTTATAAAGGGCAGTGGGGTAGCCTAGTGGTTAAAGCATTCACTCATCACGCCAAAGACCCAAGTTTGATTCCCCACATGAGTGCAATGTTTGAAGCCCATTTCTGATTTCCCCTGCCATGATATTGCTGGAATATTGCTAAAAGCGGCATAAAACCCAACTCACTCACTCACTCAAAACCACCATATGAGAGAAATCAGTACACCAGGATCTGCTGATAATGAGTTTGAGTCCTAGATTGCTCCCTTGAATATGAGTTTTGTTTCCCTACCTTTATACCTGTTCTTGATAGAATTACCAAACTGGTTAGTCTACCATCTAGTCATTATGATCACATAGGTTTCCCCCCAAATGAGCAGTTCCTTGGTCCCGCAAATACAGGATCTGTCTGAGGAGAGGAATACTCTTTGTTCAATTCCATACCAAAACATGTTAGAAAATGGTACTTTATGTTACCTTGCTCTGCACTTGGCAGTATAGGGATAGTACAAGAACTGATGTGTCTTAGTGAGGAAGGATAATAGTATATATATATATATATATATATATATATGAACAACTTGTATATTACAGTGGAAGCACTGTAGACTTGCAGACTAGTACTATCAGCTGAAAAGACATCCCTGCATGTTGCATGTTGAAAAAGATATCACCCAATTTTACCTCCCTTCACCTCTAATTCGAAGATGAAATGCAATTATATTACAGAAATTCTTTTCAAATATCTCCCTCTATTCTAATGGAATTTCACTTTTTCACCTAGGATTGCCATGTTTTGACCTTCACCAGCTCAGGCACTGTGGCAGACCATCTTGTTCTGCACCCATCTCTGGCCACTGGAAACTTCATCATCAAGGTAAAAGATCTTCAGGATTACAGGAAAATAACTGATATTTATGTTCTTCTTGCGATGATGTTAATGTATTGCTTGTTGCGACAGGCAACTAAATGGGGATTGGGTGGGCTGTGATTTGTCTGATTGTGTCATCATACCGTGATACTCTAGAGGTTGCAGGTTGGAATAGCTCCCCAGCAGCTTATGCTGGTCTTTATCGGAGTCTAAGTGGATTGGGAACTCAGACACTGTGACTTTGTTGAAGGCATGTCATCATACCCCTATGGTGTGAATCGTTCTACATCATATCAGCCATGAATTTTCTCACCCAGATATGAATATCTACAGGCCAGAATCATATAGCTGGAATAATGCATGATTTCAAAGCTATTATGTGAAGTTTCTTGTGCACATTATGTCTAACTGATCCCTTCTTTGAGTGGCATTTTAGAAGTTGTTAAGTACAATTTAGACAAACTTTATGGATTACAACTTCTTTATTTCAATACCCAACGGTACAAGCATCTGTATCGAAACATCACACTGACGAAATAAACAAGTTGTAATCCATAAAATTTGTCTATAATCTAACTGGTCTCTTCTTACTTGTCTCTCTCTTAGCCACTTCTGATCTCATGCACCCGTGAAAGTCGAGGATAGAATATTGGCCTTCAGTAACCCATGTTTGTCGTAAGAGGCTACTAACGGGATCGGGTGGTCAGGCTCACTGACTTGGTTGACACATGTCATCGGTTCCCAATTGCGTAGATCGATGTTCATGCTGTTGATCCCTGGATTGTCTGGTCCAGGCTCGATTATTTCCAGACCACCGCCATATAGCTGGAATATTGCTGAGTGTGGCGTAAAACTAAACTCACTCACTCACTCACTCTGATCTCATGCTGGGGAGCTATTGTGCCGTTGAATCCTCATGGGGATGACAGCTATGAATTTGAGGTTGCATTACGTCATGTATTAATTACATAACAGCCCAAGTAGGAAATACAGGAAATGTTTCATTGTGTTTTCCAGGCAATATGGCTGCCAGGCTCCCAGACTGAACTTGCTGTGGTCACTGCTGACTTTGTCAAGGTAGGATCATTAACATACTAACACTTTGATAACTGTTTGAAAGGTGGAACTGTCATTTACTCAATCGCGAAAGTTTGAACATTGATGTGTGTGTTGTATTTTTCTGTATACTGAGAATGGACAAAAAGTAGTCCAATACACAGAAAAAGTAGTCGGTGAGGGCCTCCACAGGGTTTTGTGCCATTGCTTTAACATTGGTGCACCTCCAACGGTTTTTCTCCCCATTACCTATACTACTACATACAATGTGATCCCTACCAATAGTGGACACTATTTTTCTGTTAACATGCTCTCACTGAATTCTTTCCACTGAGTTTTTCCATTGTTGAACATACATGCTGTCAACTTCAGGAACATTGAGACATTGTCTGAATACTTAATGCCATACTTGCAGATATACGACCTTGGCCTTGACGCTATCAGCCCTCAGTACTACTTCCTACTGCCAAGTGGTAAGATCCGTGACGCCACATTCGTGTACACCGAGGACGGATGCTACATAGTACTGATGGCATCCACTGGCTACATCTACACCCAGCTGATGGAGGACTGCAGCAGTGCTGTACATGGACCCTTCTACATCACCAACGTCCTCGAGGTCAAACATGCGGACCTCAAGGTAAGTCCTAGAAGGGATGCCTATCTGTGTTGAGACCCAGTTGATGGAGGCTGGTAGAAGTGCTATGCATGGCCCTTTCTACATCACTAACGTCCTTGAGGTCAAACATGCAGACCTCAGGCTTAGTCCTAGAAGGGATGCCTATCTGCGTTGACGCCCAGTTGATGGAGGCTGGTAGAAGTGCTATGCATGGCCCTTTCTACATCACCAACGTCCTCGAGGTCAAACATGCAGACCTCAGGCTTAGTCCTAGAAGGGATATCTATCTGCGTTGACACCCTGTTGATGGAGGCTGGTAGAAGTGCTGTACATGGCATTTCCATATCAACAACATCATCTGACAGCAGAGATGGAATATGCTTAGTTTACCTCTGGTACAAAGACATGAAAATGCAAAAGATTTTGCTCCAGCCAATTTTGAGGGAAACTGAGATTAAATTGCATGTCCATCTGTGTTCCAGGATAACAATGGTCAGGTGGCAGGAGGAGGCGTGTCTGTGTTCTACTCTCACGCCCTGCAGCTGTTGTTCTTCAGCTACACACAAGGTATAGTCATCAAATCATCCCGAGTCTCGCCATTGTTCTCACCTCGTGGCTATATTTGCTTTTAGGCAAGGTTACATTTTCTTTGGTTGACAAATGTTTGCCGATGAATTAGCTTGTGTTGAAACCCAAAACATTTTAGTAGACGAGGTGTGAGATGGTACAGCTGTTTTGATATTTGCAGGCAAGAGCTTTGTTGCCCCGGTGTCCAAGGAGCTGACACAAGTGACGAACCTGTTCCCCATCAGCTTCAAGAGGTGAGAGTTATGTCAGTGAATATTCCCGGTAGGGAAAAACAGTGGTATCTATCCTCGTGCATGATGGGGGCAGTAGGGTAGCCCTGGTGTTAAAACGTTCACACTGAAGGCCCAGCTTTGATTACTCACATGGTTACATTATGTGAAGCCCATTTCAGGTGTCTTGCCATGATATTGCTGGAATATTGCTAAAAGCAGCTTATACCAAAGTCGGGGAGGTGGGATAGCTTAGTGGTTATAGCGTTCGCTTGTCACCCCAAAGAGCCGGGTTCGGTTCCCCACATGGGCACAATATGTGAAGCCCATTTCTGGTGTCCCCAGCCGTCATATTGCTGGAATATTGCTAAAAGCAGCGTAAAACTCACTGACTCACTCATTCAATTCTTTATGACAAGGGGCGGTGGGGTAGCCTAATGGTTAAAGCATTGGCTCGTCCACTTCAATCCCCACATGGGTACAATGTCCCATTTCTGGTGTCCCCATGATGTTGCTGGAATATTGCTAAAAGCGGTATAAACCAAACTCAGTCAGTCAGTCTTTATGACAAAACATACTCGTCACTTGTCTTGTAGTACAGCTGACTGGTAGTTACCATCTGATGAGAAAATGCGTGCATATTTCAGTTCCAATGGTGGAGGCAAGGGAGGTAACAACTACCAGCCCCTAGTTCAGTGGTCAGAGGTGGCAGGTCACACTGGCCTCCTATACTGCATGGCGCAGACCTCCAACATTTCTTTTTCATAGAGATCGTCCTTGGGGTACATATTATGCATTTTCCGGCTGAAAAATGTCCTGTGACAGTTGTATCAATGTTTTTGAATAAAAGATTGAACAATAAATAAACTCTTTTATTTATTATCGGTCCCTACCTCACGGAGTTACCTCCCTTAAGCATGCGCACCAACTGGGTAGGCTCCTAGACCCGTATCATCATTCCTTCTGCTGTCACTGCCATGAACAGGCGTATGTAATACTTCATGAGCGGACGCAGCTGAACTTTCTGGCGAACCAGAAATTGAATATGTCTCAAACACCACCTGTATGTATGGTCTTTATTTGCTTATGAAAAGGAACAGTAAAGCTTTACAGTTGGTTGTTTCATAATTGTGACTTTGTATTAATTCTAATCTGCGAACTTTCCGTGGTTTCGCATACGTGTTGCTCTGCCATGGCGGGAAGTTTAGCGTGCCATAATGATCGTAATATTGAGTATTAAAACCAACTATTACTTTCCGTGGTAACCTTCACGTATTTTTCAATGTTTTCTCGTGTTTATATGCTGCTGGCGCTGTTAGCTACATGCTTGCGTGTTTGCTTTCAGGCCTTTTCATCCTGTTAGGTCTGTGGACAAAGTATTCCGCGGGCGACAGGCATGAACAATCGTTGCCTGTCTCGAGAAGGCGGGACCGCGATCGCGGAATCTTGTCCAATATGTCTTGGGTTTTCCCGGGCCCAAAGAGGAGAGGCGGCGGATCACGGCTCTTCTACGGGGAGATCGTGAAGGGTGGGGGGAACTGGCCTTAGGTCCCCGTCTAAGGCTAAAAGCCGTCAAAAAGGGAAAAATCCGTGGCCAAACCCCTCTCCCGCCAGTACTGGTGGCTTTGACATGTCGATAATGGAAACCTTGTTTCAGCAGCATATGGACTCTGTGAAGTCCCTCGTTTAGGTGAGTCAGTTGGAGGTCTCCGCCAGGAGTTCCCAGCTCACTCGGGCCGAGGCGGAGAATCAGGGGTGGGATCGCCGGGCTCGGCTCGATCCCTCAGCCTTGAGGCGTCTGTTGACCCGTTGCCTCTGGCCGGGTCCGGGCGCCTCGGCTGCCGGAGGAGGTGCTCCCAGTCCCCTCTCGGAGTTGGCGCGGGGACCGTTGAGTATTCCTGGTGTTCCGGTCCCTGCGCCTCCCGCCCCATGAGCGGAGGCACCAGTTCTGCCTGGCCTGCCTCCAGCGTCTCCGGGACGAGGTCCATGCACGCCTGCTGGCGCCGGCGTGGAGCAGTCTGTCTGCTCTTCCCTTTCTGTGCTTCCTAGCGTTAGGCAGCCCACCGGGTCGGGGTTAGGGTCCTCTTTGGAGGAGACCCAGCCTCTGACTTCGGGCTCGAGCGCCGAGGCAATGGAGCTTAGGGAGGTTGAGGAGCATGGCGGAGGCTTCCGTTTTGCCGGCTCTGCGGGAGGTCCGGCAAAAGAATTGCGAGGCCTACCCAAGCCGCGGTGCCTGTGGGTTGCGTGGACTCGGCTGAGTTCGCTTGCCTGGCGGCGTTTGCCCTCGGCAACCCTGCGCGAGGCGCAGCTCCGCATTTTGCCTTCGTTGGTCTCAGGCGTGGTTGATCCCCTCTTGTCTGGTGCCCGAGTCGGTTCGACTTGCGGATCTCGTCGCGGCGCTACCAGCAGGGAGGACTCCTGTTTGTAGTTCCCATCGTTGGCGAGTGCGTGTTCACTTCCGTCGCCCTGGGGGCTCGGCTTCCTCGGAGCAGCTCCGGCTGCTCGGCAAGAGCGCCTCCTCCACCTTTTGCCCTCGCGGGCCCCCCTGCGACGCGCGTGCCCGGACCTCTGAGGAGGTCTGCGGAGCAGCGATGCAGCAGGTCAGGGTGGTGGTCCACGAGGCCTACCTCTCCTCTATTCAGAGGTCGGCCCTGGGCGGAGGGGCATGCTGGCGGCGTTTAGCGCGTAATCGTGCTGCTCCGTCAGCTCTCGGAAGTGCAGGCCCACCTGTGGCGACTCTTTGCGGTCTGCAGCGTCGGCGGTGATGATGCGCGCAGTCATGGGGATCGCAAGCTGTGGCTGTCGGCGTCTAGGTACTTTCGGCAGCGGCACAGCAGCAGACCTTGCTGGCCCTCCCTTTCCGTCTGGGGCGACCCTCTTTCCAGGGGCCCAGCAGGTCATACGGGAGGCTGCTGCTGCAGCTACCTCCTTCAAGGATTCTAAGGCCTTGTTGGAGCACCCGCGGGTGTCTCGCTCCCGCTCCCGTTCCACCTTCCTCCGCCGGGGTGCAGCCTACGCCCGAGTCTGCCGGCTGGCTTCGGCCGCTTGGTAGGGGTAGGCGGAGGAACAGGTCCGCCAAGGGTAGGGGCAAGGAGCAGTCCTCGACTAGCTCCCAGCCTTTTGGCGCGGCGCGGGAGGTCTGCCCGACCTCCCGTTAACCCATCAGGCTGCGCTCAAGCCGTGTGTCACACCCAGTCAGCTCGCTACTAGGGTCCGCGCCGCAGCTCCTACCCCATATCCCAGTGGGAGGCCGCCTCTCTCTATTCCTGCGGAATGGGAGAAGGCTACCAACAACAGCAGGTGCTGGCCACGGTCAGCATAGGCCATTACCACTGTGGGCGAGGTCCGCCCGACTTCACGGCATCGTCGCACTCCGGTGCCGTCATGTCAAGCCAGGGCGGACATATTGCTTGACGAAGTTCAGGCTCTGCTGGACAAGTCCGCCAATCGGCGCATTCCACCGGAGAGAGAACAGGCGGGATTTTTACTCCGCGTACTTCCTCGTCCGAGAAAAGGCGGCGGGTTCCGTCCGATTCTCAACCTCAAGGGGTTGAATCGCATGCTAAAGTACCATCCTTCAAGATGGAGACACTGCGCTCGGTGATCTCATCTGTTCAGCCCGGCGATTGGCTCCGTCAATCGACCTAAAGGATCGCGTATCTGCATGTACCAATACATCCATCGTTCAAGCAGTACCTTCGGTTCTCTTCTGACGGGATGTGTTACCAATTCAGGGTGCTCCCCTTGGCATATCGACTGCCCCAAGGGTGTTCACCAAGCTCATGTTAGTCCCAGCTACCCTAGCTCGTTAAGCAAGGAAGGCGTTGTTACCCTTACCTAGGCGACTGGTTGCTCGGAGCACTAACTCAGCCAGCGAGTCAAGATGCTACTCACACAGTGATAGACATTCTAACTTCGACTGGGGTGGATCATCAACCTCAAGAAATCCGACCTGGTACCCACCCAGGACTTGGTTTTCTTGGGCGCGATTCAAGCGAACAAGGATCTCGTTTCCTTGTCGCCCGACGGATCACCAGAGTTCGGAGATGGTATCTTCATTCCTCTCCCAGCCCCAGGCACCAGCACGGACTTGGCTCCGTCTACTGGGCCATATGGCGGCGGCGATCTCTGTAGTGTGGCGAGGCGGTTGAGGATCGTCCTATACAGCAAGCTTTGGCTCGGCTGTGGACTCACCGCGGAGGATCTGGGCGCAGTCTCACAGTCCCGAGTGGTTGACACCTCACCTTCAGTGGTGGACAAATGTCGGGGAATCTCACCAGGGGATCCCTTGGAAATCCCGGCGCCAGCTCTCACAGTTCAGACCGATCGTCCCTCACGGGCTGGGGGTGTTCTGGGCAGTCTGTCGGCATCCGGACTCTGGTCGAAGCGAAGCCCACCTTCACATCAGCGTGTTGGAACTGAGAGCTGTGCGGTTGGTATTCGGCTTCAGAGAGCATGTCCGTGGCCAGGTAGTCCGTCTTCAGTTGGACAACCAGGCGGCCATGTCGTACATCCTGAAGCAGGGAGGCGCGGTGTCCCCAGCGGCTCCTCCGGGGCGTGGGACTTTCTCCTCTGGTGCGATCCAGTCGCGACTGTCAGGTACTCCCTGTTTATCTCCGGGGCTGGAGAGCGTGCGAGCAGATCGCTCTCTCGCGGATCCTGGCCCTTGCAGTGGATGCTTTCGACAGGCAGATTTTCAGAGTAATCTCCCAGTTATGCGGGTCGTTCCAGGTGGATCTGTTTGCGTCCGGCGGGGCGCATCAGACACCGTGTTCTGCTCGGATACGGACCCAGGGGCGTTGGCTGCCGGCCTTCCTGCTGGATTGGGCGGGCAAAGTGCTCTGGGCGTTCCGCCGTTACCACTCATTCCCGTGTCCTTTCACAGCTGTCCACCCAGCCAGCTCGGCTACTTGTGCTACTGGCACCGCTTTGGCCGTCACAGAGCTGGTTTCGGTAATTCTCAGGTTTCTGGCTCAGCCTCCTGTTCTATTACCTTCTGACCGGACATTCTCACTCAGAGCGGGCGCCCACCCAAATCCACAGTTCAGTGGGTGGCTTGGCCTCTGTCAGGTCTAACCTCGAGGCGCAGCGAATTCCTGCAGCAGTTGCAGACACAATTCTGGCTTCGGGCGGGGATTAGACAAAGCGTTCAGTCACGAGGATAGGTGGTCCGCTATGCGCGCTGGTGTTCAGATAGGGGCATTGCAGATCCCTTTTCTGCGGATTTAGTCCGAGTATTGGAGTTTTGCAAGCTCGTTTGGAAGAAGGCCTGGCGGCTTCGACCATTCGTGGCTACTCCACGCTATTTCCACTTTTCACACCCCTGTCGATGGTGCTCTTCTGGGGCAGCACCCTCTCGTCAAGCGCTTTCTTGCTGGCGGAGCGGATTCGACCTGCGCTCAGGCGAACCAGTCCACCTTGGGATTTGTCAATTGTGCTTTCGATTGGCTGTCGGTCCAACTTTCTCACACCTATCGGCTATTTCCATTCAGTTGTTAACTTGGAAAGCTGTGTTTTTGGTGGCGGTAACATCTGGACGTAGGGTCGGCGATTTACATGCTATGTCGTCCGACCGACCGCTGACTGTGTTTCACCGCGGATCGTGTCAGTATTCGCCTCCCAGATACTTACCGACCGAAGGTCGATCCACGCTTTCCATGTGACAGCTCCTATCGAACTTCCTACTCTTACCCAGCCTTCCACATCGGGGACCACTCCTCTGAGCACTCACCCGTTGGATGTCCGTAAGACGCTCAAAGTCTATATCAAACGAACGCAGGGAATCCGTACGGGTACCCAGCTGTTCTGTTGTTACGGTGGCGGGAAGGCTGGTCTGCCAGCGAGCAAGCAGACTTTGTCTCGCTGGCTAGTTTCGTGTATTTGTGCTGCTTATCAGGCTAAGGGCAAGCCTCCCCCTGAGGGGTTGAAGGCTCACTCGGTCAGGGCAGTAGCCGCATCAAAAGCTTTTGCATCGGCACTCCCCATTGAAGAGATCTGCTCTGCCGCTATTTGGAGCCGGCCAAGCACGTTTATCACGGCATTATCAGCTCGATACGCATTCCCGTAATCGTGCGAGCTTTGGCCGTACTGTTCTCTCCAGTGGACAGTGTCCTGCCACCCTGACCGAGTGAGTCTTGGTTTATTGGTCTGTTTTGACGCTACTGTACAATATTTGTATTATTGACATGTCTGCTACTGTGAGCTCACTCAGAGAACATGTACCCCCTTTCGATTCTCTTAGGAGTTATTTGTCGATTGTGAGCGGTATTTGCATTCCCCCCTACGGTGCTCACTAATAGACACTTCGTGGGTGGGGCTTTATTGACATTCACACTATGTGCGTTGTCTCATTATGCTAAATGGAGGTCGTCTTTGAGTACAATTCCTCCCTGTCAGTTCCCCTCCCATAATGCCTCTCGCGGAAGCGAAACTGGGACAAGTGACAGGTGAGTGTTATGGCGTCTGTTCAATTTTTTTCCATGATACGATCGCTATATTTGTGTGTGCTTGGACAGAATTCCCTCCTCCCTGGCCTCCGGTCTTTGGGAGTCTGTGTTTATGCATAATATGTACCCCAAGGACGATCTCTCTGAAAAAGAATTAACCAAACCTGAAGAGGTTTTCAATTCTTTGAAGAGAGTCGTCCTTGGGGTAGGGCCTCCCGCCTCCCCGCAATTCTGTTCACTGATATATTCAGCAGAAGGAATGATGATACGGGTCTAGGAGCCTACCCAGTTGGTGCGCATGCGCTAAGGGAGGTAACTCCGTGAGGTAGGGACCGTATAATAAATAAAAGAGTTTATTTATTGTTCAATCTTTTTATTCAAAAAACATTGATACAACTGTCACAGGACATTTTTCAGCCGGAAAATGCATAATATGTACCCCAAGGACGACTCTCTTCAAAGAATTGAAAACCTCTTCAGGTTTGGTTAAATTTTCTTTGTTGATATAAAACATATAGGATTTTCAGTCATCTTGGTAGTAAGATCGACTTGTGGTTCGTTGCCCTGGGCAGAACACCCATAGCGCTATAACTGTTTTTAATCCATGATAAGATATGTGAGTTGAATGTGGTTTTTAGTCTATGATAAGATATGTGAGTTGAATGTGTTTTTAGTCTATAATAAGATATGCGAGTTGAATGTGGTTTTTAGTCTATGATAAGATATGTGAGTTGAATGTGGTTTTTAGTCTATGATAAGATATGTGAGTTGAATGTGGTTTTTAGTCTATGATAAGATATGTGAGTTGAATGTGGTTTTTAGTCTATGATAAGATTTGATAAGATGGTGTGTTGAATGTGGTTTTTAGTCTATGATAAGATGTGCGAGTTGAATATGGTTTTTAGTCTATGATAAGATATGTGAATTGAATGTGGTTTTTAGTCTATGATAAGATATGCGAGTTGAATGTGGTTTTTAGTCCATGATAAGATAATAATAATAATGTCACTTATAAAGCACAAATGTCCACACATTTATGAATGCTCAATGCGCTGAAAAGAATTGAGTAAAAGAGTCAATCATAGGCACTTTGAAACAGGTGAGTTTTAACTTTTGACTTGAAAGTTGAGAGAGATTCACATAGTTTGATATCTAAAGGTAAAGAGTTCCAAAGAGTTGGTGCAACATAGGAGAAAGCCCTTTTCCCATACGAAACTAGGTGGAATTTGGGAACTTATAGTAGGTGCTGATTCTGGGACCGGAGTGATCTTGATGGAATATATTCTGTGATGAGTTCGGTGAGATATTCTGGAGCTTGATTGCGGAGACAGCGGAAAGTGATGCAGAGTAGTTTGAAGTTGATTCTCTGTTGAATAGGCAACCAATGTAAGGCTTTGAGAACAGGAAAGATGTGATCAGATTTAGTCTTCCGAGAAATAATTCTTGCAGCTGTATTCTGTACTTTCTGTAGTCTTGAGATATTGTGTTTGCTGAGATATGTGAGTTGAATGTGTTTTTTAGTCTATGATAAGATATGCGAGTTGAATATGGTTTTTAGTCTATGATAAGATATGTGAATTGAATGTGGTTTTTAGTCTATGATAAGATATGCGAGTTGAATGTGGTTTTTAGTCCATGATAAGATAATAATAATAATAATGTCACTTATAAAGCGCAAATGTCCACACACTTATGAATGCTCAATGCGCTGAAAAGAATTGAGTAAAAGAGTCAATCATAGGCACTTTGAAACAGGTGAGTTTTAACTTTTGACTTGAAAGTTGAGAGAGATTCACATAGTTTGATATCTAAAGGTAAAGAGTTCCAAAGAGTTGGTGCAACATAGGAGAAAGCCCTTTTCCCATACGAAACTAGGTGGAATTTGGGAACTTATAGTAGGTGCTGATTCTGGGACCGGAGTGATCTTGATGGAATGTATTCTGTGATGAGTTCGGTGAGATATTCTGGAGCTTGATTGCGGAGACAGCGGAAAGTGATGCAGAGTAGTTTGAAGTCGATTCTCTGTTGAATAGGCAACCAATGTAAGGCTTTGAGAACAGGAGAGATGTGATCAGATTTAGTCTTCCGAGAAATAATTCTTGCAGCTGTATTCTGTACTTTCTGTAGTCTTGAGATATTGTGTTTGCTGAGATATGTGAGTTGAATGTGTTTTTTAGTCTATGATAAGATATGCGAGTTGAATGTGGTTTTTAGTCTATGATAAGATATGTGAGTTGAATGTGGTTTTTAGTCTATGATAAGATATGTGAGTTGAATGTGGTTTTTAGTCTATGATAAGATTTGATAAGATGTGTGAGTTGAATGTGGTTTTTAGTCTATGATAAGATGTGTGAGTTGAATATGGTTTTTAGTCTATGATAAGATGTGCGAGTTGAATGTGGCTTTTAGTCTATGATAAGATATGTGAGTTGAATGTGGTTTTTAGTCTATGATAAGATATGTGAGTTGAATGTGGTTTTTAGTCTATGATAAGATATGTGAGTTGAATGTGGCTCAGATCCACAAATTGTCAGATCATGAAACTCTGTTGTTCAGCACAGACTTCTGACTACTGTAATTGTATTGACATTTTGTGGATCAGCCCCTTACTTGCTGGAGGACATGTTGTCTTTATTATATGATTATTAATAAGTGATGAAAAAGTGTGTGCATAATTGACTTCATTCTGCTAATATTTAACCAAGAGGATTGAAGTTGTAACCACATTTTAGAAAAGTGGTACCATTTCTCTTGTCCCTCACATGTCTAGACTTGTAGCACTGTCTCAACCTATCTCATCAATATATATCTTACAGTCAACGCTGTAATTCTGGAAAGTTGGACCCTCACATACGTCACATAAGTTGGTATAACTTTGACAATGGATAGCTGCAATCATATTATGTTTATTTTCAGATACAAGATGTAGTGGCCATGAGGCATGTTGCTTCCAACACTGACCAGGTAAGAAATCACTGATCTGCTGTGTGAAGAGGGTGTGCAGAGTTCTCTCCCTTAGACTTGCACTGATCTGCTGTTTGTAGTTTTTAGATCCAGATTTGGCTTCAATAGTATCCTTGTCTGTCTGGCGGTTCTGACCTGGATCACTTTGGGTTTTCCAGTAACATTTAACTGTGATGAATCAGAACTGTTAAGAAGCAAGGGACACTCAGGAGGGTGTTGATTGTACTCATTGTTTAATGTGGCTGATTCTAAATGATGTTAGTAAACCTATGTACAACTTCACTTGATAGGAAGGTGATCAAGTTTATAATAGATTCTGTTTTCATTGTGTATTTTGGATGACATGTATCCTTAAACATTCAAGTACATAAAGCCTTTAACATTAGGGGAATCCCTGCCCTGCCCTGGTCCTATTCCTGCCCCAGCCCCTGCCCCTGCCCATGACCCTGCCCATGATCCCAGTCCTAGATAATCCTACACAATGTAGATGTGAGTGTCGTGTGTTCCAGCAACGCACCACCATGATCCTCCTGTGTGAGGATGGCAGCCTCCGTATCTACATGGCCAACGTGGACAACACCAACTACTGGCTGTCTCCCTATCTCCAGCCTCAGAGTCCCATAGCAGTACTCAAACCAGCCAAGAAGAAGAAGTCCAGCAAATCAGGTCAGTTTCTGTGATTATAGCTTTCTTAGCTCTTTCCATCAGTTGATTGCATAGTTTCACATTTTCAACATCATCTCTAAAGTAAAAAGGCCTGTGACTGAAGATGGATAATTTGCCTAGAACATCTTAAAATTATTGCATAACCTGACCATTTTTTATGAAAAATCAAGTATGCACTTAACCAACTTTATCCAAACAACCAGTCTCTTAAATGATTCAGTTCAGTTCTGTTTCAGTCTTCTTTATCATGCCATTTTGTGTGTACAGTTTGTTAACACTTGCATATGTACACAGAATTCCCTTACTGATAATGACATTGCTGTTGTGGTTGTTGTTGTTGTTGTTCCATGGTGTAGTGGTTAGAGCGTCCACCGAGAGAGTGGTAGGTCGCGGGTTCGATCCCCGACCACGTCATACCAAAAGACGTTAAAATATGGTACCTGTTGGCCCTGCCTGGCGCTCGGCATTAATGGGTACAACAAGGACTGGTCGACTCGGAGTCAGAATAATGTGTCTGAGTGGGGTATTCATGCTTCACTGCGGCATGGTATCTCAGTAGGCTAGCACTATAAAACCAGCTTCAATCTGGGCTAGTACAAGCAGCCGCACATACACATGCACGTCGTCAAATGAGCGAAATATTCTCAAGCACTACGTTAAACCCAATTTCACCTCACCTCACCTTACTGATAATAAAGCATTGTCATTTGCCTAACAGATCATGACAGGATTTCAAAATGGTCGCCATGGCAGCCATATTGAAAATTACAGATTTACCCATACTTTTAAAATTGTTCATATGGAAAATGTTTTCTGTATGTCATGTGTTAGATAATTTGATGTTGTGGTTGTTGTTGTTCATGTTCATGGAAGGAAAACTGAATAATCTGAAATATAACTCGATGCATTCATTGACTGGTTCCAGGACGCCCAGCAGGGGTGGTGACATTCCCTATTGACTTCTTTGAACACTGCCAGCAGACCAATGACATTGAAGTAAGTACAGACTTTTACCAGTTTGTCCAAGCCAAGTAAGTTCAGACCAGGACCGGTTTCACAAACCAATCTTAGCTCTACTACTGTCATAAGTCCGTGTTGAAGTGTGTGAGTAAAGATGGTCAAGGTCTATGATAACTTTGTGGAAGAGGACAGCAATGCATTGATGTATAAGGCTTGATGTAGTTCTTGCTAAGTGACCTCATTTGCTCATATTTCAGATCAAGATAACTTTGTTGCATATGTTTTTCACTCAAATACCTTTGATTATTACATAACAAATAAAAGTAACCCTTGGTTTCAGTTCGCTGGCAATGATGTGCTGCAGGTGTACAATGTCCAACAGGTGAAGCACAGGCTGAACACAACAGGGATGTACATCGCCAGCACCAAGGTAATAAGGCACTATTGTTCTCCTGTCACCTTTAAGAGGACTGGAGATTATTAATACTGAGCATAATTCACATCGTATAATAAGAAGGATGATGATGATGATGATGATGATGATGATGATGATGATGATGATGATCACGATGATGATGATGATGACGACGACGAAGATGCATCTGTATTTTTCAGGCCTTTTCCCACCCAACAGAGTAATGTGACAACTGAATTTTTTAACATTGTCTGAACTGAAATTCTTAACATTTTTGAGGCTTGGATCGGGTTGAAATTATGGTCTTCAATAGGACAAGGGTATTTATCAAATAGTTTCACCACAGCACATCATTCCAACTTGACCCCATGGTCTTTTTTGTCTACAGCCTGCTGGTTTCACGATTGACCTGAGCAATACCAACAACACCACTGTGATGGTGGGAGTGCGGGTAATGGTTGGGAGCCAGAGCTTAGAGAGAGCGCCTTCCTACCTGGAAGTGTTCGGACGCACCACCCAGGTTAATGTCAACCGGGCCAGGTGGATCGACATGGCCTTCACTCGAGAAGAGTCTCTCACAGCTGACAAGAAGTTCAGCCTGTTTGGTGAGTGGTTTGATGTATGTTTGTGTGTTTAATCAGGATGGTGAGGCAGGTCTCCACTTGAGAACCTATGGGGAGGATTGTGTGAGTTTGCTTTTAGCAATAATCAAGCAATAATCAAGCAATATCATGGCGGGGGACACCAGAAATAGGCTTCACACATTGTACCTATGTGGGCAATCAAACCCCGGTCTTCATATTACTAGTGTTTTGCCCCACTCAATTCTTCATCCGATTTTCTCTTCAGTTGGTGCCAGTGTGGACCCTGCAGGCGTGACCATGGTAGATTCCATCAAGGTGTATGTCAAGACCAAGGAGGCCTTCGGATGGCCGGAGGAAACTGATGAGTTCCCAGAATCCACTGCTCCGAAAGTCATGGCTGCTGTTGCTGCTGCAGCGGCATCAACTGAAACTGACACAGTGCAGAATGTACCTCTGCCTATGACTACAGCAGACAAGTAAGCTGATATCTGTCAGTCTAAACTGTTTTGTTTCATGACTTATTCTGGTCAGATCTAAGAGATATCAAGGTAAAACATCACCAGGGCTGGATCCAGGATTTTGGAGAAGGGGTGCACATAAATCATGAAGTCCAAGGGTTACGCGGAAATGCTCCTCAGGGAAAACAATTTCAGTGCTTAGTATATTATCTGTCTATGTCAAAGTATTTCAATTTTGATGGTCTTTGACTTAAGGTCGCTTTTTGCGAGCAAGCCTGATCAGGGACATATGGTGCTGCAATACTCTGTGCAGAGTTGTGTCCCTTGGGCTGACCAGACACCTGCAGCCCATGAAGTATTATTAATACCTTCATTTGAAAACATAAAAGTGCAGTAAATATTGTATTTTTTTATCTTGCTTTAAATATATATGGTATCAGTATTTGTTCTCTGTTAATTTTATTTTGCCATGATGGTAAAGGTGTAAAACTGTATTACGTTTGACTTTGAAATATTGTTCACTGTACCATTAAACCAAAATCACTCTATATAATTGCTATTATTACAGGCTTCTGAGCAGTGCACTTGAAGTGTTAGAGGGAGCATTTGCTGCAGGCAAACTTGAAGAAAAGGTGATCAAAGAATTATATCATTTATCACAATCTTTATCAATCTGGAAAATAAAATAACCGATACACAATGATGTGTAATTGAGCATTATTTTTATTTGGAGGATAAAAGTATATGCATCATCACACATAAGTTTACAGGACAAATTATAAATGTTTTCACTGACTTGACTGCCACTGCCAATTGACCTGTGCTAGTCGGCTTTGCAATATGCACTGACTGTCTGTGATTGTGTTCAGGATCCACAGCGAGACAAGGCCCTGGATCTGTCCACCAGCCTGCTGACCCTCCCCACGCCACCCACAGTCCAGCAGCACACCAAGTCTCTCCTGGCCTCACTGTTTGCTAACAAGGCTACCTACCACAACCACAAGGTAAGGCGTCCAAGACGGCATTATCTTAGTGAGTGAATGAGTTTAGTTTTATGCCGGTTTTAGCAATATTCCAGCAATATCATGGCAGGGGGCACCAGAAATAGGCTTGACACATTGTACCCATGTGGGGACTCGAACCCAGGTCTTCGGCGTGACGAGCGACGCTTTAACTACTAGGCTACCCCACCACCAACATTATCTTAGATACGGCATATTTCAGATGTAGCACTTAGTACTCATTTATGTTCATGTGTAGGTAAACGAGTGTGTGAATGTGAGTTCTTGTATTTGTATGTTGGTCTGTATAAGAGGGGTAGGGTTGAGCACAGTTGGCCTAGGTATCTTTGGTGATGCAGTAGAATCCCTTGGTCATGCCAGAAACCCATGAACCAAAGTCCAAAACCAGCCTCACTTCAGTCTTAATTCCCAAATCAATTCCCAAATTAATAATGAATATGTCAGTAAAACTTCAGATATTGCTTATTTGAATATCAATTTCAGGATAAAACTCTTGGCTACTAGTGTCCATGGACTAAATGGGCTGAAAGCATGTACATATATGCCTGTCCTCACTGAGATCATTCAAGTGTATCAAATATGTTGATAGATAGACAGTCAGTCAGACAGACACACATATACATACAGACAGACAGACAGATAGACAGAGAAAGACTAATTAATGAGAGAGAGGTAGGTAGGTTAAGCCTTAAACCCAACCCCTCCCGTGAAGATCCAGAATAGAATTCATCTTCAGCAGCCCATTCTTGTCGTAAGATGCAACTAATAGGATCAGGTTGTCAGACTCGCTGACTTGGTCATTGTATCCCAATTTGCCTAGATTGATGCTCATGATACCAGTCCAGGCTGAATAATTTATAGGCCACCGCCAAATAGCTTGAAAAATGCTAACTGCGCCTTTAATGGTAAACATTAAAAGACCCTGCCCACTCATTCACTCAATTATTGTGTTCCAGGACCAGGCTCAGCTTGTCCATGTGATGAAGAGTCTGTCAAGGGAGAGCTCGGACATGGATGTGGAAGCCTTCCAGAGACTGGTGGTCACAGCGCGCTCAGTCGCTGTCTCACGGCCCGCCAACCTACTTAAATTCGCGGAGAAGGGAGGAGACAAGAAGGAAGAGAGTGAGATATTCTGGCATCGTTGTTCACCATGTAGTTTCCCGATCTTTCATCTTCCACAAATGATTCTTTGCTTCAAAGTTTAACTGGGTGATAACTGGGTGATAAGCTACATGCATTTACAGGCTTTAGTGTAGTCGTGGTTCAAATGTCAGTGCTTACCACTGGATTGTTGTTCACAATATCAATCACTGGTCTGTCTGGTCCAGATTGTGTCACAACACCCCACTACCTTAGCTGCAATATTGCTGACTGCCGTGTTAGACAACAATCAAACAAGGATTAATCACCACACCGTCAAGACTTGGATAACATTTGATGCAGTAATTTTAGAATATCTCTGGTTTAGCTATGGAGGTGCAGGACCTGGAGGAGGAGAAGGAGGAAGAGAAGGGCGAGCCCAGTCCCCCCACGTCCCTCAAGAGCCATGAGCTGGAGCCCAAGGACTACTGCCACTTCACTACACAGCTGGTGGAGACTTTCTGGAAGCTACACACAGCCAAACCCACAAACTCCATACTAGCTCCAGTCTGCCTGCCAGGTGAATCACTTTTCATAGAGTTCATGTTATCATGTTAACATGTGTTTCGGCGTCGTGATATTGCTGGAATATTGCTAAAAGCGGCGTAAAACCACACTCAATCACTCACTCACTCATGTGTATCATCATGCATGATAATGGCTTCACTTATAACAAGACTTGGGAACAATAATGTTACCATGGTTACAGGGTAATCCTGCTTTGTGTAAGGTCTTTGAATGGTATTTAGAAGTGATGCACATAAACCGTGACTTTTATGGATGTGAACTTTTGTAATATGAGGGACACAATGTTTTTGATTGTATTCTTACTCAGAGCAACAGATAACTTTTTGGGTCATTGGGTTATGTACTCGCTCGTGTTCATCTCAATTGGGTATCCTAATATTCCTTTGAGTATCCAAATAAATTGTACTCATCTCACTCAATATCATTTGGGTATTTGTAATTTTCCATTAATTTTAAAAATATAATAAAGTTTAAAGGCTAGTGTTTAATTTGTTATTTATATTTGATCTGTATTATGAGAAACGATAAGAAAGACTGCAAGTTCCCAAGTTCATGTCCTAATATAGAACCTCTCAATATACCTCAGTTATTTTATCTATCCACCGTTACGCAAGCTAAGAGTTGACATGTGTTGTGTATATGCATGTAAGATCACATTTAGTGAGTATTTACAAAATTCAAAGCATACTTGTACTCAATAGACTTATAGGAATTGAGTTTTTGCATAAATATTTGCGTAATTTACGCATATACGCAGCTTATCTGTACCTCAGTTACCCCTTTGTCTTATTCATATTACAGAAGTTGCATCCATTAGTTTTCAGACTTCATGGTTTTGCATCTGTTTGTTTTGAAATCAGATAATTTTCCCTTATCCTGACTCATGCTACATGCTTGTCTCCTTCTTCTTGCGAATGATAGTGGAACACTTGAAATCCCTTGAGTTCCCTTCTAAAAAGCGGACGTAAAATCATCACTCACCCACGAGTAGTCTCCCTTGCCTCCTTTGGTGCCCTTTTGTATCACTTGAGCAGCCATGTTTGTCACTCTCTCCTTCTTCGCCCTTGAGGATGGTTGTGAGAGCACCTGGGCCCCTACACGGTACATATCCTTTTCTCTTTTGGACCTTTACATCAAAATTATTGCTGTATACGGCTTTTAGGATTGTATTCTACTATATGGTTTAAAAATTTGATCTAAATTATACGTTGTTGACATGTTTTTTCGTCGTGTTTACATTTGATGAAAACTTGTATTCGTTGTATATACCAGCTGTCTGCGACTGACCCACATTTATTATGTCCTGATTGCACTACTTCATGTTCTTTCAGCTCTTGCTGTTAACATTGTCTGAATTTAACCAATTTTGAATTAAATAACTGCCTTTTTTCCCATTCATAGACATGCAAAGGACTGGGTAAGAAGGTATTCACAAGTCATGTCTAAATCAAGTGATTACGCTGATCGTGTGTTAACTACAGCGGCCGATGTTCATAATTCCAGTGAATTGCCGAGCGTTTTACGGGGGCAAGTCGCTGTTCCAGTGATGAACTCAGGAGCCAATAAGAGATCGTCGTCAACAGAGTTGACCTCTTCGCAGACAAAAAAAACTAGATCGTCTTCAACGCAGAAGAAGAAGGCTCCTGCCCCTAAGACTTCGTCGAAGTCTCTACACAGCTCTATCCGGAAGACGAGATCCTTCTCTGCCGAGATTATACCTTTGGAAAAGCAGACGTGTATGATGGACCCCCATCCTCATACCTGAAGTCACAGTCGTCACCAAGAAGACAACGCCTGCTTCTACAGCTACATTGGTAACTTTATCAGCGCAGACATTGACAGAAGACTTTCTATCAACGCAGACATCGGGTACCAGAGATAGCAGCAGCGTCAACTCTTCACAAGTGCAGCGTGCCTTAGAAGACGCCTCATCTTTGTCAGAAGCATCATCAACCCTGCAGCAGTCTCTTCAGACATCGCAGAACTTCAACCCGGCAGTTTCTCCAACGCGCTTGGAAGAAGAGGGAAGCCTGCGTGAAGTAACTTCCCCATCTGAAGTTAGGAGCCTTGACAAAGCTACCAACGTCAGCTCAGCCTTAGATGTCCCTGAGGGCACTCCATATCTTACAGAAGGGAAACTATGCCTAAGAATCAACCTTCACGAAGGCCTAGAGAGAGATCTCAAGACTCCAGGAAGGATACACGATCACATCCGGATTGTTCACCTGCGCGCAGTTCGTCATACAGAGATTCATGTCATGGATCGTCAGATCGGGAGATGTCTAAATCAGAGGAAGAAGGTGAAGTCATATTCACTGATACGGAAGTAACCTTATGGATTGCTGATGGCCTGGACCTAGCATCACCTTCCAAGGACACAGACGAAGCGTTTACATGCAAGATGTCCAAAGATGATTTCGACACACTCACCTTTCCGCCTATCGACCCGATCTCCCAAGTACCGGACAGTCTCAGCTCAGCCTTTGATAAGGCTAGCAAATTCCAGAATCAGTATATCCCGACATTCAACGCCAGGAAATTCCCCTTTACATCACATGGAACCCTTCCTGAAGGCACCAGAGATTGATGAGGACTACAGTCCGTTTGAGTCAGAATCGGACCGATGAATTGCAAATTTTATCACTGTACAAAATTGCCACATAAATATAAATAGTACACATGTTTATCATTTACTAATACCCAACAGCTTTCTTATATTTGAAAATTTTCCGGACTCCACAAAAAAAGTTCTTTAAGAAACTATCATTAAAATTTTGACACAGTTCACTATTTGTTACGAGGGAGGAGTGCAGAGAAAGGGGACAGCCAGGTGTTCGAGAAGCACGTGCACAAGTGCCCATCAAGTTATTGATTCATTAGCCTGTGCTGTGCCGTCTCCATCCTTTCTCGCACACCTGGCTGACCCTTTTCTCTGCACTCCTCCAGTGTTTTGCAACACTCATCTCTACATAGATGCATTGCTACAAGGATGGGGTGCCCACCTCGACAACGAAGTGGCAGCAAGGAGGTGGTCGAGTCAGGATCAGAGTCTGCATATCAACCTGTTGGAGATGAAAGCAGTGATCAACACTTTACAACACTGGTCCAGTGTACTAAAGAACACAAGGCTCATGGTCCACACGGACAACTCCACAGTAGCGTTCTACATCAACAAACAAGGATCAACAAGATCAACAAGTCTGCTACAACTCAGCTTTCTCCTGTTCATCATCGTCGACGACCTGAACATCTACATGAAGGCATGCCACATTCCAGGAGCAAAGAATGTCATAGCAAGCAAGCTCACGGGAATCCGGCATTGTTCCAGCTACAAGCGTGGAGCGTATCAAAGCTTGCCTGAAGACTAGAGGGTACTCCGCCAGAGCAGCGAAAGCAGTGACATTAGCTCTACGCAGATCAACTCGCAACGTGTGGAACGACAAGTGGCAGAGATTTTAACAGTATGCAACGAGGAAAGGCTTTACAGCGGTAAAGGCAACCCAACCTCAAGTGGTGGAATGCTTGTGTCATTTGCGACAAACGAGACACTTAAAAGGTTCAACACTCTCAACGTACCTGGCTGCTCTCAGCACAGTTATCACTATGAAGACGGGTCTCCAGCTGACCAAAGTACCAGAGATACTGGCACTACTCGCTCGTTCAAGTTTGAAGACCGACAAAAGAAATTCAAGACTCCTGCCTGGGATCTCAACGTAGTTCTACAACATCTCACCAGTGACGCCATGAGCCTCTAGAATGGACATCCTTTGAACTACTGACACAGAAAACGCTGTTTCCTGATCACCCTAGCAACAGCAGCACGGATGTCAGAAATACATGCTCTGGACTTTGAACGAACACGATTTGAATCAAGACATCTTGACATCGTACATCTAGGACTGAGATGGGACTTTATTGCCAAGAACCAACTGCCCGGCCAGCCTGTCAGACAGTTCCACATCCCAGCACTCTCTACAGTCCTTTGGCCACAGGATACACAGGATCTATCCTTATGCCCTGTCAGAGCACTAAAAGTCTACATACAAAGGACAAAGTAAGGAGACGAAAATTCAAGCGCCTATTCATCCCCTTATCCACTGAGGCGCCCATGGAAGTCTCTCGAACAACGATATCGATTTGGATGAGAGCCGTTATACTAAGTGCCTATAAAGCAGCAGGACTTGAGCCTCTACGAGCCTCCAATCCCCACGATGTCAGAGCCCTGGCATCTACACTTGCTCTGCATGGAAACTGCTCGATTACAACAATAATGGAGGGTGGCTTTTGGAAATCGGACACAGTGTTTGCCAACCACTACCTCAGAGACATTGCCACCGAAGACGTCTCAGGGATTCACCAGTTTGGGCCACTTGTTGTAGCACAACAACTAACGGTTCCACAAAGGCGCTGAGAAAAATCTCAGCTTTTTATCTCGTGACTTGTGAAAACCAAAGCTCTGGAGAGCAAATGGTTAAAGTCCATGCACATGAGTGATAGACCCTGTACTTGTATAGGACATGCACGCATCAAGAGATGGAGTTGCAATAGATAACTGATGGAACATTAGTATAGCTAAAATCCACATGAAAATGTCAGGAAAATTTTCGGAAGAAATCTGACAAGTTGTGGTTCCCCCCAGACTCATCAGAGGAAGTTGAAAGAACAGAATCATCAGCAGTGCCGTCATAAGTTCCCATGGGGTGTAATACAGACGGAAATCAACAGCCAGTGAATCCAGGACGCACCACCGATTCCGATGGATTCTGCAAGCATTTAGCATGGGTCAGGATAAGGAAAAATAGGTAATTTTCTGACTAAAATTGATATTTTATACTTATCTTGACTCATGAGGTCAGCCCTCCCAACCTCCCCTCTCAGGGCACTCTGGATTTCCCTGTAAATCTGGGTGTCAGGCGTACATACGGAGAGAGTGACATACATGGCTGGTCATGTGATACAAAAGGACGCCAAAGGAGGCAAGGGAGACTACTCGTGGGTGAGTGATGATTTTAAGTCCACTTTTTAGAAGGGAACTTCAAGGGATTTCAAGTGTTCCACTATCATTCGCAAGAAGAAGGAGACAAGCATTTAGCATGAGTCAGGATAAGTATAAAATATCAATTTTAGTCAGAAATTACATTTTTAATGTCAATATCATCCTGATGTTGATGTTATGCCATTAAGAGTTAATCATGTTTATAAACATGACTGTCATCAAGAATAACCATGGCATCATTTATGTGAAAAGTTTCTTTCATGGTGATCTGGTTTCAAAATAGGATGTTGAATGTCGAAATTGTTCTGATTTTAACAAAATTACCTATCGAATTCCTGCTACTGAGAAAATAGTCTAATTTTGGAATGTCAACTCTGACAATACTCTCTACCACTATGGCTTACTTATTGTTTTGCTAAAAAAATCAATGGGATTGTGTAAAGAATTGTCAGCTATTGTTCAATGCTTGTCAGCTTTGTTTTATCAATATTAACAAAACCTACCATGCCATCTGTTTCTTCTAACAATGTTGTCCTTGTGTCAGGACTTGCCCACGTAGATACAACAGTGGGTGCTGTAGTGGAGATCATCCATGCCTTCACTGTCTGTGACCAGGAGGCCGTGAACCTCGCCACCAAACACTACGTCCGACTACTTCTGTCTGCTGTAAGTAATTATGGAGGGACCAGAGGGCAGTGGTTCAATTCCCTGCCATGTCATACCAAAAGAATTAAAAAGATGGTACTTGTTTTTGTCCAGGCCTGACACTCCACAGTACATCACAAGGACTCGATCGCGCGAGTCAGAGTCCCGATGTGTTCTTTTGCTTTCATTGTGAATATTATTATGTATCTTGTTTATCCCCTCGGCATGTAATGGGTCATATAGTCGGCACCTTGTCTGTCTGTCCGTGCGTAATCATTTTGTTTCCAGAACATAACTAAAAAAAAGTTCAATATTTTGCAGCAAAATTTGGTAGATATATCAAACAGAACCTAAAGTAGTGACTTTTAGCTATTTACAGATTTTTGGCATTTTTAATTTGCTTGGTTTCCATGGAAACAATTTGGACTTAGTCTCAAAAGGGAGGGGTGGGTTTCGTTTTCTGGAGCACAACTCAAAAACCGTTAAATATCTTTCTACAAGACATGGCAGATATATCAAACACATCTTGAAGTGGTGCCTTTTGGTATTTGCAGATTTGGGGGCATTTATATTGTTCATGATTTCCATGGAAACGATTGGACTTTGGAAAAAATTAAAGTTGGACTTTAAGAAACTGTCAGATGATTTATTCTTTCAAATGGGGGCAGGGGGGATTTGTCATCTTCTAATGACTCTTGTTTAGAAATGTAATACTTTGTAACTAACTGAAAAAAATGTTTTGCTGTGTAGATCAGATAGTGCTTAAGAGTTAAAAGGTTTAGCATATTTGTCCCAGATACAGGGACTGGTTCCTCACAGATTTGCCAGTTCAAATCTGGTCAGTTATCAAGCCTTAGGTCAGAAATGCTTGTATTTTCTACATGTCCGTTTTGTTTTGTTGTATTTAAAATGTAATATATCAAAAGACACTGTCTCTCTTCAGGACCCTGTGGTGAGCTTCGCATGTCGTCAGGCCCTCATTCGGGCCCTGAGGCCGCCACACAGGAGGAGACGGGTGTTCATCCCTTCACCCCCTCGATGCAGCTCTCCAGGTGAGTAAAGACACAGCAACATCAACCCCCCACCCAAGAAGTTCAGTTTGTAAGGTTTTGTAATGTTCAATAGAATGTTTGTCTGTTTGTTTCACCCTTGTGTGTAAACTATAACTATACAAAGATAGTTAAGAGCAACATCTGTATCTTTACATGTGTCATCTGTGAGAAATATTGGGACATGGTTCAAATTGTACTGTCATTTGTTAAGCTGCCCAGCATATTTGTCAAACCTATCATTTCCATAGTAAAGAGAAAAGGAAATGGTACGACATAGTGATAAAATTCATGTTTACTCTTCTATAAGCAGTACCTGAGACTTGATACAACACCACACCATACAATGTTGAAGAAGAGAGATGTGTGTTAGATGATGTTGCAGGTGGCCCTGGTGGTGATGATGACGATGACGATGACCCTAAGCCTGACAAACCAGACACGCCTCCTCCCTCAGGCCCCCAGATCTCCAACCATGTGGAACACCAAGACCAGGACCCAGAGGGGGATGACCAGTTCGATGTAGTGGTCAGTGTTTACACGAGACTGTTCGATTATGGTCACACTTGGGCAGTATTCTGATAATTGCTAAACCCTGTTGACATTTCCCCTGTACCATTTGTTGTAAGAACAGACTTATGATCTGATTACTGACCAATGGTAAGAAGTGACTAACAGGATCAGGTGGTCAGGCTAGCCGACTTGGTTGACACATGTCATCGTATCCCAGTTTTGTAGATCAATGCTCATGCTGTTAATCACTGGATTTTCTGGTCCAGACTTGTTTATTTACAGACTGCCGACATATAGCTGGAATATTGCTGATTGCGGCGATAACATCCAAACCAAAGTGATCAGTTACTTGAGGAAATTGTAGTGTAAACTGTTGGCTTAGGTAAAACGGTGTTATTGAGTGAAAGGTAAATGAATAACTGAGATAGTCTTGACTGTCTTGTAAATAGTATGAAATTGTACTTCTTTGTCCTTGAGGATTCCAGTTAGCATTGGTACTGCCTTAGGCTGATCATAACAGACTATTGAGAGGATTGTATGGTAGGGCTTGGTGACTTGTCTGATAGCATGTGTTCATAATCACTGGTTTATCTGGTTCAAATAGTCTGTTATTTACAGGCCACCATGATTGGGCAGGAATATTGTAGGAATAAAAGACGAATGAGTATATTCACCTCTGAATTGCTTTGTGAATCTGACCATCACAACCTACTCAGATGCTTGTAGGAACTTTAGCTAATAAAGACGTATTATTTCTAGGAAAACAATGAGCCAATGGTGTTGGAGCCAGGCGAGGGAAATGCACACGGCAATCATCTCTCGGGTCTGGAGGCCCTGTACGGGTTTGACAGAAACTTTGAGCTGCCAGCTGATGCTGATGATGAGGCAATGGTGGAACTTGCTATAGCCCTCAGTCTTCAAGAACAGGTGACGTAATTCATTCTGTTATGTTTTGTACAAGCCACGACAATTTGATTGTTTTAATTTCTGTTGCCCCCTACCAAACATACAAGCACTCCATGTCTTCAGATGGTGTATGTTCAATGTTGTTCTGGTTTCAGGAAGGTGGAGCTGGTGGTCTGAGCCTACAGAGTCTTGGCTTGGCCAGGCAGGGACAGGTAAGAAGCAGTACTTGCTTAATTCCCTGATATGACCTTAAGAACATACGAAACAGAACCTTAGTACTATTTTTCCAGGCCAGTGGTAAACAACTTGGCAGTATGGTGCACCTTCATATAGGAACATGTTCTTTTTACCTCTATGTGGCAACATGTTCTCTTTATTGGTATTTTATCAGTGTTTGATTTTTTTCAGTTTGTTAATGTGATGTGTTGTCACTTAGTCTTATAGTCCAGTAAATATAATATGCTGTCCTGAGTTGTGTCCCTTCAGTATGCCAGTATCCAGTTTCAAATTTGACTTGATTCTTCGTTTATCTATACAGAGCCCATGCTCAAAGGTTTCACCATGCAATAATAATGTGCAAGGCAATTTAAAATCATTCCCCTGTAGAAATAGAGATTCACAAGAGACCTTGATGATTCATTGACAACTTCCTGTCCCCAGAGTGCTTCATCAATCGAGGAAGGCCCACTGTCTGACACAACAGCCTCAGCTCCTGGCAGTGACGACGAGGTTGGGAGTAATGCAGCTACCGAGGGCTCCACTCTTCGCACATCCCCAGCGGAACAGCCTGGCAGTGCTGGGTCAGAGAGTGGTGGGAGTGCTGTGGACTCCATATCAGGTTAGCACTGACTTTCTAAAGGGGGACAGAATTGTCTGCACCATCAGTAGTGACGAGTCAGGGTTGTGAAGACATGATCTGCTGGTTATTGTTGCAGTAGCAAGGGTTGGCTGAGGCCAACACTTCCCATGCTAGATCAGTGGGGATGAGGGGAACTATGTTAGATTGGTTGGTTGGTTGTTGTTTAGCACCGTGCTCAGCAGTATTCCAGCTATATCGTGGAGTTATGTAAGTAATCGAGTTTGGGCCAGACAATCCAGTGATTAACAGCATGATCATCGATCTATGCAACTGGGATGTGATGACATGTGTCGATCAAGTCAGCAAGCCTGACCACCCGATCCCGTTAGTCGCCTCTTATGAAAAGCATTAGTTCCTAAAGACCAGTTCTAACCCGGATGTTCACGGGTGGTCAGGTTAGACATGGTATTGGAGTAATGACAGAAGGGTCGACACTTCCAGTGTTTCAGGTTATTTCTTTTACTTAAAGGGAGACACAGGCAGATCTATGTGGGTGGAATGATATTAGCTTGTCTCTGTATTAACAACAATTGTTTGCACTTGTAGAGTTTATGGCGGATGATAGATCATCTGTGAAACCCCTTTCATAATTCTGGCTTAGAACAGCAACACAAGCTTTCCAAGGGTATAACCAAATTGATTTGGGTGACAGGGTTTCTAGTGTCTTTGTATCCCATTGGTATGGATTGTTGCTCATAACATCAATCACTGGATTGTCAGAACCAATTGTTAGTACTCTTTTTGTTTTGGAGGGTTTTTTGGGGGTTTCATTTTGGTTGATTGTGTTTTGTTACATGATCTTCTAATATAGCTGAAGTATTTCTGAGTGTTGCATTAAATGGCAAAGAGAGACATCAGCTAGTATTCACATTGTTTCTCTGTTGTTGCAGTGAGTGGAAGGAGCAGTGCATATGGCTACTCAGCCCCTGAAGGAGGGGCTACAGCCCGTAGTGAGACCAGCAGTGTTGGAGGAGGGCCCTCGGGATCCATGCATCACGAGGTGGACGTCATGGAAACAGATGCGGATTATGATGCAAGCTGCAGGTCAGTAGGAGTGCTGGTTGTGCTGCACATTGTTTCACTTGTAGACTGTAACCGATGAAGATCTGGGTCACAATTGATCTTCAGCAACCCATGTTTGTCGTAAGAGGCAACTAACGGGATTGGGTGGCCAGACTTGCTGACTTGGTTGACACATGACATTGTATCCATTTGCCTAGATGGATGCTCATGCTATTGGTCACTGGATTGTCTGGTCCAGACGCAATTATTTACAGACGCAGCCATATAGCTGGAATATAGCTGAGTGTGGCGTAAAACTTCACTCACTCACTCGAAGACTCTGTTGTTCAGCTGTATTGCTGAGTAGGTGAACTTACTGCCTTGTCATCTAGATGGCAGATAATGAATGTGAAATGCGATGCATCAGTGAAACTGAGTTACTTCAGTTCAACAAATGAACAAGATATTCATATTAAGATGCAACAATTTGGTAAAGTTATTGCATATTAATTTACCCCCAAAAAGATTAAAAGAGGATTAGCTGTGAAGGTTGGCATTATAACCAGTGGCATTCAAACCAACTTGTGCTGTATATGGTAATGAATATGTGAGTAATTAAACAAGTTCCAAACTCTGACATCTGTTGCTCCTCACTGTCCGCTGAGCGGTGGGGTAGCCTAGTGGTTAAAGCGTTGGTTCGTCACGCCAGAAAACCCGGGTTCGATTCCCCACATGAGTACAATTTCTGGTGTCCCCCCACCGTGATATTGCTGGAATATTGCTAAAAGTGGCGTAAAACCATACTCACTCACTGTGTGCAGATATTGATACTGTGGTGTTATGAAGAGGCTACTTCAAAAGGTTTTGCTGAGAAAGTATTCATATACTATGCTATTCTACTAGCTCTTTCGATCATTAGTGGGGGTGTAGGGGTAGCCTTGTGGTCAAAGCGTTCGCTCATCACGCCGAAGACCTGGGTTCAATTCCTCACAATGATAATGTACAATGTGTGAAGCCCATTTCTGGTGTCCTCCATCATGATATTGTTGGAATATTGCTAAAATCGGCATAAACCTAAACTCGCCTCAATTCCATCATTTGTGTGTCGGTGTGTTGTCAGACTGCACAGCCTGAGACTGCAGCTGTTGGAGAGACTTCTGCAGTATCTACCCGAGATCAGAGACGTTGGTGGAGTTCGAGCCATCCCATTCATGCAGGTACGCACAGCCTCTTTGCTTTTCATCTTGATTGAAAGTCATTTTAAGTTTTGTGAAGATATTAATATGTCATATTCCTTTTCAACCAAGTCTGCTTGAAAAAACACATGGAGCGCTAATATAAAGATGTTATACCATTAATCAACTGTATTATTGTTGACTATCAAATCAAGCTTTATCATCGTATAGATTACAGTTGTTTCAGCAGTCCTGTTAGAAATCCTGATTAGAAAAGGTCCCAAACTTACACAGCAGATTGGGTGTTCAGATTCTGTGATCTGTGTTCTGATCATATCAGTCACCTGTTTGTCTGGTCCAAACATAAGCATTTATTACAGGCTACTGTCATGTTGCTGGAATACTGTAATCATAGTTATTTTCGCGCTTTTAGCGCAAAAAGATCGTGCGTCAATAATCATGCCAAGCGAAATATTCATGGTCAAGTCATGACAAATACTCAAGAAGGAACATGCAATTTGTTTATTCTCTCAGATAACAACATCAAAATAATATATAAAGGAATAGAGGCATATACTATATACTAGTAATAGCGATCACAATCAGCAAATGTTTGTTATCAGTTTGTCAGTTAATTGATAGCTGATTACTCGTAATCACAAAATGAACGAAGCTCACTTGCGCCACTTATTGGGACAGGTGTTGTCATGTTGACACAAGTATAATCCCACCTCTCTCTCTGATTGTTTTAGTAAACACGATTCAGTTATGGCGGCTAGCTTTGATCACTGCATGTCTATCGGTTGGGAAAACTTTGTGATGGATACCATCACTCAGGTGTTTGAAATGCGCGAAAAAACTGCGCTAACAGGTCTTTTGTGAACTTTCTGCGAAAATTGCACCCCGTGAAAATATATAGGATTACAGTATTGCTGAGTGTGACATTGACCTACAAGAAACAAAAGTTTACGATAAGTGATAAGTAGACAGTGTGACATACTATGACAAGTACATTGTGTTGTCAGGTGTTGCTGATGCTGACGTCTGACCTTGACAATGAGGAAGATAAGGACCGAGCAGCCCTGGACAACTTGCTGACCATTATCCTGAAGGAACTGGACCTTTCTGGACAGGCAAGTCACACTTGACTCTGACACCGCATTAACTCTCGTTTATATGTCCGTGTTGAAATTAGCATGGCAGCGAAGGAATATCCCAAGAATCATGATAAATTTCGCATCAGATTTTCATCCAGTTTGATTTTCATTCAAATGTGACACTGAGATCATTTCATTTTCAATTTCATTATTTGTAAGCAAGCAGTTCAACTCATATCACTGTGCATAAGTTTCAAAGGATAAAACGCATGAAGGGTTATTGTTAAATAGGACTACGTACATGGTGTATTTCAGGAGCTGCTTTGATTTTGACCACTGAGTAGGAACATTCCTATTACTGTGATTCTGTCACCCTTCACACCTGTGTAGTGACATTTAACATGCTCAAAGTAAGGGACGTGTGTATCCGTGTAGTCAGTGCCTGGATATGCAGATCATAGATTTGAATGCAAGATTATGATCCTGGGCCTCCTTTCACAAAGCACGATGGTGATCGTAAGTCACTAAGGTAACCTTAGCGCAATGTTAAAGAATGGAGTTAAGGTTAACCTTAGTAAAGGTTGCTTCGTGAAAGGAGCCCCTGATCCTGATCTTCTCCCACAATAATCTGACATGCTGAGATGAAATATTGTTGAAGCCCAACCATCTCAGTCAGTCATATACTTATCACACATATAAGTCAATCCTGGTGGCTTCAGGGCCTTGAGAACATCGAGACTCGGACCCGGCAGTTCGAGGTCAAGCTGATTCTGCTGAGACTGCTCAGCGTCCTACTGTCTAGAACCAGAGCAGGAACTAAACCATCCAGTGAGGTGAGTCAGGTGCTAGACATCCAGTGTGTTTACATAGTGAGTCAGGTGCTAGACATCAAGTGTGTTTTACATAGTGAGTCAGGTGTTTGATATTAAGTGTGTTTTACATAGTGAGTCAGGTGTTTGACATCAAGTGTGTTTTCCATAGTGAGTCAGGTGCTAGACATCAAGTGTGTTTTACATAGTGAGTCAGGTGTTTGATATTAAGTGTGTTTTACATAGTGAGTCAGGTGTTTGACATCAAGTGTGTTTTACATAGTGAGTCAGGTGCTAGACATCAAGTGTGTTTTACATAGTGAGTCAGGTGTTTGATATTAAGTGTGTTTACATAGTGAGTCAGGTGTTTGATATTAAGTGTGTTTTACATAGTGAGTCAGGTGCTAGACATCAAGTGTGTTTTACATAGTGAGTCAGGTGTTTGACATCAAGTGTGTTTCCATAGTGAGTCAGGTGTTTGACATCAAGTGTGTTTTACATAGTGAGTCAGGTGCCAGACATCCAGTGTGTTTTACATAGTGAGTCAGGTGTTTGACATCAAGTGTGTTTACATAGTGAGTCAGGTGCCAGACATCAAGTGTGTTTTACATAGTGAGTCAGGTGCTAGACATCAAGTGTGTTTTACATAGTGAGTCAGGTGTTTGACATCAAGTGTGTTTTACATAGTGAGTCAGGTGTTTGACATCAAGTGTGTTTTACATAGTGAGTCAGGTGCTAGACATCAAGTGTGTTTTACATAGTCAGTCAGGTGTTTGACATCAAGTGTGTTTTACATAGTGAGTCAGGTGCCAGACATCCAGTGTGTTTTACATAGTGAGTCAGGTGTTTGACATCAAGTGTGTTTTACATAGTGAGTCAGGTGCTAGACATCAAGTGTGTTTTCCACAGTGAGTCAGGTGCTTGACATCAAGTGTGTTTTGACATAGTGAGTCAGGTGTTTGACATCAAGTGTGTTTTCCATAGTGAGTCAGGTGCTAGACATCAAGTGTGTTTTTACATAGTGAGTCAGGTGTTTGATATTAAGTGTGTTTTCCATAGTGAGTCAGGTGTTTGACATCAAGTGTGTTTTACATAGTGAGTCAGGTGCTAGACATCAAGTGTGTTTTTATAGTGAATCAGGTGTTTGACATCAAGTGTGTTTTACATAGTGAGTCAGGTGTTAGACATCAAGTGTGTTTTTCCATAGTGAGTCAGGTGCTAGACATCAAGTGTGTTTTACATAGTGAGTCAGGTGCCTGACATCAAGTGTGTTTTATAGTGAGTCAGGTGCTAGACATCAAGTGTGTTTTACATAGTGAGTCAGGTGCTAGTCATCAAGTGTGTTTTACAGTGAGTCAGGTGTTTGACATCAAGTGTGTTTTACATAGTGAGTCAGGTGTTTGACATCAAGTGTGTTTTACATAGTGAGTCAGGTGCTAGACATCAAGTGTGTTTTACATAGTGAGTCAGGTGCTAGACATCAAGTGTGTTTTACATAGTGAGTCAGGTGCTAGACATCAAGTGTGTTTTACATAGTGAGTCAGGTGTTTGACATCAAGTGTGTTTTCCATAGTGAGTCAGGTGCTTGACATCAAGTGTGTTTTACATAGTGAGTCAGGTGTTTGACATCAAGTGTGTTTTCCATAGTGAGTCAGGTGTTTTGACATCAAGAGAGTTTTACATAGTGAGTCAGGTGCTAGACATCAAGTGTGTTTTCCATAGTGAGTCAGGTGCCAGACATCAAGTGTGTTTTTACATAGTGAGTCAGGTGCTTGACATCAAGTGTGTTTTACATAGTGAGTCAGGTGTTTGACATCAAGTGTGTTTTACATAGTGAGTCAGGTGCCAGACATCCAGTGTGTTTTACATAGTGAGTCAGGTGCTAGACATCATGTGTGTTTTACATAGTGAGTCAGGTGTTTGACATCAAGTGTGTTTTACATAGTGAGTCAGGTGCTAGACATCAAGTGTGTTTTACATAGTGAGTCAGGTGTTTGACATCAAGTGTGTTTTACATAGTGAGTCAGGTGTTTGACATCAAGTGTGTTTTACATAGTGAGTCAGGTGCTAGACATCAAGTGTGTTTTACATAGTCAGTCAGGTGTTTGACATCAAGTGTGTTTTTATAGTGAGTCAGGTGCCAGACATCCAGTGTGTTTTACATAGTGAGTCAGGTGTTTGACATCAAGTGTGTTTTACATAGTGAGTCAGGTGCTAGACATCAAGTGTGTTTTCCACAGTGAGTCAGGTGCTTGACATCAAGTGTGTTTTTACATAGTGAGTCAGGTGTTTGACATCAAGTGTGTTTTCCATAGTGAGTCAGGTGCTAGACATCAAGTGTGTTTTTACATAGTGAGTCAGGTGCCAGACATTAAGTGTGTTTTCCATAGTGAGTCAGGTGTTTGACATCAAGTGTGTTTTACATAGTGAGTCAGGTGCTAGACATCAAGTGTGTTTTACATAGTGAATCAGGTGCTTGACATCAAGTGTGTTTTACATAGTGAGTCAGGTGTTAGACATCAAGTGTGTTTTCCATAGTGAGTCAGGTGCTAGACATCAAGTGTGTTTTACATAGTGAGTCAGGTGCTAGACATCAAGAGAGTTTTACATAGTGAGTCAGGTGCTAGACATCAAGTGTGTTTTACATAGTGAGTCAGGTGCTAGTCATCAAGTGTGTTTTACATAGTGAGTCAGGTGTTTGACATCAAGTGTGTTTTACATAGTGAGTCAGGTGCCAGACATCAAGTGTGTTTTACATAGTGAGTCAGGTGCTAGACATCAAGTGTGTTTTACATAGTGAGTCAGGTGCTAGACATCAAGTGTGTTTTACATAGTGAGTCAGGTGCTAGACATCAAGTGTGTTTTTTACATAGTGAGTCAGGTGTTTGACATCAAGTGTGTTTTCCATAGTGAGTCAGGTGCTTTGACATCAAGTGTGTTTTACATGAGTGAGTCAGGTGTTTGACATCAAGTGTGTTTTTACATAGTGAGTCAGGTGTTTGATATTAAGTGTGTTTTACATAGTGAGTCAGGTGCTAGACATCAAGTGTGTTTTACATAGTGAGTCAGGTGTTTGACATCAAGTGTGTTTTACATAGTGAGTCAGGTGCTAGACATCAAGTGTGTTTACATAGTGAGTCAGGTGCTAGACATCAAGTGTGTTTTACATAGTGAGTCAGGTGCCAGACATCAAGTGTGTTTTACATAGTGAGTCAGGTGCTAGACATCAAGTGTGTTTTACATAGTGAGTCAGGTGCTAGACATCAAGTGTGTTTTACATAGTGAGTCAGGTGCCAGACATCAAGTGTGTTTTACATAGTGAGTCAGGTGCTAGACATCAAGTGTGTTTTACATAGTGAGTCAGGTGCTAGACATCAAGTGTGTTTTACATAGTGAGTCAGGTGCCAGACATCAAGTGTGTTTTACATAGTGAGTCAGGTGTTTGACATCCAGTGTGTTTTACATAGTGAGTCGGGTGCTAGACATCCAGTGTGTTTTAGTGAGTCCATAGACATCAAGAGTTTTAAGCATAGTGAGTCAGGTTTTGACATCAAGTGTGTTTTACATAGTGAGTCAGGTGTTTGACATCAAGTGTGTTTTACATAGTGAGTCAGGTGTTTGACATCAAGTGTGTTTTACATAGTGAGTCAGGTGCTAGACATCAAGTGTGTTTTACATAGTGAGTCAGGTGCTAGACATCAAGTGTGTTTTACATAGTGAGTCAGGTGCTAGACATCAAGTGTGTTTTACATAGTGAGTCAGGTGCTAGACATCAAGTGTGTTTTACATAGTGAGTCAGGTGTTTGACATCAAGTGTGTTTTACATAGTGAGTCAGGTGTTTGACATCAAGTGTGTTTTACATAGTGAGTCAGGTGTTTCTACATCAAGTGTGTTTTACATAGTGAGTCAGGTGCTTCACATCAAGTGTTTTTACATAGTGAGTCAGGTGCTAGACATCAAGTGTGTTTTACATAGTGAGTCAGGTGCTAGACATCCAAGTGTGTTTTTACATAGTGAGTCAGGTGTTAGACATCAAGTGTGTTTTACATAGTGAGTCAGGTGTTTGACATCAAGTGTGTTTTACATAGTGAGTCAGGTGCTAGACATCAAGTGTGTTTTACATAGTGAGTCAGGTGTTTGACATCAAGTGTGTGTTTTACATAGTGAGTCAGGTATTTGACATCAAGTGTGTTTTACATAGTGAGTCAGGTGCTAGACATCAAGTGTGTTTTACATAGTGAGTCAGGTGCTAGACATCAAGTGTGTTTTACATAGTGAGTCAGGTGCCAGACATCAAGTGTGTTTTACATAGTGAGTCAGGTGCTAGACATCAAGTGTGTTTTACATAGTGAGTCAGGTGCCAGACATCAAGTGTGTTTTACATAGTGAGTCAGGTGCTAGACATCAAGTGTGTTTTACATAGTGAGTCAGGTGCTAGACATCAAGTGTGTTTTACATAGTGAGTCAGGTGTTTGATATTAAGTGTGTTTTACATAGTGAGTCAGGTGTTTGGCATCAAGTGTGTTTTACATAGTGAGTCTCTTTGTGTTTATTAAGACAAGAAAAGAAAAGACATACTTCCAAAGATGTAGTGGTCATTACTCTTTTTGACAAAATGTAATGAAGTTGGCCTTGTATTGGCCATGCTCTGAAATTCTCTCAAATGTACTCTTGGCTTCACCTCATTTGAGAGCTGTGCTGAATTTTGACATGTACATTTCCACTTAAGGTGATGTCATGTTTTGTTTAATTCATTAGATTAGTGTTTTTAGTATTCATGAAAAAAATGTTGACTATCAACTCTGACATCAGTTTTTGTTCAGTGGTTGTCGACTGAATAAGTGTTGACTAAATATCCAGTTGAGGTTTTAATATCATTTGTTGATAGCTATTCATTACTTAATCTGAGGCTTCTATAGTGTTGACATTTTTTGCAACAGTGCCTGTCCTTCGTGAGCAACAGCACAGCAACGTCCCTGCTGTCCAGCGACGCCATCGAGTACTGTATGCAGGTTCTGCGCAACCTCCTGCCCTACTGGAAGAACTACTCCACCCCAGAGGTACATAGATACCCCTGGCGGGACTCTTGGGTAGAGTGTGGGCCCCCATTCCCCATTCTTTTAATTGACTTGGAGAACTGAATGTCCAACCTGGGCATGCTTGATGATTGTTCATGCTTTCAACCACGGTTTCAGTCCATGTGTTTCTGAAGACAAATTTGCCTGCAAGTTATAAACTCTATGTGATAATAAGATTAGATCACCCAAACATTGCATCAATACTTGGTTTCTAAGGCTTCTTCTTTAAGTGAAATTACATCTGAAACATAGATAATTGGAAGAAAGACATATGTCGAAGACCGTATTAGCTGAGTGTATCTTATGAACAAAAAATGGATTTTGTGAACATTGTGTTTGTTGCAGGAGGAGGGTAACACTACCCCCGGTCAGCTGTTGAAGCCACACCCCAACTGCCCACCCCCTGACATGTCCCCCTTCTTCCTGCGCCAGTATGTCAAGGGTCATGCTAATGATGTTTTCGAGGACTACCCTCAGCTGCTGACAGAGATGGTGCTCCGACTGCCCTACCAGGTGAGAAGACTTCATCAGCTTCCACTCCATAGAATAGGTCCTCAGTGTTCCAGGCTTCTTCCTGACTGATACGATGACTGTGAATTTTGGAAAGGAAGGGATTATTTCCCCTAAGTCAGATATAAAGAGGACTAGCTGTGCTAAATAATGAGATCCAGGCACTTGAAAGAATTTGTATTTCTGAAATATCAGGGGCGATGGTATCTTAGCTGTTAAAGTGTGTCCCCCACCATGATATTGCTGGAATATTGCTATAATCAGCATAAAACCCAGCTCACTCACCCACACAGAAATGTGAATGTATATTGTTACTTTGTTGGCGTTTTGCTCTTTATTGACAGACACAAGACCTGGCTGTTACATTGCTGTGTAAAGAATATTCACTTACTCACCAGATCTGCTCTGCCGTGACGTTTTTGCTATTCTTTATGAGCATGTTGACAGTTTTACAATCTAAAAGTTGCAGTAAATTATGTTCTTGAAATCCAATGACACATTGTCTTTCCTATTAGACCTTGTAGTAAATCATGGACATCTGGTGTTATTTCACGCTGATGTACCTGAGATTCCTTGTGGTTACACACCTGTCCTTCTTGCAGCTGAAGAAAGTTGCCGATGCAGTACATAATGTGCCCAGCGCCTCCTTCGAGCCCCACTGGCATTCAGTGCTGTCAGAGGTGAGTAGAGCCATACTTGGGCTTAAGGTCTTCCACTGTCATTAGTGTACGTTTTAAACATTCCAGTGAGTTTGAAAAGAGAGTGAATTTTAAACTTTTTCTACAAAAGTCTTTGCATTTTGATTCATTCTTGAAAGGCCATGAAAATATTTAAAGGGCATTGTTGAATTGTCCCAACTAATTCCGATCTGAGTATACTTACCTTAAAATAGGATCATTGTGTAAAGAAAAATGTTGAAATATTGATTCTTTTTTCTTTTCTTTTCAAACTAAATGTTTGGCAGCCATGACATGGAAAAATCCCCTTCTCTCATCGAAACTTGACTTGTCCAACCCCATGTTATGTGACCTTTGTGTGTAATGACATTATGCCATGGAATGTTTCAGTACCTGATGACACAGCAGACTCCATTTGTGAAGAGACAAGTGAGGAAGGTACGCTCTGACATAGTAATGTCGTCTTGAGTGATTTGTAGCTGCATGGTCTCATGGTCATGACCATCCAAGGGCCTCACAAACAGCGAAACAGCAGACTTTAGGTTCCTCCTGACAAAGACTGACCAGACATATTTTGTTTCTTGTTTACAAATGTTTTTGGCTTGCTTGGAACAACTATTAAATTGAAAAGTCTGAAAAGAATTATCTGTTGATAGTGCATTGTTTGTTTAGTTTCATCAGTCTTGTATTTTAATGTACTCTTTGTACCGTTGAAACATGAATTAGTCTGAGGTTTTTGTGATAAGCTGAGCTAATGAATATTTACACTAATATCTGCAAATATCTTAAATCCAAATAATTGAAACAGACTAATATAAAATTAACTTGACAAGTACATGTGTTCATACATTACCTCTTTGGAAAAAGCAGTGGCTATGTCATCTAAGGTACAACAACGTGTTTTTAACTGTCTTAAAGGTTATATTAAGCTCAAGAAGATAGATTTCCAGAGAGTCATGACTCCCAGTTTTCGTAGGCTTTGTTGAAACGTGACTGAGTCTCCCTCTTCATCCAGCTGCTGCTGTTCATTTGTGGATCGAAAGAGAAATACCGACAGCTCCGGGACATGCATGCCATCGAGAGCAACCTCCAGTCTGTGGTGGACATCTGTGAGAAGGGTGGACTGGATATCAGTGCTGACATCATTCCCCATGGTGTCATCCTCCCTTACGACACACTCCTTACTATGGTAAGTCTCCCTGACAACACACTCCTTACTATGGTAAGTTGCCCTGACAACGCACACCTTACTATGGTAAATCTCCCTGATGACACACTCCTTACTATGGTAAGTCTTCCATACGACACACTCCTTACTATGGTAAGTCTCCCTGACTCCTTACTATGGTAAGTCTCCCTGACACTACGGTAAATCTCCTTACTACTATGGTAAGTCTCCCATACAACACACTCCTTACTATGATAAGTCTCCCATACAATGCACACTCCTTACTATGGTAAGTCTCCCATACAACACACTCCCTACTATGGTAAGTCTCCCATACAATGCACTCCTTACTATGATAACTCTCCCATCTCCCACAGTGCACTCCTTACTATGGTAAGTCTTCCATACGACACACTCCTTACTATGGTAAGTCTTCCATACGACACACACTCCTTACTATGGTAAGTCTCCCATACAATGCACTCCCTTACTATGGTAAGTCTCCCATAATGACATCATACTCCTTACTGGTAAGTCTCTATGGTAGGTCTCCCATACAATGCACTCCTTACTATGGTAAGTCTTCCATGACACACGCCCTTACTATGGTAAGTCTTCCATACCGACACACTCCTTACTAATGGTAAGTCTCCTGACATACACACTCCTTTACTATGGTAAGTCTCCCTCCTTACTATGGTACGACACACACTCCTTACTATGGTAAGTCTCCCATACAACACACTCCTTACTATGGTAAGTCTCCCTGACGACACACTCCTTACTATGGTAAGTCTCCCTGACGACACACTCCTTACTATGGTAAGTCTCCCTGACGACATACTCCTTACTATGGTAAGTCTCCCTGACGACACACTCCTTACTATGGTAAGTCTCCCTGACGACATACTCCTTACTATGGTAAGTCTCCTGATGACACACACTCCTTACTATGGTAAGTCTCCCTGACAACACACTCCTTACTATGGTAAGTCTCCCCATACTATGACATACTCCTTTCTATGGTAAGTCTCCCCTGACGACATACTCCTTACTATGGTAAGTCTCCCTGACTATGACACACTCCCTTACTATGGTAAGTCTCCCTGACGGTACATACTCCTTACTATGGTAAGTCTCCCTGACAACACACTCCTTACTATGGTAAGTCTCCCATACAATACACACTCCTTACTATGGTAAGTCTCCCTGACAACACACTCCTTACTATGGTAAGTCTCCCCTGACATTTACTATGGTAAGTCTCCCTGACTACTCCCTTACTATGGTAAGTCTCCCCTGTCTCCCTATGGTACTCCTGATACTTACTACTCCTTACTATGGTAAGTCTCCCTGACGACACACTCCTTACTATGGTAAGTCTCCCCTGACAACACACTCCTTACTATGGTAAAGTCTTTACTATGGTAAGTCTCCCATACACATGCCTATGGTAAGTCTCCTGACAACACACTCCTATGGTAAGTCTCCCCTGACAACATACACTCCTTACTATGGTAAGTCTCCCATGACGACACACTCCTTACTATGGTAAGTCTCCCATGACGACACACTCCTTACTATGGTAAGTCTCCCCCTGACTACAAGTCTCCTGACGACATACTCCTTACTCCTTACTATGGTAAGTCTCCTGACGACATACTCCTTACTATGGTAAGTCTCCTTCATAACACACTCCTTACTATGGTAAGTCTCCCTGACGACACACTCCTTACTATGGTAAGTCTCCCATACGACATACTCCTTACTATGGTAAGTCTCCCATTCAACACACTCCTTACTATGGTAAGTCTCCCATACGACATACTCCTTACTATGGTAAGTCTCCCATGACGACACACTCCTTACTATGGTAAGTCTCCCTGACACACACTCCTTACTATGGTAAGTCTCCCTGACAACACACTCCTTACTATGGTAAGTCTCCCTGACGACACACTCCTTACTATGGTAAGTCTCCCATACAACACATTCTTTACTATGGTAAGTCTCCTTTACTACTATGGTAAGTCTCCCATACGACATGCTCCTTACTATGGTAAGTCTCCATACGACATACTCCTTACTATGGTAAGTCTCCCATGACTCCTTACTATGACATACTCCTTACTATGGTAAGTCTCCCATAACGACATACTCCTTACTATGGTAAGTCTCCCTTACTATGACTCCCATCTACATACACACCTCCTTACTATGGTAAGTCTCCCTGACGACACACTCCTTACTATGGTAAGTCTCTGCCTGACTATGACATACCATACCTTACTATGGTAAGTCTCCCATACGACACACTCCTTACTATGGTAAGTCTCCCTGACGACACACTCCTTACAATGGTAAGTCTCCCTGACTTCTGACTATGGTAAGTCTCCCCTGATCGCACACTGACACACCGCTTACCATAGTAAGTCACACATATGACACACTCCATACCATTGTAGTCTCTCTTACCACTTGACTGTGGAGATCAATGGCCACAGTCTCTTTGTTATTAGTTACCTTCCTTTTACACTCCAATGTCAAGAGGGGCGATGGGGTAGCCTAGTGGTTAAAGCGTTGGCTCGTCACGCCGAAGACCCGGGTTCGATTCCCCACATGGGCACAATATGTTAAGCCCATTTCTGGTGTCCCCAGCCGTGATATTGCTGGAATATTGCTAAAAGCGGCGTAAAACTAAACTCGGTCAGTCAGTCAGCCAATGTCAAGATGTGGATTTATCCAAGTCCTAGGAGTTAGCTGTGAATGGTTGTGTACCTAGGCAACCAAAGGTAGGTTTGGATCCCTGAAGATGTTGCTGAATTCGTCAGCACCAAGCTTGGACTAGTGGATTTCACCAGTGGATTTCACCAGTGTCCTGGGCCTGCATCAACTATCACTTACACATGAACTTAAACTTAAGATCCAAACTCAATCCTGTTCATGTGATCCAACAGCTGTGAGTCTCAGACATCTGACTCTGGAATTACATCATATTCTTCCGTTATTATAGTAGATTACAGGGACAAATCTACTCAAGAGTCTAATTCCTGTCTTTGTTTGATCGTAATTACTATGTACAAAGCACAATATTTTTCATGTGTTGGCAAAGATATAAAATCAAGAAAATTCATATCAGTGACAGCTTAATTCCTTGGGATTCCATGCTACTTATGCTCCCATTTGTTCAACATCACACAATAACTTCCTCTATGTTTCAGATTGAACATCTGAAGGTGGTGTACGAAATCGCATCATCTCGTCCCTGCAACTGGCAGACCTATTGTGAGCAGGCTCAAGGTGAGTACATTCACAAAGGTCTCCTCCATCAACAAACTACTATGTTATGTGACATTGAACTATACATTCACAATGGTCTGTTACACTACAGGGCCATTGATAAGGGTTGTTGCAAAACATTGTTGGCTCCGATAGTTTGTTGGTTAGGCTTGGTGAATCGGTTCACTGCATGTCATCGCACCCAGATTATGTCCTAATATACTGAACAACATTAGAAACGCACCGCCCATATAATAAGAAATATCCCCGTCAGACTGAAATGTACTGAGGATATCTGAGCATCATCGGTGCATTTTAGTGTGGTGCGTTTCTAATGTTGTTCAGTATACATAACATTAGTTTGTCATATATACAGACTGTATATATACAGACCACAACAATATATCAAATCGGCAGTCTTGAACAACATTCTATCGCTGTTGATCTGCAATTGGGAAAACATTACTGTGTAACAAGCTGGAGATTTATTCAAGTTTTACCAGTATTTGATCACTGGCTTCAGCTACGGAGATGGACTATTACCTCAGATGTACAAGTAACTGACATTGCCAGAAGCTCAGTAATATGTTGTAGTTATCTAACTCCCTCTATAATGTCTCTGACAGTGTTCCACACTTTGTTGCATTGTTCTTCAGACACCCTCCCCTTCCTGGTCAAGGCCAGCATCTCACTGGATGAGGGAGTGGCCCCCACCTTGCTGCAGTTGCTGCAGTCAGCACTGTGTGGCGTGAAGCCGTCCCCAGCGCAGAACGCGGCCAGCTCGTCCAGTAGTTCCACAACGTCTCCAGTCAAGCAGAAGAAGGACAAAACCAAAAACAAGAATGAAGAAGGTGATGCCAGCATGACATGCTTTGGTGTCTCACATTTGGCTCAAGTCTAATGAGGATCGTGTGTTTGACTTAGTTCATGCTGTGTGTGGTGGGGTAGCCTAGGGGTAGCCTAGGGGTAAAAGGTGTTCACTCGTCATGGCGAAGACCCGGGTTTGATACCCCACATTGGATCAATGTGTGAAGCCCATTTCTTGTTTCCACCGCCCAGATATTGCTAAAAGTGGCATAAAACCATACTAACTCACTAGTTCATCATGTTTCCAAATGTGCAAGATGAAATAAGGCTTGGTGAATATCATTATCTACTGGCTGTTGTGATATTGTCTGATTACTACTGCTGAAGTATTAAACAACAACTAGCTATTTATATCATTTCTGTTTCAATATTTGAAATAGATGTGTCAGTTTGATAAGGTTTACAGAGAGATTTGCAACCTGTGACTCTATGCTTTCTGCCCACATGGAGTTCACATGACATGATTTAAGGGAAACATTTATTCAGTGATAACTCGCTCACTCACTCACTCACTCACTCACTCACTCACTCACTCACTCACTCACTCACTCACTCACTCACTCACTCCACTCACTCACTCACTCACTCACTGTTGTTGATGTCCCTGTAGACTGCGAGGAGAGTCAGAAGTTTGATGAAACACTGTGCATCAGCCTGGTGAAGCTGCTCAACCGGGTGCTGGACAAAGGGCTCTTCATCAAGTTCATCAGGACATTCCTCCTAGAGTCCAACTCCAGTGGCAACAGATGGTTGGCCCACAGTCTAGTTCTGCAGATTTACAGGTAATCATAGAATAACTAAAAGAACAAAACATACTTAAGATTCGTCAGTCAGGCTTGTTGCATTGGTAGATTGAGTTCACTCATTCAATCATCATCTCACTCACTGTTCAGGAACACTACGTCTGAGGAACAGGAGACGATCCTGAACATTATGTGGGAGCTGTGGACAGAGCTGCCCATCTACGGCAGGAAGGCAGCTCAGTTTGTCGACCTCCTCGGCTACTTCGTGCTCAAGACACCAGACATCCCTGACAAGAGAGTAAGAATATTGTATTTCCAGATTTGTAATTTGCAGACTTCTCATGAAAGAGGTCATGAATGAGGGATTTTGGATTAAGTGGCCTAAAGGTCACATTTTGCTCTACAGAGTTGTTTCCCTTAGCTGTGACAGGGTTTTCAAAATCCAAACTGTGTGCCTATTATAGACAGACAGTACCATATTTGTGCTTGTTGGAACTGTTTCCCATTTATTTGGCTTTCCTGTCAATTTACATTTTGAGAATTCATATCAGTGCAACAATATCAAAACGAGTCGTTAAACCTGTTCAACTATATTGGTTGTTTTTATTGCCGTAGACGTTGGGCCGATTAACCGCCTATGATAAGGTCTAGATAATTCAATTGCTTACTAACTTCTAAGAGGTAACGTAATGTATCAGTCAGTCAGAGTCTGTTTCTTGGTTTATTGCATTACTCATAATATCGATCACTGGTTTGTCCGGCAAAGACACAATGGTGTTCAGGTCATTTAGTTCAGCTGCAATATTGCTGTCTGCAACATTATGAACAAACAATTATTATGTAAGTATTGTTGAAATTGGTGTTGTTGGCCAAACAATATTCATGCTGTAGAGGAGGTTTAAGATAATGGCTACCTTCCAGGTTGGGGAGTACCTTGAGAAAGCTGTGTCAGTGCTACGGGAACAGAACCAGGTGTTGGCCAACCACCCCAACGCAACCATCTACAAGTGAGTTCAGAGTTCTCAGACACATCCAGCAGTAGCAGTGTTTCTGTTGATTCTCATTCATATAGACATGTAGAAAGATGAATGAACACTTCATGTTCACAAGTTTGTATGATTTCAAACCTTGTACATCTTACTGTAGAGAGGATACTTCTGTTTTTGGAAATACTTGAAATTCTTTTGTAGTTTTTTAAATGGTCTTCTACTGTCTGGTACTGATCAATATTTGGTTTTAACCTTTTGAACCCATTATTCATACCTGATCATGTAAACCACTCGAGGATTCCAGTTTAGAATTGTTTAGGCAGAACTTCAGTGTGAATAATATTTGAGATAAAAAATGTTAGTCGATGCAGTTACTCCTGCATACACTTTTCTGGTCTTTTTCCCAACAGCTAAAAAGTGTCTGGTGAATCTGTAATGCTAGTATTGAAATGGGTCAGGCCCTATGACATTATTTGCCATAATGTGTGACTGTAAGACTTGTATCCATGGCTCTTATGTTGTTCTAACAGCATGCTGCAAGGGCTGGTGGACTTTGATGGCTACTACTTGGAAAGTGACCCATGTCTAGTCTGCAACAACCCGGAGGTCCCATATGCTGTGAGTAACCGCATGTAGAGTAGGAAGTAGCTTTCTTTGCTGTTATTATAGAAACCTATGGTAGTTGTAAGTATGGAAGAATTTCATATTCAAAATCTAAAAAGAATGGTGTATGTACTGCTGTCTGATTGGTTGATGAGATGTTTTAGGGGAATTTGAGGACCAATCATATGAAGTTTTTCACAGCTTTTAAAGTTTGTTCTTGAAGTTTGTCCTACGCATTCCATGCTGGTAAGTTTGTGGGAGTACCAAGGCAGAACTGGTCCCCAGCATGCCATGCATGATGCTGGATGGGGATTCCATGGCAGAACAGATCCCCTGTATGCCATTCTTGTCACACCTCTGAGGATACCAGGGTAGAACAAGTGTTCTGTATTCCAAGCCTGTGGGGGTGCCAGGGTAAATTTGGTTGTCAATATTCCACACATGTGTCCCTGTGGGGGTGCCAGGGTAAATTTGGTTGTCAGTATTCCATGCATGTGTCTCTGTGGGGATGAAAAGGTGGAGTGTAACCAAAATTATTTGAATATAGTTAATCAAATTGAAATTGGCTTTGTAGAGTCTGAAGTTGTCTGCTATCAAAGTGGATTCCAAGTTCACAACAACAACACAGATTGTGAAGCTGGTTGGCAGTCACAACATCTCCAAGATATCACTCCGCATCAGTGACCTGAAGCGGACGAAGATGGTAGGTTGTGTCTTTGTTGCTGGGGTCTCTGGAACTGCATATGAAGCCAACACTTCAGTATGACATTACCTCACAGATGTGAAGATTCTGGTTACGAATAGGGCTCCAAGTACCCCTAGTGTGTTTTTATAGATTGGGTGTTAAGGTGCTGTGACTGGAATAAAAACAACTTCCAACATGAATTGTACCCGTGAAGATCCGAGTTAGAATTGGTCTTCAGCAACCCTTGTTAGAGGCGACTATCAGGATCGGGTGGACAGGTGTGCTTGGTTGAGACATGTCACCGTATCCCAGTTGCGTAGATCGATGCTCATGCTGTTGATCACTGGATTGTCTGGTCCATTTTTGAATATTTACAGACTGCTGCCATACAGCTGGAATATTGCTGAGTGCGGCGTAAACCTAAACTTGATCACTCAAACAAACAAAGTAATGACTTTTAGATGAGAGTTAGTGACTTTTTGTATTATTGCTACCCACTGATAAGGATGTTTCATTTGAAACTTACCCACAAATAAGAAAGTCAGAGCAATGTAGGTTACAAGCCACATGTACAGTCCTGAAATATTCCTGTTACGGGGATAAGTTTACCAAGTATTGACAGACATATGCCAAATGTGAAGGTGTTACAATCACTAATAAATATTTCAAATTAGTTTATCATTGTTCATTTTCAACTCCACCAAATATGGGTTAATTTCAAGCAATATCCAGTTGTCTATTTGCTGTCGTGCAGGTGAGAAGTCTGAACATCTACTACAACAACCGCTCAGTCCAGGCCGTCGTGGAACTCAAGAACAGGTAACAGCTTCCCCACGGTCACATGCACCAGATCCAAAAAGACCACAATTGTCCTAAAAGCCCACTAACCTCATCAGGTGGTCAGAGGTGAGGTGAGGTGAAATTGGGTTTTACGTCGTGCTTGAGAATATTTTGCTCATATGACGACGTGCATGCATATGTATGTGTATGTGCGGCTGCTTGTACTAGCCCAGACTTAAGCTGGTTTTATAGTGCTAGCCCACTGAGACACCATGCCGCAGTGAAGCATGAATACTCCACTCAGACACATTATACTGACTCTGAGCCGACCAGTCCTTGTTGTAGCCATTAATGCCGAGCGCCAGGCAGGGACCAACAAGTACCATATTTTAACGTCTTTTGGTATGACGTGGTCGGGGATCGAACCCGCAACCTTCTGCTCTCCGGGCGGACGCTCAAACCACTACACCACGGAGGCGGTCTCAGGTGGTCAGACTCATGACTCGGTTGATGTAGACTGATGCTCAAGATGCATGTCAGTAACTTGATTGTTAGGTCCAGACTGGGGCGGTGGGGTAGCCTAGTGGTTTAAGCGTTCGCTCGTCACGCCGAAAACCTGAGTTCGATTCCCCACATGGTTACAATGTGTGTAGCCCATTTCTGGTGTCCCCTGCCATGATATAGCTGGGATATTGCTAAAAGCAGAGTAATACTAAACTAACTCACTCACTCACTGTAATGTAGCTGAGAGTGAAAACAAATACATGCACCAAGTCTGCCTATATTGGTTTTCAGTTCATTCTTGGTAATATAAAGAGACCAACTGCTCACTGGATACAATTATTTCTCACATACTTGATATTTTACTTACAGGGCTCAATGTCATAAATATTTATATGTGGTTAATTGTTGGGGGCAGTTGCTCTTCTTTTGTTTCTACTGTCCTTCCTGACATTGTTTACTTATTGAACATAATGTATGATGCTACATTTCAGACCTGGCCTGTGGCACAAGGCAAGGAAGGTGACTTTGACAGCTGGACAGACTGATGTCAAGGTGAGGGTCACATCTAATGATAGGTAGAAAGAAGAATCCAAGTTTGTCTTAAGAACGTGCTCAAAACTTTAGTAAGCTTGATTAAATTACTTTTTATTTTTGGTCTTGAAACTTGACTTGTAACACATAACATTCATTGTCCAAGTAGCTAGGGCTGGGACGATTCACCGATGCATCGGTTCAGTACATTTAAGTTTGATACAGCTATCGATTTGACTGGTGTATCGATACAAAAGCGATACTTCTTTTCAAAGAGTTTTATCTTAAACATGTTACTTGTTTGTTTATTACAATAGTGTTATTGTTCAAACTACCTTGAAATAAATCATTTTAAATCATGATACCGTGTCATTCTTTCAAGGCTATTCATTGTGTATACACATTGTGTATCGTCCCAGCCCTACAAGTAGCCAGGGATTACAAGGACCAGGATTCAAAGACGCATAAAAGCTGCCATTATTTTGTGGAACTCCAATCCCAATCTTGACTTTCAGCATCCTTTCAGTAGGTTTCTGCTTGTTTCTGTTCTACTATGCCAAATGTTTCTTTATCAGGTGGAGTTCCCAATTCCTATAGTGGCCTGCAACCTGATGATTGAGTATGCTGACTTCTTTGACAACCTACAAGCAACAGCTGAGACCCTACAATGCCCTCGCTGTAGCGCATCTGTCCCAGCCAACCCCGGGGTCTGTGGGAACTGTGGAGAGAATGTGTTTCAGTGTCACAAGTGCAGGTGAGGAGTCTGTTACATGCAACTCACCAATATCCACACTGTAGCAAATCTATCCCAGCCAACCCTTAGGTGTGGCAAGATGCAGCAAGATTTGAATCCCAAACTCACAGTTACATCCCTTGATTTGTCAGTGCCAAGACAGAATCAAGCTTTCTCAAATATTAGTTAGGGCTTTCCTCAGGGCGGTGAGGTAGCCTAGTGGGTAAAGCATTGGCTCGTCATACCGAGGTTCGAATCCCCACATGGGTACATTGTGTGAAGCCCATTTCTGGTGTCCCCACTGTGTTGCTGGAATATTGCTAAAAGCGTTAAAACTAAACTCAGTCAATCAGTGAGGGCTATCCTCCTTACCAGAGCTGACATACATTTATGATGAGAAATACTGTTAACCGTTATCATCAACACCCCCTTTCTGTGTTCTAATGGATAGAGGGACAGTATGGTAGCCTAGTGGTTAAATCGTTCACTCGTCATGCTGAAGATTTGGGTTCAATTCGTAACATGGGTAAATTGTGTGGAGACCATTTCTGGTGTCCTCCACCATGATATTGCTGGCTTTTTTCTAAAAGTGGTGTAAAACCAAACTAACTCACTCACTCACTCACTCTAATGGATAGAGTGTATGTCTATTAAGCAGTGGCTCATGGTACTTGTTACTCTGCCCTATATTCAATGGATGATACAAGGACTCACCAACCTTGCAGTAAGTTATTGTGTGTTTGGGGTAAACTGTGGGATGGTATCACAGGCTGGCGCTGTAAAATCTGCAGAAGTCCAGATTAGTACATAACTTCCTTGAGTGGCATTTTAGAAGTTGGGAAGTACAATATAGACAAAAGGCATGGAGAACAACTTTTTTATTTCTTGAGTGCGATGTTTCAGTACAGATTCTTGTACCGTTGTCAAGTAGTTATCCATAAAATTTGTCTGGATTGCAGATTAATACATGCAAACACAATCAGACATGCATGCTCATCACAGTAATATTGCAGTAATCTTGAACATGACACTTCACCTCACCATTCTCTCTGTGCAGAGCTATCAACTATGATGAAAAGGACCCCTTCCTGTGCAATGCCTGTGGTTTCTGCAAGTACGCAAAGTTCGAGTTCACTCTCACAGCCAAACCTTGCTGTGCCGTGGATCCCATCGAAAGTGAAGACGACCGCAAGAAGGCGAGTGTACTTATGTAGATATATGAATAAAGATACCATCCTTATGTGTGAGGATCAATCAACAATGGTTCAGTGTGATTGGTTCATATAAGATATACCACATTGCAATATTGTGCATATTTTTGAGGCATGGCTTATTTTACCTGGCTCCATCTGTTTTGAAGTTGAAGAGGGACAAAACAACCTCTCACACCCTAAATTTGTTTTTGATTGGTTTGTTGTTTAAGCCACGCGCCCAGCTATATTCCAGCTTTATGGCGGCAGCCTATAAATAATTGAGTCTGGAACAGGCAATCCAGTGATTGACATCATGACCCCACCACATAGCTGGAATATTGTTGAGAGCAGCGTTAAACAACAACCAACATGAGCACCCTCGATCTGTGCAGTTAGGATACAGTGTGTCAACCAAGCGAGCCTCACCACCCAATTGCGTTTGTCACCTATGTAGAAATCAGTCGTATTTGTTTGCAGGCCATCAGTACCATCAACAGCTTGCTGGAGAAAGCTGACAAGATCTACAAGAACCTACAGTCCCATCGGCCTCTGTTGGAGAACCTGCTTATCCAGGTAACGGAACACAACACTGACAGGATCGGGGTAAGTATATAGCCATACGTGTGGTATTACCTACTGGGGAAGGAACATCAAGTGTCATAGCTACATTATGTTTGTGCAAGATCTCTTTGCTTCAATGTTGAAAACAATATAGTGTACTGTCATCCTCTCTTTAAAAACTTAGTCACGATATGGCTGAAATATTGCCGATGTGACTTTAAATCTTAACTCACTCACTCACTCACTCTGATAAAGTTGTGTCAATGTGACTAGTGGGCAGATTTTGGTGAAATATTTTTCTATGGTTGCAGTTTCATGCACTCATCTTCAATTTTAAACTGGCAATGAAAAGTAAATAGAATCACCTAGTTGACATTGGGGATTACCTGTCATGTTTTAATGAAAATCTCCTTGTAGCATATTTGTTATTGTCTAACTGTAGCACGGGTTCATTGCTGTAAACTATGCACATGTTCTGATCACGCTTGCAATTTCATAAATTTGACACTTCATACCAATGATGCTGTTGAAGTTTGATGGCGTGCTTCTAATTGGGATGGGTGTGAGTAACCTCATGGTTACAACATTGGTTCACTACATTGGTTCACACCAAAGACACCATTATTCCAACATGGGTTCTATGTGGGGGGCCCTAGTGTCCTCCTACCTTGGTACTGATTCAACATTGGTGAAATCTGTGTAAGATTCAACATTGGTGAAATCTGTGTAAGATTCAACATTGGTGAAATCTGTGTAAGATTCAACATTGCTGAAATCTGTGTAAGATTCAACATTGCTGAAATCTGTGTAAGATATCTCTCCCTCTGTTTGTGGCAGGAGGTTCCCACCGCTGGAAGTGGAGGTGGAGTTCCAGCCAGTAGTGTCAACAAGGCCATACAGATGCTGGCTCAGAAGTACTGCGTGGAGTGCAAGACCTCCTTTGATGAACTCAGCAAGATCATTCAGGTGACAGTTGTTATATTATATTTTTCTTTCAAAAGGTTCCATGTCAGGAATGCAGGTAGCAAAGGCACTGTAAGTCCCCATGGTCCCTAGTATGGTGATCTACCTTCAGTTGTTGGCGATTACTGGCCCATTTTTACATTGTATTGTCGAAAAATAGTTTTCTACTTTTAAAGATATATGCTAGCTAGTTTTAACTCATTTTGTGATAATCTAGTGGTTTTACTGTCGTTCGTTGACAGGGTTTTATATATTATCTGTATTTATTATAAATTTAGAACTAGTTTTAGTCACGATATGGCTGAAATATTGCTGATGTGACTTTAAATCTTAACTCGCTCACTCCATGTCAGGAAATACTTAAACCCCTCAAGGAGAGATCTGATTTCCAGGGTTTTTCTGTTCAAGAAAAATAAATGACAGGTCTGTCTTATTTATACTGTTATAAACAGAATCTATTTTGTAATAGATGTTGATGGCTGTTTGTTGACATTAAGGTCCTGTTGGTAGTGTTGTATGATCCCTAACTCTCGGAATAATGTTATTATACCCTGACCCCATACAATAATGTTGTATGACCTTGGCCCCTACGAATATTGTTTTTTTCACCTTGACCCCTGAGAATAGAATTCTATGACCATGACCCTTGAGTATAGTTAGTGAGTGAGTGAGTTTAGCTTTATGCCACACTCAGCAATATGTCAGCTAAATGGCAGCGGTCTGTAAAGAATTATTTCTGGACCAGACAATCCACTGACCTCACTGTACACAGTATTGTATGACCCTGACCCCACAGTACACAGTATTTGTATGACCTGACCCGACAGTACACAGTATTTGTATGAACCTGACCCCACAGTACACAGTATTTGTATGAACCTGACCCCTTACAGTACACAGTGTATTTGTACCTGACCCCACAGTATTTGTATGACCCACAATACACAGTATTTGTATGACTGACCCCCACAGTACACAGTATTTGTATGAACCTGACCCCACAGTACACAGTATTTGTATGACCTGACCCGACAGTACACAGTATTTGTATGACCTGACCCCACAGTACACAGTATTTGTATGACCCCACCCCACAGTACACAGTATTTGTATGACCTGACCCCACAGTATTTGTATGACCTGACCCCACAGTACACAGTATTTGTATGACCCTGACCCCACCATACACAGTATTTGTATGACCCTGACCCCACAGTACACAGTATTTGTATGACTCCTGACCCCACAGTACACAGTATTTGTATGACCCTGACCCCAAAGTACACAGTATTTGTATGACCCTGACCCACCATACACAGTATTTGTATGATTCTGACCCACAGTACACAGTACACAGTATTTGTATGACCTGACCCCACAATACACAGTATTTGTATGACCCTGACCCACAGTACACATTATTTGTATGACCTGACCCCACAGTACACAGTATTTGTATGACCCTGACCCAGTGTATTTGTATGACCCTGACCCACCATTACAGTACACCTGTTGTATGTATGACCTGACCCCACAGTACACAGTATTTGTATGACCCTGACCCCACAATACACAGTATTGTATGACCCTGACCCCACAGTACACAGTATTTGTATGACCCTGACCCACACAGTACACAGTACATTTGTGTATTTGTAGTATTTGTATGACCCTGACCCCACAGTACACAGTATTTGTATGACCCTGACCCCACAGTACACAGTATTTGTATGACCCTGACCCCACAATACACAGTATTTGTATGACCCTGACCCCACAGTACACAGTATTTGTATGACCCTGACCCCACAATACACAGTATTTGTATGACCCTGACCCCACAGTACACAGTATTTGTATGACCCTGACCCCACAGTACACAGTATTTGTATGACCCTGACCCCACAGTACACAGTATTTGTATGACCATTACCCTAAAATACACAGTATTTGTATGACCATGACAGAAAGTACTGGCTTGTCGCCGGGAGCTGGTGGAGTATGACAGACAACAAAGAGAGGCTGTGGCTGTCAAGGGCCAGGAGATGTTCTTCGGGAGACAGGACTCCAAGGCTAAGGAAGTGGAGGCATGTGCTGCTGCCACGCCCCGCAGAGAGAAGGAAAGGTGAGAGACCTAGACATTGCTGCATGATAGTCCACAGTAGATACCACTGAAATTTCAAAAACAGGGTTTCACAATACATTTTAACATCCACGAGTTGTCAATGCTATAGCTGGTAAGAATGCCAGAAATAAAGGGAGCTTACTTCAGGAACTTTGTTGACCAAGTAGGAGCTGTGACATATACAGCATCGTCTTGTCTCTTTCAGCCTGCATCCAACCAATTGCTCTTTAAAAAAGGTCGTCTGTAATACAGCCTGTAAGAATGCTGAATGTAATGTGATCTTACTTCAGGAACTTTGATAGCCAAGTAGGAGCACTGACATGTACAGCATCGTCTTGTCTCTTTCAGTCTGCGTCCAACTAACTGCTATGGCTGTGCCAGCTCTGCAGTCGAGCACTGCATCACCTTATTGAGAGCCCTTGTCACCAACAGCAACATGAGGCAGATCCTCTGTAGCCAGGTAAGTCATAGGATGGTAGCCCATTGGTTAGTGCTGCTAAATTGAAGCTTTGGGTTTGATTCCCAGTTTGAGAATGACGTGTCAAAGAACCTGCTCTGACTATTCACCTGTTCAAGACACATGGGTACAAGTAAGGAGGTCATTCTTTGGGGCTGTTGAGTTACTGCTTATACGCCACTAAATATAGTACACTGTTTGGGTTTAACATCAGAATCCTATTTCATCAAGACATTAGTTTTTTAAATTAGTTATCTTGTAGTCATAATAGCGTTACCAATTCACCAAACAAGTACAGCATGTGAAGTTAATCTTGCAGTCTACCACTATTGAATCATTAGAATATTCCTAAAGTGACAGTCTGTGTCAAAAATTGTTTGAATCTGCCATGCCTAAACCTATTATTATACATCCTTTTTAGTAGATATTCATCCTTAAATGACATTCTTTTTCAGAGAGATCGTCCTTGGGGTACATATTATGCATTTTCCGGCTGAAAAATGTCCTGTGACAGTTGTATCAATGTTTTTTGAATAAAAAGATTGTACAATAAATAAACTCTTTTATTTATTATACGGACCCTACCTCACGGAGTTACCTCCCTTAGCGCATGCGCACCAACTGGGTAGGCTCCTAGACCCGTATCATCATTCCTTCTGCTGTCACTGCCGCGGAACAGACGTGTTTATAAAACGCACTTCATGAGCCGACAGCTGAAAGCTACTAAGAAAGCTATGTCTGAGACACCACCTGTATGTATGGTCTTTATTTGCCTAAAACAAGGAACAGTAAAGCTTTACAGTTGGTTGTTTCATAATTGTGACTTTGTATTAATACAAAATACGCCGAACTTTCCCGTGGTTACGCGACGCGGTTGCTCTGCCATGGCGGAAGTTTAGCGCCATGTGGTCGTAATATTGCGATTAAAACCAACTATTACTTTCCGCGGTAACCTTCACGTAAGTTTTTCAATGTTTTCTACGCGTTTATATGCTGCTGGCGCGCTAACCAACATGTTTGCGTGTTTGTTTCAGGCCTTTTCATGCTGTTCGGTCTGTGAGGGGAGTATCCCCGGGCCGACAGTCATACCAGCTGGCGCGGCCTGTCTGGAGAAGACAGGCCATGAGGCTGACTCCTGCACTATTTGTCTGGCCTTTTCCCCCGGCCCAGAAGAGGCGGGCTGCCGACACCTTGTTCTATCGCGAAATGCGGAGAGGCGGAGGGGACCTGACGCAGGTTCCCCGCCTAAGTCCAAACGTGTGTGCAAAAGGAAAAATCCCGTGGCCTCTTCCTGCTCTCCTGCTTCGAAAGTGGTTTTGACATGTCACTGATGGAGTCTATGTTTCAGCAGCAGATGGACTCGATGAAGTCCTTCGCTCATGAGTCGGTTTGAGGTCTCCGCAGGAGTTCCTCACCCACCCGACGGGGCGGAGAGTCCGGGTGGGATCGCTGGCTCGCTCGATCCCTCGGCCTTGAGGCGCCTGTAGATCCGCTGCCTCTGGCTTCGATCCGGACGCCGGCTGCTCCGGAGAGGAGGTGCTCCCAGTCCCCTCTCGAGCTCGCGCCAGGGCCGCTGAGTATTCCTGGTATTCCGTCCTTGCGCACACCCGCCCCATGAGAGCCGAGGCACCAGTTCTGCCTGGCCTGCCTCCAGCGCCTCGACCGGGTCCACGCGCCACGCCGCTGGCGCCGACGCGGGAGCAGTCTGTCTGGTCTTCCCTTCCTGTGGTTCCTAGCGCTAGGGCAGTCCACCGGGTCGGGGTCCCTACTTACGAGGAGACTCCTCTGACTCGGGACGCCGAGGCAATGGCGCTTGAGGAGGTCGAGGAGCATGACGGGCGCTTCCGCTTTGCTTCGCCTTATGGGAGGTCCGCAGAGAATTGCCGAGGGCCTCTACCCCAGGCCGCGGTGCCTGCTGGTTGCGTGGACTCGACTGAGTTCCGCTTTGCCTGGCGAGGCGCTTTGCCCCTCAGGGCAACCCTCACAGACGCAGCTCGCGATTCTGCCATCGCTGGTCTCGGACGCGGTCGATCCCCTTTGTCTGGTGCCCGGTAAGGTTTGACTTACCTGAACTCGCGGCGGGCGCTACCAGCTTGGGGAGGATTCCCTGTTCGTTGTACCAATTGTTGACGAATGTGTTTTCACTTCCGCGCGCCTCTGGGGAGGCTCGGCTTCCTCCGAGCAGCTCCGCTGCTCGGCAAGGGCCCTCACTCCACCTTTTGCCCTCGCTGGCGCCTCTGCGGCACGCCGCATCGACCTACGAGGAGGTCTACCGAACGCCGATGCAGCAGGTGCGGTGGTGGTCCATGAGGCCTACCTCTCCTCGGTTCAGAGGTCGGCCCTGGAGGCGGAGGGCATGCTGGCTAATGTCGTGTCGCCGCGATGTCGCGGCTGTTCGGCCAGCTGGAAGTGCAGGCTCACCTCGCTGCCGACTCTTTGCGGTCTGCTGCGCGCCGACGGTGATGTGCGAGTCATGGGGATGCGCAGGCTGTGGCTGTCGACGCCTAGGTACTCGGCAGCAACACAGCAGACCTTGCTGGCCCTCCCTTCCGCCTGGGAGCCACCTCTTTCCAGGGGCCCAGCAGGTCATACGGAGGCTGCCGCTGCAGCTACTCTCCTTCAAGGACTCTAAGGCCTTGTTGGAGCACCCGCGGGTGTCTCGCCCGCGCCCCCGCGCTGCCACCTTCCTCCGCCGGGTGCAGCCTACACCGAAGTCTCGCCGGGCTGGCTTCGCCGCTTGGTAGGGTAGGCGGAGGAACAGGTCCGCTTAAGGGTAGGGGCAAGGAGCAGTCCTCGACCAGCTCCCAGCCTTTCGGCGCGCTGGAGGTCTGCCCCGACCTCCCGTTAACCCATCAGGCTGCCGCCGCCAAGCCGTGTCACGCCAGTCAGCTCCGCTTACGGGTCTACACACGCCCTACCCTACCCCATATCCCAGTGGGAGGTCGCCTTCTATTCCTGCCGGAATGGGAGAAGGCTACCAACAACGCTTTGGGTGCTGGCCACGGCCAGCATAGGCCATCTCCCACTGTGGAAGCGAGGTCCACCCGACTTCACCGGCATACGCCGCGACTCCGTGCCGCCATGTCAAGCCAGGGCGGACATATTGCGCGACGGTTCAGGCTCTGCTGGACAAGTCCGCAATCGAAATGCATTCCACCGAGAGGAACAGGCGGGATTTTATTCCACGCACTTCCTCGTCCCGAAGAAAGACGGCGGGTTCCGTCCGATTCTCAACCTCAAGGGGTTGAATCGCGATGCTCGGCACCATCCTTCAAGATGGAGACACTGCGCCGGTGATCTCATCTCTGTTCAGCCCGGCGATTGGCTCACGCCAATCGACCTAAAGGATGCGTGATTCAGATGTATTCCATACATCCATCGCTCAAGCAGTACCTTTGGTTCTCTTTACGACGGATGTATTACCAATTCAGGGTGCTCCTTCGGCATATCGACTGCCCCAAGGGTGTTCACCAAGCTCATGTTAGTCCCAGCTACCCTAGCTCGCTGCGCAAGGAAGGCGTTGTTACCCTTACCTAGACGACTGGTTGCTCGGAGCATCTAACACAGCCAGCGAAGTCAAGATGCTACTCACACAGTGATAGACATTCTAACTCGACTGGGGTGGATCATCAACCTCAAGAAATCCGGACCTGGTACCCACCCAGGACTTGGTTTTTCTTGGAGCCCGATTCCAAACGAACAAGGATCTCGCTTTCCTTGTCGCCCGACCGGGTCACCAGAGTTCGGGAGATGGTCTCTTCATTCCTCTCCCAGCCCCAGGCACCAGCACGGACTTGGCTCCGCCTACTGGGCCATATGGCGCGACGATCTCTGTAGTGTGGCGGGCGCGGGTTGAGGATGCGCCCCATACAGCAAGCTTTGGCTCGGCTGTGGACTCACACGGAGGATCTGGAGCGCAGTCTCACAGTCCCCGAGTGGTTGACACCTCACCTTCAGTGGTGGACAAATGTCGGAATCTCACCAGGGGTTCCCCTTGAAATCCCGGACGCCAGCTCTCACAGTTCAGACAGATGCGCCCCTCACGGGCTGGGGGCGTTTCTGGGCAGTCTGTCGGCTTCGGACTCTGGTCCGAAGCCGAAGCTCACCTTCACATCAACGCGTTGGAACTGAGAGCTGTGCGTTGGTATTCGAAATGCTTCAGAGAGCATGTCCGTGGCCAGGTAGTCCGCCTTCAGTTAGACAACCAGACGCCATGTCGCATATCCTGAAGCAGGGAGGCACGGTGTCCCCAGCGCCCGGGAAGCGGGGACTTTCTCCTCTGGAGCCACCAGTACGCATTGTCAGGTACTCCTGTTTATCTCCCCGGGCTGGAGAACGTGCGCGTAGCAGATGCGCTCTCTCGCCGATCCTTGGCCCCGCATCGAGTGGATGCCTCGACAGGCAGATATTCACAGTAATCTCCCAGTTGTAATGGGTCGCTCGAGGTGGATCTGTTTATGCCCGGGCGGACGCATCAGACACCCGTGTTCTGCTCTCGGATACCGGACCCAGGGCGTTGGCTGCCGACGCCTTCCTGCTGGATTGACGGGCAAAGTGCTCTGGGCGCCCCGCGCCGTTACCACTCATTCCCCGCGGTCCTTTTCACAGCTGTCCACCCAGCCAGCTCGGGCTACTTGTGCTACTGGCACCGCTTTGGCGCCACAGAGCTGGTTTCCGGTAATTCTCAGGTTTCTGCTCAGCCTCCTGTTCTATTACCTTTGGCGACCGACATTCTCACTCAGAACGGAGCTTCCCACCCAAATCCACGGATTCAGTGGGTGGCTTGGCCTCTGTCAGGTCTAACCTCGAGGCATGCGGAATTCCTGCAGCAGTTGCAGACACAATTCTGGCTTCGAGGCGGATTCGACAAACGCTCAGTACGAGGATAGGTGGTCCCGCTTATGCGCCGCTGGTGTTCAGATAAGGGGATTGCAGATCCCTTTCTGCGGATTTAGTCCGGTATTGGAGTTTTTGCAAGCTTGTTTGGAAGAAGGCCTGGCGGCTTCGACCATTCGGGCTACTCCACCGCTATTTCCACTTTTCACACCCCTGTCGATGGTGCTCTTCTGGGGCAGCACCCTCTCGCACAGCGCCGCTTTCTGGCTGGCGGAACGGATTCGACTCTGCTCTCAGGCGAACCAGTCCACCTTGGGATTTGTCGATCGTGGCTCGATTGGCTGTCCGTCCCACTTTCTCACACCTATCGGCTATTTCCATTCAGTTGTTGACCTGGAAAGCTGTTTTTCTGGTGGCGGTAACATCTGGTCGAAGGGTCGGCGATTTACATGCTATGTCGTCCGACCCGGCGCTGACTGTGTTTCACACGGATCGTCAGTATTCGCCTCCCAGATACTTTACCGAATCGGCTTCCGATCACGCTTCCATGTGACAGCTCCTATCGAACTTCCTACTCTTACCCAGCCTTCCACATCGGGACCACTCCTGAGCACTCACCCGCTGGATGTCCGTGAAGACGCCAAAGTGTATCTCAAACGAACGCAGGGGATCCGTGCATCGGTACCCAGCTGTTCTGTTGTTACGGTGGAAGGCTGGTCTGCCAGCGAGCAAGCAGACTTTGTCTCGCTGGCTAGTATCGTGTATTTGTGCCGCTTATCAGGCTAAGGGCAAGCCTCCCCCTGAGGGGTTGAAGGCTCACTCGGTCAGGGCAGTAGCCGCATCAAAAGCTTTGCATCGGCACTCCCATTGAAGAGATCTGCTCCGCCGCTTATTTGGAGCCGCCGCTAAGCACGCTTATATGCCATTATCAGCTCGATACGATTCCCGTGTCGTGCAAACTTTGGTCAGATTGTTCTCTCCAGTGGACAGTGTCCTGCCACCCTGACCGAGTGAGTCTTGGTTTATTGGTTTGTTTTGACGCTACTGTACAATAAGATTCCATTATTGACATGTCTGCTAATGTGAGCTCACTCAGAGAACCTGTACCCCTTTCGACTTCTACGGAGTTACTGTATCGTTAGTGAGTGGTATTTTGTTTTCCCTCACGGGGTGCTCTCATGAAAGAAGCCACTTAGTGGGTCGGATTTCGTTGATATTCGCACTCACGCAATGTCTCATTATGCTAGAGGTCGCCTTTGAGCACAAATCCTCCCTGTCAGTTCCTCTCCATAATGCCTCTCGCTGAAGCTTAAACTGGGTCGAGTGACAGGTGAGTGTTATGGCGCTCTGTTCAATTTTTTTCCATGATAATGACGCTATATTTTGAGTGTGCTTGGACAGAATTCCTCCTCCCTGGCCTCCGGTCTTTGGGAGTCTGTGTTTATGCATAATATGTACCCCAAGGACGATCTCTGAAAAAGAATTAACCAAACCTGCAGAGGTTTTCAATTCTTTGAAGAGAGTCGCCCTTGGGGTAGGGCCTCCCACCTCCCCAAGAATTCTGTTCACTGATAAGAATTCAGCAGAAGGAATGATGATACGGGTCTAGGAGCCTACCCAGTTGGTGCGCATGCTCTAAGGGAGGTAACTCCGTGAGGTAGGGTCCGTATAATAAATAAAAGAGTTTATTTATTGTACAATCTTTTTATTCAAAAAACATTGATACAACTGTCACAGGACATTTTTCAGCCGGAAAATGCATAATATGTACCCCAAGGACGACTCTCTTCAAAGAATTGAAAACCTCTGCAGGTTTGGTTAAGTTGTTATCATCTAAGCTTGATTCCTGATTGAAAATTATTTTACAAGATAATGGATTCAGACAAATGGTGGGAAAGAAAGGTAAGTCCATACTGATTAAGTCATTCCATGTCTGTATGTATGTGATGAAACATTGGAGATGGTCTCTGCCAGGGAATGATCCAGCAACTGATTGACTACAACCTGCGTCACGGCACCCTGCCTGTCCGCAATGAGGTGCGCTCACTGCTGTGTCTGCTGACCAAGGACAACCGCCGGGGCACGGAGGAGATGAACAACCTCATTATGACCAGGATCACTGCTGCCATCAAGGGACATCAGTCCAACCCTGACCTGGTAGGCCTCACATTGAATTCGTATGTGCAAGGTTCTCATTGCTGCCATCAAGGAAGACCACCTTTCACTGCTGATTATCCCTAATCTAACCCTAACAATTAAGATCAAACATGTGCCAACAGTAAAGGGGCAAACATTAACTAAAAACAAGAATACTGTGTCAAGTGATAACATTTATGATTTGTTCACTTGACATTATCATGAGAAGACCCGTGAAGGTCCGGGTTAGAATGAACCTTCAGTAACCCATGCTTGTCGTAAGAGGCGACTAACAGGATCGGGTGGTCAGGCTCTCTGACTTGGTTGACACATGTCATCGGTTCCCAATTGCGTAGATCGATGTTCATGCTGTTGATCCCCGGATTGTCTGGTCCAGATCCGATTATTTACAGACCGCCGCCATATAGCAGGAAGATTGCTGAGTGCGGCGTAAAACTCAACTCACCCACTCTCATCATGAGACAGACTTTGTATGCATGGGACCACATCTTGACCAGACCATCTTGTGACAGCGAGTTTTATATCACTGCCTCAAATTAAGTAATCAGCTTTAGGTTCAACATGGGCCTTAAAGAGCCTTACATACTTCTGTAAATGTGTACCAGATGATAAGTTGATTGTGTTGTTGCAGGGTTCATCAGTGAGGCACGAGATCCTGCTACTTGCCAGCTCCCTCAATCAGGACGACACCTGCTGGGAACAGAGAGTGAGATGTGGTATGTCTCTAGCCAGAGTAACATGTGATGAGTCACCAACCCTGGGTGCAGCTCTCAATGTCAACCCCTGGTCTGTATGGACCTGTTGCTCATGACATCAATCACTGTCTAGATGACCCAGGGGTTGATAGTATGAACAACATCTGTTGCTGTCAGGGTACAGAGAGACACAATGAACAAGACATGCATGTGCATAACATTATTGTAAAACAAACAAAGAGCCAGTCTGTGACCTTAAATGAAATTTTCACATAACTGAATTGTGTAATAGTAGTGACCCACATCTAAGAAAATCAGCAAAGGTGAAAGACTTACTCATAGTGGTATCATTCGAATAGTTGTTAATGACAGTGAATAGTTCTTAATGTAGTGAATTTTTGTGTGTCTTCTGTAAACTGAATAAGGGGATCTGTGATGCTTCCAGCATTGGAGTCACATTTGGCCAATTTGCCTGAAACTTAGTGTTTCACTGTGCAGAAGAGCATTCCTCTGACATGCCAGAATGTTGTGGTGGTATTAAACTCACTCACTCACTCCTCCCTCATACCCCCAGTGATGCGGCTGTTCCTGATGGGGATGCACATCAAGAGCCCTGTCATCATGGAGAGCATCACACTGCCCTGTCTCCGTATCCTGCAGAGTCTTGTCAGAAATGATGGCGTCATCTTCAAGAAAAGGGTGAGTTTAGGGTTTTTATTGTAAAGAACTTTTATCCAATATTCTTCACCAGGGCCTAGATTTGTTTAGCTCTCTTAGAGTTAGATAGTCATAAGCTAATGTTAATGTATGGCACTTATTACTATCTTAGCTTTAATAGAGCTTCGAAAATCTAGGCCCTGACTTTTAAAATTGTTGTACAGCTTCTCCTCCTACAGAAAATCATCCAGCAGGAGCTGTTATTTTCCATCTGCTGAGCACAGAGTTGTTCACAATAAAAGATAGCATGCTGTAGATTAAACTCCAAAAACTATGTAAACATATCCCTCTTGAGAAGAGTGTTATGTAATGTCCTATTTAATGATGCACATGCTAAATCCACCAAAAAATGACGGGGTTGGAAATGTGTGCCTCAAGCTACAAAATACCAATATATTGCTTACATAAAGATAGTAATACCAGTTGAGGATTTCCAATTGGCTAAGTACACAACAGACAAGATTTTAAGTAGATTTCAGTACTCAATGGTAGCCCAGTAGGCTTGATCCAAGTTGATTAAATAGTGAAACATTTAAACCAGAAACATGCTACTTCAAGACAAATGTGAAGCCGTTACAATCATCCCTTTACAGGAGGGCTGTGAGGCTGGGATCAGTGAGTACCTGTTGCCGCCAAGTTCCACATGGATGTGAAGCAGTGGCTAGCTGGAGACCCTCGCTACTCGTACTGTCAGTGGAGGAAGAGGCTGCCTCGGAGAGGTGAGTCCCTTTGATGTTTCTATGTTATTTTGGGGGACACAGATTGTAAACAGTCTTGAAACTACAACTGTCTTGCTTGAATTTCACAAATGGGTTGAATATCTGAGACTTGTATCCTCTCACTGTTTGCCTCCCACATAAAGCTGGCATGCTGTAATGTTGTGTTGTTTAAATAGGAGTTAAAACCAACTCTCTGAGTTCAATTGCTTATTAAAACGATGACTGTCCAGCTGTCACTGAGGAGACAGAGACAAAGAAGGAGGAGGAGAAGAAAGAGGTCCGTGCTCGCTACCTGATGGAGAAGTATGGGATGAGGTGGCAGCAGAAGATGTGGAAAACGCCGGCCATCACGCTGAAGCTGACTCAGAACACCTGGTTGCAGCAGGCCATGTTCTCCCCATCTTCCCGCTCCGCTCGACAGACTGCCTGCAGCATCATCGAGGCCATCGCTCAGGTGCCCAGCCGAAGGAGAGAGGTCATGGACATGATCACAGGGTGAGGAGCATTTGGTGAATAACTGAAGGTCTTGGCTACTTAAGTTGTTGGGGTTGAATACAGGGTGTGGACTATTTGCTGAACAGTGTATTGGGTGAGTGGGTAGTGTAGTGGTTGGGGGCTCATCACAAAGTGAGGACTATTTGCTGAACAGTGTATTGGTTGGGTGGGTAGTGTAGTATTGTGGGGCTGATCACAAAGTGAGGACTATTTGCTGAACAGTGTAGGGGGTAGGGTAGTGCCTGACTGCAGGCTGACTGACCAGTGTAGGTGGGGTGTAGGTCTTGATTATAGGGTGTGGACATTTGATCATTTACTGATTCACTGTAGAATGTGGCTAATGGTGTAGTGCTTGTTTATTGATGTTTTACTATTTGTTTACCTGTGTACGGGTGGTGGTTGTGCATAATCATTGCTTTTTGACACTTTTCTTCAAGTACTGTGTGATTGCAGATTATGGACACTTGGTCATTTACTGACCAATTGAAGGGGTAGGGTCCTTTATCAGGATGTCAGGTCACTCGATCCTTTACTGACCAGGCCTCTGTAATCATGCCACTTGACAAATTGTATTTGTGTGTTCAAGAACACCATTTACTTCTTATAACCATCTGTGCCCTACATCCTAAGGATCCACCCCATATTCAGCTCGCACATCATGATACATGTATATATATGCCCATTTACTACATCATCCTATCCTGATGCTGTGTCAGGTGCCTGGATGAGGTTGGGAGGAGCGGGGAGTGTGCCAGTGACTTCCTGTGTATGTACAAGAGACTCATCATCCCCGACTACTGGAAGTTCTACCTGGCCATCAAGGGGGTGCTGCTGCACCTGGGGGACCTCATCACCAGGGTAAGTATTTCTCATGGGACCCATGAAGATCTGGGTTAGAGTTGGTCTCCAGCAACTCATGCTTGTCGTAAGAGGAGGCTAACTGGGTTCTGGTGGTCAGGCTTGCTGACTTGGTTGAAACATGTCATCATATCCAAATTGTGTAGATTAATGCTCATGCTATTAATCACTGGATTGTCTGGTCCAGACTCGATTATTTACAGACTCTCCGCCATATAGCTTGAATATTGCTGAATTCATCATTTAACAACAACCAACCAACCAATTATGCTGATGGGTGAAGATAATGTGCAAGAAAGATAGCCAGGATGTGGCCATATTGCAAGTGGTTGCAGTGTAGACATGTGTAATGAAAAGGGCACTGTTTAGAGTTTACGCTGTTTATTGTTGTATTTGTTTTTCAATTGTATGATTGTAATTTCTTTCAGGAAGTAGAACATCTTGAATATCTGGAAGAAACAACTCTCAGTTCAGACCTGGCTCAAGGCTTTGCTCTCAAGTCCCTTACAGGTAGGTTGGCAACCATGAACAAACAACATTTGGTGCTTCATTCAGTCTTAAAAATAAGTCATGTAGTGTAATCAGGTAGTGGAGAGCTATCTACCCAGCATTAAACTCCAGGGCTATATTTTCGAAGCTCTCTTAACGCTAAGATAGTCGTAAGTGCCATGCATTAACATTAACTTACGACTATCTTAGCGTAAGAGAGTTTCGAAAATCTAGGCCCTGATTCCTAAGTTTACTATATAGTTGTAAATGGACAAAATGAAAGTAATGCACACATATTTCTCAATATAAACCCTGCTAGAATGTCTCTCATTCAGACTGCCATACAGCTGGAATATTGCTGAGTGCGGCGTTACACAACAACTTTAGATTTCAGTCCACTTGTCCAGTTAAGACTTCCCTCTTTATATCCTTGTAAGCTCTGCTAAACGTTTGTGTTGTGTAGTATCCCAAATCGCATGAGTCCGACAGAACTAAAAAGGTTTTGGAGAAAGCTTGAAAAGTGGATAGTTAATCTTCACATACAGTTAGACTGCTGTCGTTCTCATCAAGTGTGGCAGATGGAAGTAGTTTGATGTGTGTCCTCATCCACAGAGCTGCTGTCCATGTTTGTGTTTAAGTTATATTCCAAACGCCTTAATCAGACAAGACTAGATAGTTTTTTAGGGTGTTTGTAAGTTCGACTGTTAAGCTTAACATGTAGTTAGACTGCTGTCATTCTCATCAAGTGTGGCAGATGGAAGTAGTTTGATGTGAGTCCTCATCCACAGAGCTGCTGTCCATGTTTGTGGAGCAGGAGATGCTGAAGCAGCACTACAAGAACCGCCTGGTGGGCTACATCCTCAACGGCTACCTGTCGCTGCGGAAGCTGGTCGTGCAGCGCACCAAGCTCATCGATGAGACCCAGGAGAAGCTGCTGGAGCTGCTAGAGGAACTCACCACAGGTAATCACAGAATACTAGTGAATCACCACACACGCAACACCGGTTTACCTGAAACAGAAGATGGTGGTTAACTACAAGTAATCTCAGGACACTGGTTGCTCATGATACACAGTACACTGCCTCACATATCACACGACACTGACTCAACCTACACAGAACAGTGACTAACATTTCACACGACACTGACTCACATATCACACGACACTGACTCAACCTACACAGTTCACTGACTCACATATCACCTGCCACTGACTCAATCTACACAGAACACTGATTCACATATAACATGACACTGACTCAACCTACACAGAACACTGACTCACATATCACACGACACTGACACAACCTGCACAGAACACTGACTCACATATCACACGACACTGACTCAACCTGCACAGAACACTGACTCACATATCACACGACACTGACTCAACCTGCACAGAACACTGACTCACATATAACACGACACTGACTCAACCTACACAGTACACTGCCTCACATATCACACGACACTGACTCAACCTACACAGAACACTGACTCACATATCACACGACACTGACTCAACCTACACAGAACACTGACTCACATATAACACCACACTGACTCAACCTACACAGAACACTGTCTCAACCTACACAGAACACTGACTCACATATCACACGACACTGACTCAACCTACACAGTACACTGACTCAACCTACACAGAACACTGACTCACATATCACAGTACACTGACTCAACCTACACAGAACACTGATTCACATATAACACGACACTGACTCAACCTACACAGAACACTGACTCACATATCACACGACACTGACACAACCTGCACAGAACACTGACTCACATATCACACGACACTGACTCAACCTGCACAGAACACTGACTCAACCTACACAGAACACTGACTCACATATCACACGACACTGACTCAACCTACACAGAACACTGACTCACTTATAACACGACACTGACTCAATCTACCCAGTACACTGACTCACATATCACACGACACTGACTCAACCTACACAGTACACTGACTCACATATCACACGACACTGACTCACATATCACACGACACTGACTCAACCTACACAGTACACTGACTCACATATCACACGACACTGACTCAACCTACACAGAACACTGACTCACATATCACACGACACTGACTCACATATCACACAACACCGACTCAACCTGCACAGTACACTGATTCACATATCACATGACACTGACTCAACGTACACAGAACACTGACTCAACCTACACAGAACACTGACTCACATATCACACGACACTGACTCAACCTGCACAGAACACTGACTCACTTATAACACGACACTGACTCAATCTACCCAGTACACTGACTCACATATCACACGACACTGACTCAACCTACACAGTACACTGACTCACATATCACACGACACTGACTCACATATCACACGACACTGACTCAACCTACACAGTACACTGACTCACATATCACACGACACTGACTCAACCTACACAGTACACTGCCTCACATATCACACGACACTGACTCAACCTACACAGAACACTGACTCACATATCACACGACACTGACTCAACCTACACAGTACACTGACTCACATATCACAAGACACTGACTCAACCTACACAGAACACTGACTCACATTTCACACGACACTGACTCAACCTACACAGAACACTGACTCACCTCAGGTAATGTAGATCCTCGGTGGAGGCACCTAGGTTCAGGTCCTGAGGTGGGCACATTTGTGTAGTGTCCTTGGACAAGATACTAAGATCAACATTGTAAAATGGGTAACCGTGAGGATGTGCTGGCAATGTGAGTGTTTAGTTCATTGCGCCTAACAGGCAGTATTGCTGTATGATCCCCAGGGAGTTGAAAAAGTATAGGAAAGTACGATAGTGTCCTATGACCGGAAATAGTAAAGTACATAGCGCCGTGAGCAGGCAATGTGCCTGGATATGAGCGCCATATATAAGCTTACTATTACTATTACTATGACTGCCTCAGCTCACACACAAGACTTCACCAAACGGAAATCAGAAAACTGCCTCACTCACAGCTAAAAATATAGTCTACTTTAGTCAGATGTTTACCCTTCACAGGGAATAGATTGATTGAGGCCTGTTTAGTCCAGCTAACACAATATTCTTGTCATATCTATGGTCCAATCTGTTACAGGCACTGACAGTGAGACAAAAGAGTTTATGGCTGTGTGTGTGCAGACAGTCAAGAAGTACCCCCTCAAGGACAACCGTTCACCTGTCTTCATCTTCGAGAGACTCTGTAGCATCATCTACCCGGTAGGTTCAAAGCAGGAAAGACAAGGAAAAAGTGTGGGAATAGCCTGTGAATCAAGCACCTGCCATGGTCTGGTCCTCAAAGTTATCTTCCTGTTAAGAATATAGTCTATGTTGAAGCATCTGGGTTCCTTAGGTCTTATGACTGTTAATGTCACACTTTTATGTGAAGATACGGGAGCAATTAGACATACCTGGGCTGTTCGTTGCCACGTTTTCACTCATATAAACCGTTATACCAGTTCAAGAGTCCGGTTCCACGAAACGATCTTAGCACTAAGGCGATCCAAACACCAATACTTTGACATAAACTTACCAAAACCTATCACTAAGATATCTTGTGGAACAGGATGTCGTTGTACAAAGTGATCTTAGCGCTAAAATGACCATAACTCCCACACCGTAACACAGACTTAAGGTAGTCTTACCACTAAGGTTGTTTTGTACAACACCACCCTTGACCCCGAAATGACAGTCGTCATAGTATGAGTCAAGATAAGTATGTTATGACATGTATAATGAGAACGCTTGTCGGATATAGTCCCAGATTACTCTGTACTCAGGGATAATATACTGAGTGAAAGCAAATAAGGAACACTGTGAAAGGAATCAGTTGCCTGAAACAGCATTCTGTATATCTTCGCTAATACTTTATTTATGATTACCAGGAGGAGAATGATGTTGCGGAATTCTTCATGATTCTGGAGAAAGACCCTCAACAAGAGGACTTCCTGCAGGGGAGGATGCTGGGTAACCCATACAGTTCTAACGAGCCTGGAATGGGACCACTCATGAGAGACATCAAAAACAAGATCTGTCAAGGTGAGATTCGACAGACTGTGTTAGAGACACAGGAGTGATTACTATTGTGAATTTGACCCTAAATCTTGAAATTTGGACGTTAGGGGTGTTCCACTGACCCTGGTCTTTCATGCTAAATTGTTATAACCATGAAGGGATTACATTTTAAGTTTTTCTAGATTTTTATAAAATAGGAACATTACCGTATGGTTTGTTGATTTTGTTTTAATCAGTGTTATTATAGAATTTGATTTAATCTGAATTGTTTGGCTTCTTGCAGACTGTGAGTTGGTTGCTCTGTTGGAAGATGACACTGGGATGGAGGTGAGTGTTGGTACTGGTACAATATCTAATGCAAGTCATTCCTGTTAAGATATTATGTTGTTGAAAGAGATGGGGAAATTTCATGGCATGGCCAGAGTCTTTGCTCATGCTATCAACCTCTGGTTTGTTTGATTTGTTTCATTGTTTATCAGCACCATATGCATGATACTGTTTTCACAATAACATCGAAACACTGCCTCACCTTAGCCCTTGTCACACACTGTCCTTGTTATATTTTCCCAAGTATCTCGTAACTGGATCTTACATGTGGCTAGTGTCAGGACCACATCCCCTGTTTACCAAGCAAATCTTGCCTGGAATGTTGATTGGGTGGTCTTAATCACATGGTTGATCCAATACCCAATGTTGTGTTTCAGCTGCTGGTGAACAAGAAGATAATCAGCCTGGATCTGCCTGTGAAGGAGGTTTACAAGAAGATCTGGTTGCCTGAACATGGGGAGGTGGGTACAGATATTACAACAGAAGTAAATTTTCAGAATACAGTGGAATCTGTCAAATCCGGACTCTTTGTAAACCGGTTTCCTCCTTAATCCGGACTAATCTCTGAGTCCAGGCCAAATTGTTCTTAATTTATCATAAAAGCTAATAATCCGGACTCTCTCAATTACGCATTACGGACTCAAATAACAGTCCCCACAATCAACTTGCTAGGAGAACAATGCTTTGTAATCTGGACGTTAGCTGACGAAAATAACAGTCCGTTGAATAAACATCTCTGTTACTCCTGTTCTCAATGGCTAATTAATTCTATAAACACAAGCCTACCAAGCTTAATTGGTGATTATGAGATGGAGAAAGTCTTGTTTTACTGTGATGAAACTGGACTTTTTATCATGCCTTACCCGACAAGACACTATCCGACAAAGCCCAAGCTGCAAAGGGTGGAAAAGTTTCCGAAGAGAGACTTCTGTGCTTATGTGTGGCAACAGACAAAATGGACTAATCACAACTGCTTTATAATCCAGGGCCTAGATTTTCGAAGCTCTCTTACCGCTAGGAAAGTCGTAAGTCTATGTTAATGTATGGCACTTACGACTATCTTAGCGCTAAGAGAGCTCCAAAAATCTAGGCCCAGACAAATGAGTCAGTCCCAGGCCAGTCCGTAATAGACAGATTCCACTGTACTCTTAATTCAGACTACATCAAACAAACCACCTGTGTGAACTCTTTGCAGTTGCCCGAAAACGTAAAGATCCAACAATCAGAACAAAATCTATATTCATCTTTGGAAACAACATGTCCTGTTCTTCATTGGTCTAGTATATGTCTGTGTATGTTTGTGCTTGTTAGTGATATGTGTAATACTATTTAAGGTAAGGTAAGGTACTTTGGAGATTTCGATATTTTGAGAATTTACATGGATGGTTCGTTGTTCACACAGACTGCAAGCAGTTTAGCTGTCTTTGGGTGTTACTATCGGGTTTTGCTATCTACATCTAACACTGTGACTTTGTAAGGATGTCCACACTGGGGTCAGTGTCTGACCATCTGATTGTCTGTGTACAGGGGGAGCCAATGCCAATCATCTACAGAATGAGAGGGCTACTGGGCGACGCCACTGAGGACATGGTCAACTCCTTCGACAACAGCTCAGGTGTGTACAACAAGAGTCACATGGGTATCAATAGTCATGGCTTGTCAAGTGTACATCCTCAGTTAGGGCTTCTAATTTGTGCATCCACAATCCAGGACCCCGTTTCACAAAGCTCTCGTAAGCCTCAGATCTCGTAACTTTTCTCATAATATTCATACTTCCTATACTGTAACAGTGACTTACGATAGTCGTAGTGCTACAAGAGCTTTGTGAAACGGGGGCCCAGGTCATGCTACAATCTGCTGGTCGTTGGTTGAGATCTGTGATCCTACCTATGCTTGTGGGTTTCCCCTGTATGGCCTGCTACACTTTGTTACACATAAGCTGAGGTATACTATACAAAACAGCTTTAACCAAACTCAATCGCTTATTTATCGTCTCCCTTGCTTGCAGAGGAGGACATCGACAAGGAAGAAGTGTTCAAGATGGCTGCCATTCTGGCCGAGAACGGTGGACTGGAGGTCATGTTAGAGAGGTGGGTGAATGTCACGAGATTTTGATGGTACATTTGTTGGATCTGGGTGAGAACCTGAACCCTATTTCACAAAGCAATCTTGGTGCTGAGGTTTTCTTAACTTTCATACTTTAACACAGGCTTTCGATGATCATAGTGCCAAGATTGCGTTGTGGTACAGGGCCAAGTTCTCCAAGAGGGATTCTGGGTCAGAGGGCTTCGTTGTCTTGTACTACTGTTTGTACTAAGATACTGTAGCATGTTCATAAGGACTCTTACACATATAGGCAACTTTGATCCAGCTGGAATAACTGGCTGCATCTAAAGCAACATTCTGTTCATTCTATACAGTTTTGGAAGGTGAAACAAATGTGGCACATGGCAAGACGGTAGATGCTATCTGTCACTTTCATGGTTTTGTTTCAGACTGTCGTCAGTGAAGGACCTGGTTCTGGGCAAACAACTCATGGTGGTGCTCCTGAAGCTGTTTGGCTTTGCTGTCAATGTCAAGGTCAACCGACAGGAACTGATCAAACCGGAACTGAACACTATCAACATCATGCTGGGTGCTCTCAATCTGGTCAGTCTCAGTATCACATCTCAACTTAGATGCTTCCTGATTGGTTGCAGTGACACTCATGACTAAGTTGTTTTAAAAGCTACATTTCACAATGCAGATCTACTTGTGTTGTTTGCCACGCCCTGTATCTGATTATCTGTTGTTCAATTCCTAGACTCATCTGATTCTCATTTGTTTGAATGTAATAAACCTGTACTTTTTGGTGAGTTTCTGAGACCTAGAATGCAAATGAATCTGAAAACAATGACAACTTCCAAATGGATGAAATATTCAAAAATTTAAAAAATTAATATGAAGGGAGTTGGCTGTGATTTGCTGGAATATTGTGGACTGTGACGTACAGTAACATTGACTGACTGTTGTTTCCTCCTGCAGGCCCTGTGGAGTGAGCAGGAGGGAGGTACCAGCGCCACCAAGGGGCAGACAATCACAGAGCAGATCCTGCAGATCTTGGAGGTCATCCTCCTTGAGGCCAGTCAGCAGACCCCCGAACAATATACTGTGAGTTGTTGTAGGTGCAGCGAAGACTGCAGCATGCATTAAGTCAACATATCCTATGTATCCTGAATGTTTATTGCTTCACGGATTTCATTTGAAGAGATTGTGTTGTTAGATGTACATTCTCAGAGCTGCTCTAAGAGTAAGTTGTGATACTGACACTACAATGTTGACCATAACACATGATCTGACACTGTGGACACTGGCAATGTGACACTGCAGGGTGACTGATCTGACACTGTGTGTCTTGATATTGAAGAATTGTACCATATGAAGTGACACTAGGTGATGCTGTATAATCTTACACAGGAAGACACTGTGTGACCTGATACTGTCTTATATGACACTGTAGGATGACACTGTGATACAACACTGCAATTTTGATACTGAAGAATTGTACTGTATGATATGACACTGTATGAACTGACACTGAACAGTGGGACACTGCATGCCTCCAGGAATTCTCCAAACTGTGTGGTGACAAGGAGCAGCTGATGATGTTGCTTGGCCGCATCAACTCCCCCTTCGTCCGCGCCAACAACAACGTCCTGCAGGCTCTTATGAGACTCATCCCCTTCCTGGCCTTCGGTGAGGATGACAAGATGATGGCACTACTCAACCACTTCAAGCAGTACCTCGACTTCAACAAGTAAGTACAATCTATACATGATGTTAGCTATGTATAACACACAAAGACAACCAAAGGGTGCATTATTGGTTGTAAATGTCTTTCACAAATATGCACAGATTTCTTTTCTTAGAATTGTTACTAGATACAGTGAATGTTATCTTTAATCATTAAGACAGGACTGTATGTTGCGTCATGAGTTTTTCCTCAACTACTGCACTGTATATATACCAAGCCATAACCAAGGCCTGTTGACAGTACATGGACACGGTAGGCCTGTTCAACAGTGAAGTGTAACCCATCCCAACGTCCAGAGTTGTCTACCTTTGCCTTGTCAGGATCTAACATGCCTTAGTGCACCTGAAAGAGTGGTGACATATGCAACTCCTTGTGTCATTGTGTTATACATGAGATGTGCCTTTTCTTCTGCTAGGTTTGACTTCGAGCACAGCCAGGATGAACAGGTGCACCTTGACTGTTTCTGTGCAATCGCAAGCGGTATTGAGGTAAGAGGAATCCATTATCATGCATACCTTATGACTCTGCTGATGAAACTCTCTTATGATTGGACCCGTGAAGGTCCGGATTAGAATGAACCTTCAATAACCCATGCTTGTCGTGAGAGGCGACTAACAGGATCGAGTGGTCAGGCTCGCTGGCTTGGTTGACACATGTCATCGGTTCCCAATTGCGCAGATCGATGCTCATGCTGTTGATCACTGGATTGTCTGGTCCAGACTCGAATAGTTACAGACTGCTGCCATATAGCTGGAATATTGCTGAGTGCGGCCTAAAACTCAACTCACTCACTCACTCTCTTATCATTGTCACATTGTACTGCCAAATGGACTGGTTCAAGTATCTATAATACTTGCCATAAAGGGAACGAAACAGGGACTGGTCGGACTGCGGCTGAGGGGTGTCCATGTTAAGTTACGGCGGGCACATCATGGGGTCAGCACTATAAGGTCAACATCAAGATTAGTACAAGCAGCCATTCAGATGCACACTCACACACACATTGCAGTTGAAATACAATCATTTCTATCTCTACTCTTCAACCCCATTTCACCTTGTCTCACCTCGGAAGAGGTCCCTAGTACCACATGTTTATGATTGTTTGATGTACTGAGGGTCTGGTGGTTGCAGTGTGCAACCTGGTTGATTTCAATTCATCATACCTATAAGGGGTGGATACATTATAAGTTGTTCACTGGTCATGATGGGGACATGGGTTGATGTACCCTCTATGAGGTCTCAGGGAACAAACAAACATAGAGGGTATATCAACCCATGGGCCCCGAGGGACCAGTCAACAACATATTCATCTTACCAAACATCTCAATGTTAATTTTGAACTGTTTGAAGCACGGGTATCGGATCATGATAAGGAATACCAGAATATTAGGCAGTTAGCCAGTACCGGCAACAGACGACAAGAAAAACAAATTTAGAGTTATCTCCCTTCCATCGATTTGCATTTGCAAAACATCAGTAGTTTCCGTACATCATACATGACTTAATTATTCATGATAAAGAATTACTTACACAAAGTACCAAATGAATTCCCAGAGTTCGTCATTCCCAGCAGGTAACAAAGAATATGTTACTCGCTTGTAAGCATGGTACATTGAAAATAATAGAAGAGTGTCCAGCCAATCAGAAAACTCCTGCCTGAAGCAACATGAATTAATGCAATTATTTGGACTATGTTTGTTTTCAACAGAGCAATGCCAATGGTATCCGACTGAAAAATCTGATCCTTCAAGACGGAGTTGTTCAGAGTTCTGTGGACTACATTCTCATGCATGCTCCAGCTATCAAAACACTCCTGGCGTAAGTTGTATATATGTTTTATGTAATTATTGTTTTGAGTCCTAGCAGTCAACTTTATACCTTTGACAAAAGCCAGCCAGATGTGTTGTTTGTGACATGCAAATATACGTGTGCTGTTTGTGCAAAGCTGAGACATCACTGATCAGTACTGTGCTCTATTGTGTTATAGTGAAGGGTAGTTAACCTTGAGATAAAGCAAATGTGTCTTTCATATCTTGTTATTGATGTCTGTCGCTTGGGTAGCCCAGTGGTGTTAGCGTTCGCCTGTCACACGGAAATCATGGGTTCGATTCGTTACATGGGTACAACATATGAAGCCGATCTCTGGTGTCCTCTGCCACAATATTGCTTGAATATTGCTAAAAGTTGTGTAAAACCATACTCACTCGCTGTTATTGGGTAGTGGTAGTGTATGAGGTAGTGTGTATGATACAACCATAGGTGGCCATGTTAACTGTTGTGACGTGTAAATTGCATAGTGATTTGTTCAAATTGTTCTCCATAGATAGTTTTCAGACCTGGGATCAAACTCATCTGTAACATGTTTTGTGTTGTTTTGTTGCTCATATACTGATTTGTTTAGTTCAAATACCAATGCTTATTGGATCAAAGATCTACCACGATGCATTGAAATTCATTTGTTTCCATTGAAAACTTCAACGAAATATCTAATAACAGTTTGGTACTAATCAAGGACCACATTTTGTTACAGGACTGACTCAGAGGTATGGAAAGAGTTTATCAGCAAGCAGTCCCTTGGATACGCTCTTCGTCTCCTCACTGGTCTCTGTACCAAACACAAACTGACACAGGTAACTACTTACCTAAGATTATTTGCCATAATAACACTCTTAGGAAATGTTTATCCTCTTCATTATTGCTTTCTGTGATAAAAATGTAATGTACTTAAGAAAGTATGAACTGCCATGTAATGTTTTTGTCTTAGTTGGGGTCATTATAAAGATTCCAGTGGCGGTGGGGTAGCCTAATGGTTTAGGAGTCCACTGAAGACCCGGGTTTGATTCCGACATGGGTACAATGTGTGAAGCCCATTTCTGGTATCCACCACTATGATATTGCTGGAATATTACTAAAACTGGTGTACAACTGGTGTACTCTCCCTCACACACTATAGTATAAAGATTCCGTACAAACTGGTTCAGCAGTTGGTCATGGGTGCTTATTTTGGGAATTGCATTTTGTATAGCAAATGTGGTAATTATGAATGTGAACGGGCTGTGTATTACCCGTGCTTTTGTCTGTTCCCAGGACCTGATAGCGGAGAGCTGTATCCCCATCCTCCACAAGCTGGAGCAGGTGTCCTCTGACAAACACATCGGCACGCTGGCCGAGAATCTACTGGATGCTCTCAAGAGCAACGAATCAGCAGCCAGAAAGGTGAAATGTTGTTACAGAAACATACATTACGGTGTATAATCCTGGAAGAATCATCAAACAGTAAATTATTAAATCACAAAGCATGGTTAGATATGACTACTAGTCTGCTGGTAAGAAACCCTAATATCCGTTAAAAGTCTCGTTACGTAAATGTGATGTAGAATTGCTGAATGAAACTCAAAGGAAACCTGGGTGTTATATACATGAATGGACAGGGTTCTGAATCAAGACTAGGGGTCAAGGTGGCCCAGTGGTGTAAGTCTCTACAGCTTGCTGTATGCAGATGCAGATTCCAGCATCTGCTTGTTATTGGTTTGAATCCTAGATTTGCCCTCACATAACTCATTCTTTCTTCAAAATCTGGAAACATATTTGTTCAGTGTAAAAATGTAAATGCCTTTATGCGACCAATTTCACCACAGTTCTGAATTCCCCTTTTGGGGGTTGAGTTAATACAGGTATGATGTAGTACAATGAGTCCATGCTGAAATATTCATAACCATGTGTTTTAGATTGAGGAGATTCGACAACAGACAAAGGCAGAGAAGAAGAGGCTAGCCATGGCCGTCAGGAAGAAGCATCTTGGAGCTCTCGGGATGACGGTGAGCTGGTGACCTTTCAGGTTGTTAATGTCCTGAGCGAGCATCTTAGAACCAATGCAGTCATAACACTCATTGGCACTGACTTGCAAATGTTTTAGTACTAAGGGTCACTCTGTGGAGTGGGATGTGGGCTTGGTTCCTCAAAGGTCTTAGCACAGTGACACCAGTAAGCCACATTTAAGTTTGTGAGTTATTGTCATCTTAGTTTTGTAGAATCTGGCATCTTCCAGAGGGTATGGGTTATCCCATCCCTCTTGAGGCAAAAGCAAGAGAATCCTGTCTCGCAGGCATGCCTGGAACCCTTGATGACATTTTTGCCCTGATTATCCTTCAAGATTTGACAAAACCTCAAGTCGTGTGTTTCACCAGAAGAAAAGACGTGTGCCATTCAGCAAAGCTATCTTAGTGCTACAGGGATTGTAAGCCTGTGTTAAAGTGTCGGAGTTACAATCACCTCAGCGTTAAGATCACTTTGTGGAAAATGGTCCTGCTTCATTTATTCTGGTCTTGCCTTCCATGTCAAACTGACATTCTATCATATAACCAATGTTCAGGTTTTAGCTGATCAGGGGGTGCTTGAGGCTTGCTCCTTGCATATTTGAATATACGCCCTCAATCTTTACATTTGATGACAAGGACCAATCATATATCCAATGTTCAGGTTTTAGCTGATTAGGGGGTGCTTGAGGTTTGCTCCTCGCATAGTTGAATATACGCCCTCAATCTTTACAGTTGATGACAAGGACCCAATGGCTTTCAGACTCTGTTGTGAACACAATAACTGTATCATTGTTCAGATTTGTTTTGAACACAGTTTACTGTATGTCTCCCTGATGTAACTCTCTCCACTGACTGTTGTAGACGAACGAGAAGGGGCAGGTGACTGTGAAGAGCACGGTGCTGAAGCAGATGGAGGACCTGAAGGAGGAGACCGGCCTCACCTGCTGCATCTGTAGGGAGGGCTACAGGTACCAGCCTCAGAAGGTACACCTGCACACCTTGACTTTAGACACCATAGGGATTCTGGGTTAAAATAGGTCCCCAGAAACTACTGCTGGTTGTAACAGATCACATAGTGGTCAGGTTTAATGACTTGATTGATAGAGGATTTGTCAGTGTACCACGATGGTGTGGATCATTGCTCGGAATACTGATCACTGGATCGACTGGTCCAGACTTGATTATTTACAGGCCACCATAGCTGGAATATTGCCCTCTGCTGTTATCAACCATTTCAGCCATTGTTTTATTCCATCATTCAGCCTAGTAGTGATCACAAAAAGCATTGCTGAGTGCAGTTATCAACTATTTCAGACATTCTTTTTGTCCATTATTTCAGCCTGTCAGTTTTCACAAAAAGCAGTGCTGAGTTCTGTTATCAACCATGTTGAAATTCTCTCTTGAGGTTTTGCATGTATTTGTCATAAAACCTGACTTGAGATTAAGTGTGTTTTACCTGCAGGTACTTGCTATCTACACATTCACTAAGAGAACAAACCTGGACGAGTTCGAGAACAAGACCAGGAAGTCAGTGGGCTACACCACCGTGTCCCACTTCAACGTCATCCACGTCGAGTGTCACGCTGCTGCTGTTAGGTATGTGGAGGAAGGAGTAAAGTGTAACCATGGTAACTCAAGTCCGAGAGACCACAGAGAATGTGAAGTAATCGGAACTCTCAGCCGTGAACGACCGCCTCCGTGGTGTAGTGGTTAGAGCGTCCGCCCGGAGAGCTGAAGGTCGTGGGTTCGATACCCGACCGCGTCATACCAAAAGACGTTAAAATATGGTACTTGTTGGTCCCTGCCTGGCGCTCGGCATTAATGGGTACAACAAGGACTGGTCGCCTCGGAGTCAGTATAATGTGTCTGAGTGGGGTATTCATGCTTCACTGCGGCATGGTATCTCAGTGAGCTAGCACTATAAAACCAGCTTAAGTCTGGGCTAGTACAAACAGCCGCACATACACATACACACGCATGCATGTCGTCATATGAGCGAAATATTCTCAAGCACGACGATAAACCCAATTTCACCTCACCTCACCCTAGCTCTCAGAAATGCAGCAATGTGATGTTAATTGTCTGATTCTGATACAGGTATGTGTGTTGTTGATAGTAGTCATATGAGATCCTGTTCCAGACATGCTCGGGGTAGAGAGGAGTGGGAGAGTGCGGCACTCCAGAACGCCAACACCAAGTGCAATGGACTCCTCCCAATGTGGGGACCACAGGTCCAGGAATCAGTTTTCGCCACTTGTCTCGCCAGGTCGGTTCATCATGGTGACTTATGTGAGATCCTTGTTCATGTAGTCACTTTACTTCATTGTTGTCATACGAGGTGATGGTTTGTGGCAAAATTGTCCAGGTTAAAAACACCTCAGAGTTACTGGTCATTGACTGTTAGTTAGGTCCCTCGACTATGAATTAATATTTCCAACAGTAGTTTTCCGGAACAAAAATATCGCGGCAAGCAGGTCATGGACTTACGTACAAGATTTCAATGTATTTCACAGGCAGCTCTGAAGGCGTTGGTGCACATCTTTTAATGATAGGAATTTACCTTTAGTTTCCACAGTTCCTGTGTGAATTCTTGGTTCGAGTTCTTTCCTAGCAGCCTTTACTGTTTCTTAGGGACAACTAAATCCAATAAATGACTTGGTTGATTGAAAAGCATCATTGTTTATTGGCATTCTAGAAGTTGCGCAAGCTGTATGCAATAAACAAGAAGTTGTTATCCATAAAGTCAAATGCTTCGCTATTGTGTATCATCATGCTATCGTTTTCTGATGGCATGGATTATTGAAATAGTATCAATCACAGGATTGTCTGGTCCAGATCTGATAGTTGACACTGTGCTGGAATATTGCTGAATGCAGCATTGACCATTTGACCTTAAACATTCTGCGTTGATGTGTGTTCAAAGCAGTAACACCCTGTCTGATCTGTATCCACAGACACAACAACTACCTACAGGAGTGTACGGGGGTGCGAGACCCCAGCCATCTCTACACAGTACATGATATCAAGCTGCTACTTATGAGGTTTGCCCAGGAGAAGTCCTTCAGTGATGAGAGTGGTGGCGGCGGTCGGCAGAGCAACATGCATCTGGTTCCATACATGGTTCATATGGCTCTCTACGTAGTCAACACGTAAGTTGTCTTTAGTCAGTGCTATGCTGCTGTCAACGTGTTATTGTATGGCTCCCTATATTGTCAGTATGTAAGCTTACTTATCCTCAGGGGCAGTGGGGTAGCCTAGTGGTTAAAGCGTTCGCTGGTCACCGAAGACCCGGGTTCGATTCCCCACATGGGTACAATGTGTGAAGCCCATTTCTGGTGTCCCCCGCCCTGATATTACTGGAATATTGCTAAAAGCGGCGTAAAACCATACTCACTCACTCACTACTTATCCTCACTGCGATGCTGATGTCAACATGTTAATACATGGATCTCTGTTGTCATGACGTAATTTTACCCATACAATCCTCATTCATAAAGTACTGTCCATTTTACTAGTGAAACATGGAATGGATTTATTACTACGGGTACACAATCATTGGATTGTTGTGAAATATTTGTGTGTGACAGTTAGATGTATGTCGTCAGAGACTTAGTTTGATAATGCAGAGTACAAGCAGGGTCAAATATCATGACGTCATGATCTCCTTTCAAGTCAACATGCCTTGTATGAGTTTTTGCAAAATGGTTCCATGCCAATCAGGAAGGTTGATTTTGTAAGGAGTTTTGAAAATCTGTTATGAATGACTGTCCATCTCTTCCAGGACACGCTCAATGACTAGGGATGAGAAGAATGTGCAAACCTTCCATGACATGCCGAAGAAAAATGGATAGAAAACTGTTTCGAGGTAAGGGTGTCCCACAGAATTATTCTTCTGTTGTTGCTGTGTTTGTATTCAGTACATGGATGTTGTGCCAAAATATTGTGACCGTTGTTGCACAAAGTACATAGACACGCCTACCATACAAACAGTAAACAAATCATCAAAACTGAACTCATATATACCAAAACAGAACAAAAATCACCAAAGTAGGAAAATAAACTTCCCAAACTGCAACAATATCCTCTAAAACCAAACAATACATCTGTAATGGAAGACTAATCGTTTGAAATGGAAACAAAACATGCGTATCAGCTACAAGAGCGAGCAAGAACGGACGCCGAACGTACAAAACGGCATTCATAGCATCCCAACATGGCAGTCATAGCATCCCGAAACGGCATACAAATCATCAAAGATAGCAGCTAGGGGAGAAAGCAGTGTTAAACTGAACCCAACTCACTCAATCACTCACTCACCCGGCTCACTGGTAAAGCAGTGTTTCACTCACCTTCTCTGCGCAGGCCGAAGGTCCACTGTACTACCCTGTCTTGTCCATCTTGGTGCACTCCCCGGAGAAGTGGCAGCAGCTCAGAGTCAAGTACCTCAAGAGGCTGTTGGTGCTGGCCCATGTCAGGAGTGTGTGTCAGGTCGGCGCCAAGACGTAAGTACAAATGCTGATAGTAAAACAGTTGATGTGATTAGTTACAGTGAAACCCAGTTGGTTCAGGAAGTGTTTGTCTGGAAGTCCAATCTTTGCATAGTTAGAATAAGACTGGAATCTATTTGTCAATCTCCTGTATAATTAGAGTAGGAACTTCCATTCATCCATTCAGCTAATTAACTGTTAAGTGCTGGCTTCCATTTCCACATCAACACCAGTTAACTGTTTGCTTCTATTGTTTAGCTGCCATCGGTGTTGTCTTATTACTTGTGTTGTTCTTACAACACTTACATGCCCCATACCATTCATTCACCTGATGAAGGGGCGGTGTGGGTAAGCCTAGTGGTTAAAGCGCTCGTCACACCGAAGACCCGGGTTCGATTCCCCACATGGTCAAAATGTGTGAAGCCCATTTCTGGTGTCCCTCGCCGTGATATTGTTGGAATATTGCTAAAAGCGGCGTAAAATCAAACTCACACTCACTCACTCACTCACTCACTCACTCACTCACTCACTCACTCACTCACTCACTCACTCACTCACTCACTCACTCACTCACTCACTCACTCACTCACCTGATGAAGGAGTAAGGATGTGCTCCGAAATGTTGTGTTCCTCATGATAAAGAAGTTGACATTCATGAAACCTCTCTTCCTTAAGAACTTCTTGTTCTGAGTTCTCTTTATCTTGAAGGGGCGGTGCAGTAGCCTAGTGGTTAGAGCATTGGCTTGTCACGCCGAAAACCCAGGTTTGATGCCCCATATGGGTAAAATGTGTGCAGCCCAATTCTGGTGCCCCCCACCGTGATATTGCTGGAATTTTGCTAGAAACGGTGTAAAACCATACTCACGCACTCTTTATCAGGAAATCCCAATTAGTCTAAGGTTGTAATAATATTGCACTCAGTGGCTTAAAACCCATGAAGATCCAGGTTAGAATTGATCTTCAGTAACCCATGCTTATTGTAAGAGGCGACTATCGGGATTGGGTGGTCAGGCACGCTGACTTGGTTGAAACATGTCATCGTATCCCAGTTGCGTAGATCATTGCTCATTCTGTTGATCACTGGATTGTCTGGTCCAGACTTGATTATTTACAGACCAACGACATATAGCTGGAATATTGCTGAGTGTGGCGTAAAACTAAAGTCACTCACTCAATGGCTTGAAACAGGACTAGTGAAACCCTGTGTTTAATGTTCCAGTGTGCCAGTGAATGACAAGACTCCCAAAGAATATGCGGTGTACAAGAATGTCCTCATCTTCTTTGGCTTCCTGTGCAGTTTCTATGACAAAATCCTTAAGGTAAGACTATGCCTCCATCAGACATTTTGTTTGTTTTACAGCTCTGCCAACCCTATATGTCACTAAAATAAAATGGAATAAAATTTGAACATCTTTCTTCCCTGCCACTGAGTCTGATTCAAAGTGTCTGTGAAAAGAGACATGGTTGAGAAGAAAATTAATTCTGAGGTTTGTGATTCTTTGTGCAGGGTAATTATCGTACTGAAATACTCACGACCTAATGCAAGGATAGGTGCCTGGAGGACACTACAGTAAATATTAGAAAACCTATTGTGTAACATATGTTATGTTTGGGATTACATTTTCTCAGTAAAGAACCGATTCCTATTCGGGATTCGAACCCGCACTTTCAGAGTCAGGCACTATGAACCAAAGCTATGCACATTCCAACAGAGTGACTCCTGACAACAACATGTGGGGTAGCCGAGTGGTTAAAGTGTTCACTGTTCATGCCAAAGACCCAGTTACGATTCCCCAAAAGGATACAGAGTGTGAAGCCCATTTCTGGTCTACCCCGCCATGATATTGCTGGAATATTGCTAAAATATGTGGTCCTGCGCATAGAGCTCAGGTCACAAATCAGTTGAAGTTAAGCAACGTTGGGCTTGGAGAGTACTTGGATGGGTGACTGTGTTTGTCAGCTTGAGTCCTTAGAGTTTCTAGGACTTCAGTCCTGCCCACAACGAAGCAAATGTGATACATGTGGTCTCACCCTAGGCAAGTGAGCTGGTTCAAAATTACCTCTGTTCCCCCAGCAGAAAATGGGTACCCGGTGGGATAAGTCATGTGACTATAACCTTCTAGGGCCTCACAGGCAGCTTGGGTTATCCAGGGTTATGCTCTGTGACTTGTATGTGCTTAGAGCCTCTCCCTCAGTGATGTGGATGAGGTGCTATAGAAGTACTCTTATTATTAACATTACTAAAACTACACTCACTCACTCAGACCTGATTATGTGCTGTCATCATATAGTTGTAATTTCAGGCTGTCATGAAACAAAGCTGCTGCAAATACCAGGATTATCAATTTTCACTGTTATTAGAGAGTCTTCTGCAGTACTTTATGAAGCTCTACTAAAGTCAGATGGTTTATGGCTACACACTAACAAAAGCATCAATTTTATAAATACAGTCAAATCCCGATGAGTCGAATCGCTGGGGACCAAGTAATAAATTTGACTTATCGATGTATTCGAGACATAGGTATGTCTATGAGGGTAGAAAAAAGATGATCCAGTCCTAATTCCTCTGCCTAAGCATTTGTTTATCTAATGATTTCCATATCACTAATAGGGGCACCTTATCAGTTCCAGTCTGATTACCACAGACAGTGATTTCCGTAAAATCACTAATCTGACTTTTGAACTCACCTGTCAATGGCGGAAAGTTGTGAGTCGCGCTGGTTTGTTAATTGGATCAGTTTGCTACACCAATCAACTTCTCATTGACTGACTTCGGCTTATGTATACAAGATTGCTGTTGTTTGAATCTCATGGGACCAAATTTCCTTCTCGAGTCATCGTGTGTATTTATGAGACGAATTCGTGTAACCGGAAATCAAATGATGACAACTATAACAGGGAATGGTCGGGACCGACAGGTACTTCGAGTTATGCATAATATTCGAGACACCGGCATTCGACTCATCGGGATTTGACTGTATATGTATCACAGTGTATACCTGCTTTCAGTAACCTCAGAGTTTTTGTTAATTAAACGTGTAACAATATATCCCTGTTTTTAATGGAACTAAATCTACTGAAATAAAAAAAACTGAAAAATTTAAAAACTGAACAGTGGGTTGAAAGTCAAAGGTCACTTTATAATACAAGCAATGTTAGGTTATACAGGTTATTTGAGGTTATCAACATTCTATACTTGACAGACTCAAATAGTTATTTCTTATTCACCTTTGTCTCTGGTTGACATAAGTAGCCAGGGAATAGTCATTGCTGCAGCCTAAGAAATACTTCTGTCTGAATTTTAAACATGTTGGTTTGATTTATGTGTGACTTTTGTTTTATCAAAGAGTAAAGCATGAGTAATACCGCTCACAGAGTTATCTGAAAACCTGTTCCAATGTTTTAAGCACACTTTTTGTTTACCATGGCGATCCCTGTGTAATCATCGGCTGTACTATGTCTTCTGAGTCATACGTGCTTCATGTCTCCATTTAAATGTCACCTTAGTGAGTTGAGATTATCACCATTTTGATTAATATTTTGTTATATCACATGTAAACGTTTTGGTTTGGTTTGGTATGGTTTATTTTGGTTGTTCGTTGTTTAATGCCGCACTCAGCAATATTCCAGCTATTTCATGGCGGTCTGTAAATAATCAAGTCTGGACCAGACAATCTAGTGATCAACAGCATGAACATTGATCTGCACAATTCAATGCAAGTCAGCAAGTCTGACCACCTGATCCCGTTAGTCGTCAGTAAACGCTTAAGGAGGACTAGTGATAATGTATGTCATGTAAGGTTTGGTGCTATGAGTCAGAGAATTTTTTTTGATGGCCAGATCCTGATCTAACTAAGGGAGACAACTCAGCTTATTTGTGATAACTTAGGCCTCTGGGCAATCTCTGGTCCTTCTATTCATCAAATCCAATGTTTCAGACAAATGGATTCCTTACATGACCAAACTCAAGTTCATTTTATTACCTGTTGTTGGCAGTTACTGAACTTTTCTGGCATGGTATCCCAGTCATTTAAGTTGATGAGTACAGTTGTGTCCCTTGGGTGTTTCAGGAACCTATGATTGTGGTTATAGGTTTGTCAGCACCATGCTCTTGACTTTCCCAAAGTGATGAAGATCTGGGAACTGCATCTCTTCAGGCATTCCTTCTACCACCTGTCCCTCTGTGATATTACTGTATTATTGTTTATAGCTTTGTTAAAGTGAGTGAGTGAGTTTAGTGTTACGCCGCACTCAGCAATATTCCAGCTATATGGCGGCGGTCTGTAAATAATCAAGTCTGGACCAGACAATCCAGAGATCAACAGCATGAGCATCGATCTGCTCAATTGGGAACCAATGACATGTGTCAACCAAGTCGGCAAGCCTGACCACCCGATCCCGTTAGTCACCTCTTACAACAAACATGGGTTACTGAAGGCCAATATTCTAACCCGGACCTTCACGGGTTAGCGTTGTTAAAACCAACTCCCATAGTTACCATTGGAGTGTTACTGTAGGTGCTGTATGATTCATATTGACATAAGCAAGTTATTTGGAGGACTAAAAAATACATTAAATTCTCTTTAAAACTAAAGAAATATATCTCTAAATCTGTCTGGTTGCTTGCATTAAGATAAATTGTTTTTAGACCATTTTTTTTTAATCCTATAAGTAACAGGGTTAAAAACGCAAAGCAAAACAAAGACTTTAAGAGTCTATGTAATCGGTAGTTCTTCATGGTTACAAAGTTACAAAACCGTTAAGTCTTGAGAAGCTCTGTTCAAAACATGTACGCCCAAGGTTGAAAGGGTTGATCTTCGACAGGAGCTAAAACACCAGAGCCTAGGTTGTGTATGTAGTGAAATGCTAGTGCTGCTACAAATGATATCTAATCACTGTGTGCTTTGGTGATCCATGTTTACACATTCTGGGGGAAACATCGCACTTGCTTAAGCTACAAGTTTCCTGGGACAAATATCATCCACATGGATACTTGGGACAGTGAGTGGCTCGCTAGGTATCCCCTACCTTGACCACTCGGCTATCTGATAGGGCCAGGACATCCGGAGATGAGATTGGAATGAACTCGGACATCCTGCTCTTGTTTGGCTTGACAGCTTCGTGCTGTGTTTGGTAGAGCTGATGCCTTGATAGGATAAGTTTGAGGTCATAGTTGGGGAGGATTATTCCTCTGTTCGGAGCTGATTCGTTAGTAGGATAAACCTGAGATGTGTGTATGGCTTGATGCTGTGTTCAATAGAGCTGGTACCCTGATAGGATAAGTTTGGGGTCATGGTTGGGAAGGATTATTCCTGTATTCGGTCGAGCTGATTCGTTAGTAGGATAAACCTAAGATGTTTGTCTGGCTTGAAGCTGTGGTCACCTGAGCGGATTCCATTGAAGGATAGTCTGAGGGCTTGCTGATATGTTCAAAAGAGCTGATTCCTTTGAAGGATAGTCTGAGGGCTTGCTCATTTGTTCAAAAGAGCTGATTCCTTTGAAGGATAGTCTGATTAGTTTGAAGGATAGTCTGAGGGCTGAGGGCTGATTAGTTTGCTGGATAGTTCAAAAGAGCTGATTAGTTTGAAGGATAGTCTGAGGGCTTGCTGATTTGTTCAAAAGAGCTGATTAGTTTGAAGGATAGTCTGAGGGCTTGGTGATGGGAAGAGTGGAATTGATTCCTTTGAAGGATAGTCTGAGGGACTTGGTGATGGGAAGAGTGGAATTGATTCCTTTGAAGGATAGTCTGAGGGCTTGCTGATGGGAAGAGTGGATTTGAAGGATAGTCTGAGGGCTTGATGATGGGAAGAGTGGAATTGATTCCTTTGAAGGATAGTCTGAGGGCTTGGTGATGGAAGAGTGGAATTGATTCCTTTGAAGGATAGTCTGAGTCTGAGGGAGGAGTGGACTTGGTGATGGGAAGAGTGGAATTGATTCCTTTGAAGGATAGTCTGAGGGCTTGGTGATGGGAAGAGTGGAATTGATTCCTTTGAAGGATAGTCTGAGGACTTGGTGATGGGAAGAGTGGAATTGATTCCTTTGAAGGATAGTCTGAGGGATTTGGTGATGGGAAGAGTAGAAGCCAAGTTCCCAAGTCTATGTTAGATATTAGCTGAGACTTACAGTGTTTTATGACAGCTGGAATATACAAGGCACTCTGGACTAGGATGTGGAGACTGTGGTGATATAGCATTCACCAGTGCTTCAGCCAGGCAGCGCCATTGCGATATTCACGCTGAAAAATATGCATTGGCGCTTTTTTTTTCAATGCTAGAGCGTACCCATTGGCTCAACGTTTAATATAATCAACAGGTCTTCT